GTTTCGTGTCAACTGGTTATGCGCAATTGAGGCAATTGACTCCAATTTCAGCCTGCTTTTCTTTTTGGATTTGCTTCCATAGCCTTTGTCCAACCAAGAACAAACTACAAGGCAGCAGTTGTTTGATTTTGGAGTTGTCTCTCCTAAAAGAGTGGCTGTCCAACTCGAGACTTTTCGATTTAGAAACCATGAGCTTTACCGACTCGACCACGCCGACCCCTAACAATTAGTCACTAAATTAAACATTTTGTCATACTATTATTTAAGAATTGGTTGAACTCAAATAACATGTTCTGTACATAAAATAGTTTTTAATTCATAAATCTGGCAACTTTAAAGAAATTTAAATTAAAATCGAACTCATAGGCCGTGTGGAAGGCCATGTAGGGACCCCACGTCCCGCTGCATTGTCGGGCGCCGAACAAGACCGGCGCCCCTGAACTCCCCTGACAGGTGGGGGTGTTGTACCAGACTTTATACATCGGCATATCCAGCGTGCCCAGAGCCTTCATATACTCTCTATAGTCCGCCTGACTCCGAGAAGCAAACCACGCTCTCTCCAGCCTCCCTACTATTTTAGCGTTCGACATCGTTTCCGGTGTAATGTTTTCTTCTGTCACCCGGATCACGTGACCGATACTGATTTTTTTCGGCATACCATGAGGATGGGATATGACGATCGCAAACGCAGACATTCTCCTTAAAACAAACGTGGGAATTTTTTGAAACGCGATGGTCCTGTTGATTTCAAGTTGGCCCAACCTCAGCAACAGGTCCTTATCGTGGATGGACACCTTAAAAAAAGTCCGGTCCGTCGGGCGCTTGGAATAAAATAACCTGGTCGCCGATTCTCTGACGACACCGTCTCTGTCGTCACTGTCGTAAAAAAAATCAACCACCGTGTTGTTCAGTTCGTCGTCATCGAACAACACGTGACGATTGGTGAATATTTTTAGATCGCCCTCGTAGTAGAAATGGTTGCGCCCGAGGTCCTCTGCCCTGGGACAGTTGGGAACTTTGCAAGGCGTCAACACGAAGTCGTGTTTGTTGTCTAGGATACATGTCCCTGACGCTGTTCGTGTCATGTTAGTTCCCCTGAATTTGGCACAGGAATCCTCGTTTGGGCGGTTCTTGCTTGTCCATTTTACCAAAACTCTGACCTGTAGAAAGATGTCATATATATATATATATATATATATATATATATATATATATATATATATATATATATATATATATATATATATATATATATATATATATATATATATATATATATATATATATACACACACACACACACACACATATATATATATATATATATATATATATATATATATATATATATATATATATATATATATATATATATATATATATATATATATATATATATATATATATATATTAACTATGTTTAGGGTTTAGCGCCAGTTAGGCAATGCCCTCCGGAGTGGGTCCACCCCCCCCCTCTTTCCTGGACGATATAGAAAAAATATATCATTGATAATAAAAACTTAGTGTCCGCCCACTTAGGTTTCAAGTTATAAGGTATGATTGCCCTCCCCCGGAGAAAAATGTCTGAATGAAACTCCATAGTTCAGCGACCTGAGCCATTCTCTCCAGCTAGCCCCCATGAATTTTTTTTAACACCACGTCATCACAGCGATTATCCTGAGATAATGAGCCACTAATTAGAAAGCAAAAGGTGGTCGGCATGGCCAGGTCGGTAAAGGTCATGCGCAAAGCTCATCTGCCCCCACCCCCAACCCCCCTACCTCACGGGCAGATGATGCTCGATAGCTGGGGACAGCAGCCCATCTAGTAGAGAAAACTCTAAAACTGCTGCCTTGTAGATTGCTCTTGGATGATCGAAGAAATAATAGCAGGCTGAAATAGGAGACATCGACTTTGTGGTTGACACGTAATACGTAATTGTGTTAAGTGAAATCCCCTGGAATCATAGGCTTAGCGAGGGGGGGGGGGCGGGGGTGCGGACCGCACCGGGTGACACCATTTAGGGGGGGGGGTGACACCAAGGCAAAAAATAGCAAAATATATGGAGAAAAAACTTGAGAGGGGGTGCAAATGGAAAGTCTGAGGGGGGGGGGTGCAAATCGAAAGTTTGAGGGGGGGGGTGCAAATCGAAAGTTTGAAAGTTTGTCCCCGGGAAGGGTCACTACGCCTCTAGGGTGGGGATGACACCATTAAGTGCCGCACCGGGTGATACCCGACCTCGCTACGCCACTGCCTGAAATCCACAGGATAAAAGGAAAAAAGACCTGGAGACGTGACCTGGAAGAAGACACCAAGAAGATAGCATACAACTGGGGACAGTTGGAGAGACTAGCCCAGGACAGACACGCCTGGAAAGCTCTTGTCAGCGGAGGACGACAGGCTAACATAACACAATCACAACTAAGATCGAAGTAAAAACAAACAAACAAACAAACAAGCAGCACCAACTAACCGTCATGTTGGACTCGGCCTTGAGATAATCCACCACGGCCGGCACACGGATCTTCTCCGGCAAATGTTCCAGTCCCAGCTCACGAACGCCGGTAAAGTCCGCGTGGTCGTTGTGTCCGTTCTTCGGACAAGAGTTGAGGCTGAGGAAGAGAGTGGACCTGCCAATGGCGGCCTCAGGGCTCTCTGATGATGGGATGGCGTCGACTTCCACAGCCCGGCCCCCTGTTAGAAAATAAAAAAAATTGTGACACAATTTTTAAATCAACCACGAATTATTGACCATACAAATTTAAAAATTTCTAATCAATTACTAGCTAATACATTTGTTTCTTATGAACAGTGTTTCTTCCAAACTTTTTTCTCCGGGGGGGGGGGGGGGCACTTGAAATATTTGGGGGGGGGGGGGGTGGCGGACTAAAATTTCCGGGGGGGGGGGGGCGGTTACTCTTAAAAGTATATATTTTCTATATAAATTCCATTTCGTTCGGGGGGGGGGGATGCCTGGAAGAAACTCTGCTTAAGAATGACTAACAAGTACAAAGGGTACAAAATAATCATTAAATAGTAAATCTGTAATGAATCACTTAGTAGTAAAACTACTACTTAAGAAACACTTGCTATATAAAATGCCAATTAAAGAGTCACACTATTAAAACTGCTACTAAATAATCACTAAAATGTAAAATTGCTACTTAATAATCACTAATTAATAAAACAGCCACTAAAGAATTACTAACAGATAAAAGTTAGTGCTATTAAAGAATAACAAACGATTAAAATTCATTTTTTTCCCCGTTCGTACCCGAGACACACGGGGCAGATGAAGTAGAGTTCATCTGTTTCAATTACCTCGACATACAAGCGGATAGTGTGGTCAGCACTGTGCCCAGCTGGCTTTACTTTCCCTAATGTGAGCTAGGTACCTATCAGAGTTGGGTGGACTCAGTGACGTTCAATAGACTCGAGCCCGGGATATAAACTTGAGACTTTGTGTTTGCAGTCTTAAGCTCTACCATTCAACCACGCCGTCCCTCAACTATTAAACTGCCTCTAATTAATCACTAAGAGGCAAAACTACTACTAAAGAATCAATAACACGTAAAACAGCTACTAAAAATTCACCAACTAATAAAACTGCTACTAAAGAATAACTATTTAAATGCTTTTAAAGCATCAATAAGGTACAAAACCGCTACTAAAGAATCACTAACTATAAAACTGCAGCTAAAGAATCACTATTTAAACAGGTAATTATGTCTAATAAAACTTCTACTAAAGAATCATTAACTATATAAACAGTTACTAATGAACAGAGTTTCTTCCAGGCATCTCTTAGGGGGGCCTCCCCCCAGAAATTTTTTTACCGCCCCCCCCCTCCCCCGAAACGAAATGAAATTTATATAATTTATATAGAAAATATATACTTTTAACAGTGTCCGCCCCCCCCCCCCCCCCCCGAAGAAAGTCTACCGCCCCCCCCACCCCGAAAATTTCAAGTGCCCTCCCCCTCCCCGGAGAAAAAAAGTCTGGAAGAAACACTGCTAATGAATCACTAAGTAATACAACTAGTTAAGAATCACTAACTATATAAACAGCTACTAACTAACCACTAAGTAATAAAACAACTAGTAATAAATAACTAAGTAATAAAACAGCTACTAACGAATCACTACGTAATAAAACAACTAGTAAAGAACGACTAACTATATAAACAGCTACTAATGACTCACTAAGTAATAAAACAGCTAGTAAAGAATCACTAACTATTAAAACTGCACCTAGATCTAGATCTAGAGAATCACTATTTAAACAGCTAATAACGAATCACTAAGTAATAAAACTACTACTAAAGAATCACCAACTATATAAAGAGCTACTAAAGAATCACTAACTAATAAAACAACTACTAAGAATCACCTACTTGCACGTAACTCACCTTTAAAGAAAAGCCTCTGGGCCGGGTCCTGCCTACACTCCGCCTTATGCCGCGGCCAGTGTCCCCTCTGGCACCGACTGTTGCAGTACTTGGCCCACCAGCACCTGGTGCAAGACCTGAGGTTGAAGGACGTTTTCCCACAGAAACAGCAGCTGTGTTCCACCGGCACGAACACCTCGGTAAAATTGTCCGGCTTCGAAAACCGGACCGCGCGCGATACCGAGCCGGTCACGTCAAAAATTGTATTCGTCGCGGCCATTTTGTTTCCTCACAAGACACGCAGACGACACATTTTGTCAAGTTGAAATTTCGATCAGCTAAATTTATTTTTTTGTCAATTTTTTTTGTCAGTTAAACTTATTTTTTCGTCAGTTATTTTTCTGTCAGTAAGAGTTATCTTCTCGGCTGTTAAAGTTATGTTTACGTCTAAGTTATCTTCTAGTCAAAATAGGTTATATATCTCTAAACTTATAAATCACGACTAGACAGATGATTCAGTGAACGTACTAATACAGTCTAGAGATCAACTTGTTTTCAACAAGAACGCATCTATAAATAGCCCATTGAATGTGCAAATGCTAACACTGAAAAAAGCGTGGTCTTCTTGTACATCCGTGCAACTTTGGACTATGTGTCACACAGGAGAAACCCACTTTACAACAATACAAGGGGGAATACTGTTTTGTGTTGGGTGACGTTAGGCTATATTATGGATTAGTGTGGTTTAACAAAAGACGAAGTTACTGAATGATTGTAAACACAGTTTACTTTAAAGAGTGCCTATAGATCTATATGTGACTAGCTGCATCCCGTGCTCCGCCACGGTAAATCTTTTTAAAATATACCAACTTTGGAACAGAACAGAACAAAACAAACAAAAACACAACACAAACAAAACACAACCACAACACAACCACATTACAACCACAACACAATCACAACACAACCACAAAACAACCACAACACAACCACAACACACGGTAAATCTTTTTTAAATGTACCAAGTTGGGAACAGAACAAAACTAAATACAACACAAACGAAAAAAAAAAAAAAAAAAAAAAAAAAACAAACACAACACTCAACATAAACTCAATTTAAATGTAATCATAAAGGCATATTGCTCACAGTCTATCCCGTAGCGCCAAATCGCACCCTTTCCGAGCGCCGGCGGAAAATTTAGATTTACACCCTCCCACCTCCCTCAAACTTTCGATTTCCACCCTCCCCCCCCTCTTGCTACGCCTCTGTTATAAAATCAATGCTAATAATAATATTCCAACAATAATGTACTCTTACACGTCTGCATAATTTGCATTCACATTTTGCTAATTATATTATTCCAACAATTATTCCGTCTTGCAGATTTTGCATTCACATTTTTAGCGTGAGTTCAATTTATCTTTGAATTACCTCCATTGGCAAAATTACTAAGCAGTTTAATTAGATTTTTCTACCGTACTGTTATTATGTTATTGATATGTATCCACTTTTTCTGGGAATATTAACGAAAACGATATTTGACATTGATCCTTTTAATATGTTTTAGCAATGTGCGTGTATTTAATATTCTCTTTACGTTATGCAAAATTGTACAAACAGTGGAAATTATAAAATAGCTCTATGCCGTTATATAAACAAACCCTACTCTATTACTTCTAGTAAGACACTGCGGTGCACTGAAAAGCACAGCATGGTGCGATGTTTACTTTTATGGTTTCAAAATCTATAGCTATGACAGACTGACACACGCTCAGCCCGCTTATATTATAGATTTTAGTTCATTTGTTTAACGATACGACAGTATTTATTCGTATGCCCGGGTGCCGTATACATATACATATCCACATACGTACATATAGGCCTATACAGCTTCATCTGGTTATAGATATGCATATAGATTTAGATGTAGATGCAGACCGGTGTAAATTCATTCATCCAATCCATTTCATCATGTAATTAATTATTCGCTTTTTTGTGTCGAAATGTACGTTTTTTGTGTGCATAAATATCCGAATCATCCTACAGATGTATGCATACATACACATGTTAAACCGCTCGTCAATCCAATGGAGGCTAAGCCCCTCCCCCCCCCGTCAAAAAAGATTCAGATGTAGATGTAGATGTAAAAGTGAATATATATATATATATATATATATATATATATATATATATATATAATTATATATATATATATATATATATATATATATATATATATATATATATATATATATATATATATATATATATATATATATATATATATATATATATATATATATATATATATATTTCAAGATATAAATATATATATATTTTTTTTTTCAAGGAATGATTTTCAACGTTCAGTTTTAGGAAGAGTTGATTTGACAAACATGCCTTGAAAAATAAAATATGTTTCGCGAACAGAGTTATTTTACCAATCACACTGTACAAGAAATCGCCGCATTAAAACATAGAATTCCTTCATTAAGTGTGTTGTTATCTTCAGTAAAAAGCAAACAGATGATATTTATTAGCAGTAGCGACACAAGGCGAGGGGTGGGTGGTGGGGTTCGGTCCGCCCCGGGTGACAGTATTTTGTGACACCACGACAAAAAATCGTAGAAGTTACTACCAAAACTATTTTTTAATCTAGTGAAGATAACAACAAAAAAAAAAGAAGTGAGACAGGTGACACCTTAACGAAAAAGCAAATTTGTTGGCGGGGGGGGGGGGGGGATGACACGTATAGAAACAGCACCAGGTAATACCCGATCTAGTGACGCCTTTTTTTAGAAGGGTTGTTACTCAGAAAATGATCCTGGCAACTTTCTTTTTAAAAAATGCTTTACACTTTAAGTAAAGATACCGATGTGCTTTGTAGATCAATATATTAACCACCAAAATGAGCGTCAAATCAATTTAACTGTGGGGGTGGGTGGGGTGGGGGAGGGGGGTCGGGCATGCGTATGTTTATGGTTATGGTATGAGCTTTTGATTCCAGACTATCGAAATCACATCTTTATTTATAGTTGCTAGTCGTCATAGCACAGTCACTGAGTAGCAAGACTCTTAGGATACAGTCCCATTGATGACTGCACTAAATGTAAGATTATTGGAAGGTTTAGTCTAGAAACCTTTGATGACTTTACAAAATTTAAGATTATAAATGTAAGAATATTGGAAGGTTATATTCTAGAATCCTTTGAAGACTTCACTAAATGTAAGAATATTGGAAGGTTATATTCTAGAATCCTTTGAAGACTTCACTAAATGTAAGAATATTGGAAGGGTATATTCTAGAAGCCTTTGATAACTTCACCAAATGTAAGGTTATTGGAAGGTTATCGTCAAAAATCCTTTAATGATTTTACTAAATGTAAGATTATTGGAAGGTTATTGTCAAGAATCCTTTGATTAGTTCATTAAATGTAAGATTATTGGAAGAGTATTGTCTATAATCCTTTGATGTATCACTAAATGTAAGATTATTAGATGGGTATTGTCTATAATCAATTGATGATTTCACTAAATGTAAGATTATTAGAAGGGAATTGTCTATAATCCTTTGATGATTTCACTAAATGTAAGATTATTGGCAGATTACAGTAAAAAAACCCTTGATGATTTTACTAAATGAATGATTTATTTATAGGTTATGATTTAGAATCATTTTATGATTTATAACTTCACCAAATGTAAGGTTATTGGAAGGTTATCGTCAAAAATCCTTTAATGATTTTACTAAATGTAAGATTATTGGAAGGTTATTGTCAAGAATCCTATGATAACTTCATTAAATGTAAGATTATTGGAAGAGTATTGTCTATAATCCTTTGATGTATCACTAAATGTAAGATTATTAGAAGGGGTATTGTCTATAATCCATTGATGATTTCACTAAATGTAAGATTATTGGCAGATTACAGTAAAAAAAAACCTTGATGATTTTACTAAATGAATGATTATTTATAGGTTATGATTTAGAATCATTTTATGATTTATAACTTCACCAAATGTAAGGTTATTGGAAGGTTATCGTCAAAAATCCTTTGATGATTTTACTAAATGTAAGATTATTGGATGGTTATTGTCAAGAATCCTTTGATAAATTCATTAAATGTAAGATTATTGGAAGAGTATTGTCTATAATCCTTTGATGTATCACTAAATGTAAGATTATTAGAAGGGTATTGACGATTGTCTATAATCCATTGATAATTTTACTAAATGTAAGATTATTGGCAGATTACAGTAAAAAAAAACCCTTGATGATTTTACTAAATGAATGATTATTTATAGGTTATGATTTAGAATCATTTTATGATTTTTACAAGTATAGTTATTTGTAATGTACAGTTTACTATGTGTACATTGTTAATCTTACATTATTTTTTATTTCTGGCTGTTTCAAACCTTTTAACCAATTAGCTACTTAAGCTACCGATTAACATCTTCAAGATGGCTGTCGTCTTTGAATGTGAGACCACCGATTGGTTGGTATTGAGTTGTCATGGTAACCGATTGATTAGCACAACACTGTAATAATAACATCGTACACATTTCAATTCTAAATATAGCCATTACACTTACAATAAATACTCACATTAACGTGCCCTTACGTCCATCTGTAATCTTGCAATGTAAGTTTGATACATAATCCAGAATATATTTGTCCATTAGCAAAACCTATTCAAAGATCACTCGAATCAAAAAAATTTTACGTCCACTATTCTTGAGCAGTATTCACTTTTTGAGCCAAACTAATTAAAACGTAAAAAACCAAACCGGCAACAGTTTAACCTGTACAGCCGGATGTAACTTTGGACGTTAAAACAATGACAGATGACAGATGTCAGGTGGTGTATTTTCACCGTCAACATGTCGCCTGTTGGTTTTAAACACATTAGTTTTAAATTGTAGATCTAATAACAATGTTGTAAGGGGGAAAAGTTTGAGGAAAAGGAAAGGTTCAAGTTTTTAATCTACATCTACGATGTTGTAATGTGGAAAAAGTTTTAGAAGAAGGAAAGGTTCAAGTTTTTTTTTTAAATTTACATATACAACGTTGTAATTTGGAATAAGTTTGAAGAAAAATGAATGGTTCAAGTTTTTAATTTACATCTACGATGTTGTAAAAGGGAAAAGTTTGAGGAAAAGGAAAGGTTCAAGTTTTTAATCTATATCTGCGATGTTGTAATGTGGAAAAAGTTTGAGGAAAAGGAACGGTTCAAGTTTTTTTATTTTTGCCTGTTTAGACTTATGTCGCAGCTTTGTAGGAAGTTAAATATGAAGGGGAAAGTTTAAAAAGTTTTAAATAAGAATTTCCAACATTATTATATGTATAAAAATATGTTTTATTGTTGCTTAGGCATAAACATTCATGAACAAATAAATTATAACATATGTCATTTATATACATGAACGGAAGATGAGATAGTGTTGTGTTTATATAAACAAAAATGGACATTCATACATATGACTAGTATCATTTACTCATACATACAGATGCAAGTTCTCACAAGTAGATGTAAGTACATATGTAATTTTTGACAGTCACACATATAGGCCTGTCCCAAGGGAAGTGGGACACAAATGACTCCCCCCCCCACCCTGCCCCCCCTCACACACAGCACAAAACACATATGTAAGTATCCAAGCACAAATTTTGATGTGTCCCTCATTCTTTCGTTCACCCATCCTAGTCAGAATTTTTACCCCATAGCATCATATACTACTCTCCATAATAGAACATACACTTATCTTACAATAGCACATGCATATAATTCAATTGTAATGACATATGATTATTTTACAATAACTTGTGTTTTTTACAATGAGGCTTAACATAAACATATTTTACCATGATATATACCGATATTTTAAAACTACACATGCTTATGTAAAAACATACATATTACAGTATTGCTTGTATTGACAAGTAACTTTTCATACTCTAGCTATTACTGAGAGAAACTATAGAGCGTTGTTTATAATGTTACGTTTCTGTTTAGTTTTGTTTTTAAAGCAAGTTTTACAGTAAAGAATAAACAATAAAACTTGGAGCTTAAACTAGAGATTTTTCACAAAACTAATAAATGTTTTGTATCATAGTATTTTACAGTAATCACATGATTAACAACAAAACAATTAATATCAAATGTATCTGACACCCCCCTCCCCCACCCCTCTTTCTCCAATTAACCACCCTGTCTAAGAATAGCAGGTGAGTTCTTCCTCAATGACGTCATCGTATTCTGACTGTCCAGCTGGTACCGGAACCGGAACCTGGAGCCGGCCATCTGGTCACGGATGATTTGATCAAACCAGGCGCTCTGCTCAGGTGTGAAGTAGTTCCTCCAGTCCCCCACCTCACCTGGACAGAGAAGAAACATTAATTACATTTAGGTGAAATTATAAATTACGTGGGTTTAGATTTTAGTCAAAGCTGGGTGGAAATTTTTTCTCTCGCTACAATTGATTATGTTCTGACGAAGGCCTAACACCGAAACGTTGTTTGTTGTGTTTAATCTTATCAGGAGAAATGACTCTTGCATTTGCCTAGTACGGAGTGGCCTAGCGGCAGAGAGCTGGACTGCTAACCCGTAAGTCTCGAGTTTGAATCCGTGTTCAAGTCAGTAGACCGTCCAGGCAGCTCTGACGGGTACCTAACTCACGTTAGGCAAAGTAAAGGCGGCTGGGCATAATGCTGACCACACTATCCCTTCATATGCCGAGGTCACAGAAACAGGTGAACTCTACTTCACTTGTCCCATGGATCGTCAGGTTTGGGAACTTTATTTTTGGCCTAGTCGCTAAAATCGTGGGACGGCCTGATCGGGTGCTAGAGCATACGACTGCTAACCCGAAAAACTGGAGTTCGGATCCCGGACTCGAGTCTGTAGGGCGCCCCTGAGTCCACCCAGCTCTTATGGGTACCTGGTTCACGGTCGGGAAAGTAAACGCGGCTGGGTATAGTATATAGTATAAACTATACTATCTCTTGTGAATGGCGGTCATAGAAACATAACCCGCCTGATTCAAAAGAATAACTCTAATTTTTTAAATCTAATTTAAAATCAACAAAAATAAATAACTATTGTTAATCTCATGTCTGTTGCTTACCTTTGCGATACATGATGGGCTGACCTTCATCGTCGAGAACCGCGACTGGGAATTTCCGTTTTTTCATGCTGTCAAATGACGTCATTTCCGCCACCTGCTGTAGGAAGTTGTCGCTGTGATCGTGCCCTAGGAAGGTGGATAGCCTGCGCAGTTCGGCTAATGGGTTCTGTGGGGGAAGCGTTTTCACATTTAGAAATTTTGGTCGTTTAGTGATTCATTGATTAATAGACACATTATGGTTATTTATTGTGACTGTGTCAAAGAAGAAATGGACAATAACTTACGCTACTTAGTTAAACGTTAACAGTACTGATGTATTTCAGGCTTTTTATTTTTGAAGGTGCCACTACCTTCAACCAAGCTTTGACTAAATCCCTAACTTTGGCCCTGACTAAATAACTGGCCCTAGTTCTGACTAAATACCTGACCATAGTCAGCGTTTCTTTCAGACTTTTTTTCTACAGGGTGGGGGGCACAGAATATTTTTGAGGGGCGGGGGCGGACGGGAAGGGGGGGGGGGGCGGACACTGGTAAAAGTATATATTTTCTAAATAAATTCCATTTCGTTGGGGGGGGGGGGGGAGAGGGGGCGGATGCTTGGAAGAAACTCTGGCCCTATTCCTGACTAAATACCTGGCCATAGTATGAACTAAGTACTTTAGCACTTAGTTTAATCTAACAGATACCGCGTTAAAAAAAATTGTTTTATAAACTCATATTGGTTGCCCTAATTAATTCATTGATGTCACGTGCAGCTCCTACACCACCTTACCTCTTTCATGTCCTCATAATTTCCAACAAAGATCGGCTGTTCTGGGTGGGAGGCGATCGCTTCTTCCCAGCTTTTCAAATACTGGAAGGGACTGCAATTATCCACTGAAATATTTAAAAACAAACATTAACTTTATGTAGCATAAATCGAATAATTTTTAGACTTTTTTTTAAAGAGACCAGTATTTTAAAATATTTTATTTTTTAAATTTTTTTTTTTAAATTTTAAAAATTAAATTAACAACTTGATGTGATGACCGCCCTTTAAAAAAAACCCTAAGAGTTACCTTTTCCTTGCACGAGCCTCTTGAGGTAGTTTGAAAATTTTCCGTTGTAGTCATAGTCCTTGAACTTCCTGTGATGGTTGAAAAAGGACACGGCGACGTCTTTGGGGTTTCTGTAGAAGAAAACCGTTTTGATCTTCTTCTCCACTAGGTCACGTGGTTGAGAGTCCCAGAACATGTGATTGTTGAGGATTCTGGGAGACGGAAGAGCCGACAGCTGGTCTAGTGTGTTGTATTCGATCATGTAGTGTTCCTTGTCGACGACTTCCAGGTTCGTGGAGCCGTGTCGGAGCATGCGCAGAATCTCCCACACCCAATGACAACCTTTGTAAACGAAAACATAATTTAATAAGAGTTCAGATTTGCGAATTTATTTTAATCACTATCTTATAGGAACATTGAACACTCTTTTTTTTAAAGATTCAAATTTACCAACGACAGAAAGCATGGATGGATGTTTTAAATGGCCCTTGCTTAATTAATTATTAGTTGAAAAGGGCGAAAAAATAAATAAATTAAGAACACGTATTGAGCTTATTATAGCCGGTATATAAAAATATAATCGATACTTTTTTTTACCGGTATTTCTATTTAAGATAGTGTTAAGATTATGATTAGTGTCAAAGCTAGGGATAGGGTTGTATAGATGGAGGGTTAGTCTAGGATTCAAACCAATGTTAAGGTAAAGATATTAACAAGAAGGTTGACTCGATACGGTCTGGTAAGTTTTTAAAAATACCAATCTTTTTTCGTTTTTTCGTGGCCAATCAGCGTTTTTGGTCATGCCTATCATAATTAATGAAGGGAGGGGGGTGGGGTAACCAATTGATTAATTATTTACCTGATTTGGAGTAGGAACAGAGCATGACGTCATCGTGACGTAGTTCGACGTTTCTCATGTTGAGTATGGTCTCCTCCACGAAGTCCGAGGCGACGAATCTGTTGTCGTTGTATCTGATGAGGGTCATGGTGTCCCCGCTGTCGTCTGATACAACTTCTACTGGCATCTGGGTGGTGAGATCAAAAGAGCGTCAACATTGTGCTAAATATTTATAAGCTGGATAGTGAGATCAAATGAGAGTCAACATTGATCAAAATTTTTTTGTGAGATCGGTAGGGAGATTAAACGAGCATCAACATTGAAATAACTATTTTATATAAGTTGGGTTGCAAGATCAAAGGAACCTCAACATTGAGTAAACTATTTTATGTAAGATGGGTAGTGAGATAAAACGAGCATCAACATTGAGTTAACTATTTTATATAAGTTGGGTTGCAAGATCAAAGGAACCTCAACATTTAGCTATTTTATGTGAGATGGGCAGTGAGATCAAACGAGCATTAACATTGAGTGAACTATTTTATGTAAACTGGGTAGTGAAATCAAATTCAGACAACATTTTAAATTCATGGTCAGGCAGCTAAATAAAAAGTCATTATTACGATACTTTGCTAATTAAGTGTGATATCATAATTTAGTGTCTTAAGTTTATGATTAGTTGTTTTCAAACTTTAAATTATAGTTAAATTTTTCACATACCTTTCGTAGTTGAGTTGTCGACCTTAAAAATAAAGTTTTGGAATTTAATGTTTTAAAAATTTGGCTTTCTTTCCCTCAGCGATCTGGCAAGTTCTGACACCCAGTTGCCTCTGCGGCCAAAATTCAGTAAACAATGGCAAACCGGCAGCTTTTATACTCATCTTAGGCAATGTACTGTAACGTTTTTTTTTATTGGCCCGTTCTTGGAGTTTCAAATAAATGAAAGGCTAGTTCCAAGGCCGAATCTGCATGTGTCCCACTTCATTATGAAATCAATCAAGGTCAGATCAAACCGGTTGGAACTGCCCCACGCCACCTACTTTAAGTGGGGAGATCGGAAAGTTCAATGAAATATTTTAATGATTCGTGTGAGCCAAACAGCCGTTCGTCATTCAGGAAGTATTGAAGTATATATATATATATATATATATATATATATATATATATATATATATATATATATATATATATATATATATATATATATATATATATATATATATATATATATATATATATATATATGTGTGTGTGTGTGTGTGTGTGTGTGTGTGTGTTTGTGTGGGTTCGTGTGTGTATGAGCTCGTGCAAAACCCATCTACAGTTGTACATATCATATATAGGGGTGGGGGGTGTCATTGAAAAGGGAGAAGTAATTCTTCTTGTAATGACAATGAGATTAATATCTAGGCGGTGTGTGTGTGTGTGTGTGTGTGTGTGTGTGTGTGTGTGTGTGTGTGTGGAAGAGGGGAGGTATGAGAGGTTATTGACCGGGACGGTAGGTCCATCTCCCATAAACTATATATTTCGGTCAATGACCTGTTTTGTTTTTTGTCAGTTTGAGATTTAGTCGTCTTGAATTCACGTTAACCTAGGCGCTAAACAAAAAAGAAATAGGTTTCTATTTTTTTCTGAGTGGATACATTTTTGGTTTGACCGCTTGTTCCATGCTTTTACTAGCTCCTCACAAACTATAACACTCTACCTTCTTGTGTTACCTTAAAACTATAACACTCTACCTTCTTGTGTTACCTTTAAACTATAACACTCTACCTTCTTGTGTTACCTTAAAACTATAACACTCTACCTTCTTGTGTTACCTTAAAACTATAACACTCTCTCTCTCTTTGTCTTACCGTACAACTATAATTCACTTTCTTTTTCACCGTAAAACTATAACATCCTCAATTCCCTTGTTACCGCAAAATTATAACACTCGCTTCTTTTGTTACAGTAAAACTATAACACTCCCCATTCCTTTACCATACAACCATATCACTCCCTCTTTTTCTTAACATAAAACTATAACATCCTCACTTCCTTTGCTACCGTAAAATTATAACACTCTCACTTTCTTTGTACCGTAAAACTATTACAATCCCTCTTTTTCTTACCGTAAAACTATAACATTACCTCCGTTTCTTACCGTAAAACTATAACCAGAGTTTCTTCCAGGCATCGCTTCAAGTCTACCACCCCGCCGAACAAAATGGAATTTATTTGGAAAATATATACTTTTAACAGTGTCCGCCCCCCGGAGATTTTAGCCAACCCCCCCCCCCCCCCCCGAAAATTTCAAGTGCCCCCCCCCCCCCCCCCGAGAAAAAAGTTTGGAAGAAACACTGACTATAACACTCCCTCCTTTTCTTATCGTACAATTATAAACCTCCCTCCTTTCGTTACAGTACTACTATCCGTTCTCTAGTCTTCTGGAAGTAGAACTTTCAGTCCGAAGATGAAGATCACATGTCTCAATTCCGTCTGTTTTTTTGGCGCGAATTTGAGTACAGTTAAGTTAACAGCCCTCTGTTCTAGTATTTACTACATCCGATCTAGATCTATATTATTAAGATAAGCAGACCAGTAAATTAAAAATTAAAATTTCGAGAAAATGAAGGGCAAAGGAACGACTCAAACACGTGGTGTAGAGAAATTATCTTGTGAACTGTAACTCTTCGAGTTTAGAGGAAAGAAAGAAGTGCTAAAATTGGTTCAGCGATGCCAAGATGGCTGATTCTCACGCCCACTCAGTTCTGACACAGCCGGGCGGGGTTCAAGGACATCGTCCTACATTGTGCACTACTGCGTACTCGGACACCATCTTCTGGACATCTATTGCGGCTGTTGGACTTTTCTGGATAGAGGACAATTCTGGCAGGACTTTTCTGGTGAAAAGGACATTTTTGGATGGAGGACAATTCTGGCTGAAAACAGGACGTTTCTTGTAAAGCGACGTAGTTAACAGTGCATTTGAAAATATGAATTGAAAGTTTAAAGTGAGTTATGTCTAAGTCCATTCGTAAAAAAAATACACATCCGGAGCAATGAAAGTTAAGCTCGCCTCACACTTTCCACCCTTTCCACTTTCGATCGTATAACCCTTCCCCTCTTTGTATAAATAGATTAACCAAACCAAGATTTAAACCCGGGACAATAGCAGACCTTCTGATACTCTAGTACCCAACAGTGGTATTTACAACAAGGCCCTGGTTAGTTTCACGCAGTGTTTCTTTCAGACTTTTTTCTCTCTTAGTGAGGGGGGCGGACACTGATAAAAGAATATATTTCCTAAATTCATTTCTGGGGGGGGGGGGGGGGGAAGGGAGGGGGTAGACTAGACTTCCTTCGGGGAACGCTTTGCCCCCTCCCTCCCACCCCCCTCCGAAGAGATGCCTGGAAGAAACTCTGGTTTCACCGAAGGAGGTGTTCAGCAGTTCAATGGGCCAGTCGTGTCCAGATAAGCAGCTGACCATTCCCTCGGTCCCACACCTTGCTGCCAAGGCTAATCAAATCACGATAAACTAGGCCCACATTTATGGGGAAAAAAATGTAAACTAGAATTCATGACGAACTTAGTCTAGTTTTTAATGAGTAAAAATAAATATTATTAATTCGTTCAGTACTTTTAGCACAGGCCGTTTTTAATTGGTGCAAACTAATTTAATTGAACTAATTGGTGCAAGCTGATTGTTTTAATTGGTGCAGACTAATTGAATTAGACCAATAGGTGCAAGCTGATTGTTTTAATTGGTGCAAATTATTTTAATTGATGAAAAGTCGTTCATCGCTAAAAATAAAAAAATAAAAAAAAAATACGGTGTTAAATTTAATTAAAAAGTACTGCTGTTTGTCAATGAAAGAAATGAAATAATTTAATAATGTATTTGTTATACTTAGGGATCATGACTGTTGTCAACTAGTTCTCAACATTGGTATTTTACAAAACGTGGTCCGGTTGATTGACGAAGGAACTGTCCAGCAGTCAATGGACCACTACTTAAACTTGAGGACCACTGTCCTCCACCACTTAAACTTGAGGACCACTGTCCTCCACCACTTAAACTTGAGGACCACTGTCCTCCACCAGTTAAACTTGAGGACCACTGTCAGTTAAACTTGAGGACCACTGTCAGTTAAACTTAAGGACCACTGCCTTCCACCAGTTAAACCTGAGGACCACTGTCCTCCACTACTTAAACTTGAGGACCACTGTCCTCCACTACTTAAACTTGGGGACCACTGCCGTCCACCAGTTAAATTTGAGGATCACTGCCACCACTTAAACTTGAGGACCACTGTCCTCCACTAATTAAACTTGGGGACCACTGCCCTCCACCAGTTAAATTTGAGGACCACTGCCACCACTTAAACTTGAGGACCACTGTCCTCCACTAATTAAACTTGGGGACCACTGCCCTCCACCAGTTAAATTTGAGGACCACTGCCACCACTTAAACTTGAGGACCACTGTCCTCCACTAATTAAACTTGGGGACCACTGCCCTCCACCAGTTAAATTTGAGGACCACTGCCACCACTTAAACTTGAGGACCACTGTCCTCCACTAATTAAACTTGGGGACCACTGCCCTCCACCAGTTAAATTTGAGGACCACTGCCACCACTTAAACTTGAGGACCACTGTCCTCCACTAATTAAACTTGGGGACCACTGCCCTCCACCAGTTAAATTTGAGGACCACTGCCACCACTTAAACTTGAGGACCACTGTCCTCCACTAATTAAACTTGGGGACCACTGCCCTCCACCAGTTAAATTTGAGGACCACTGCCACCACTTAAACTTGAGGACCACTGTCCTCCACTAATTAAACTTGGGGACCACTGCCCTCCACCAGTTAAATTTGAGGACCACTGCCACCACTTAAACTTGAGGACCACTGTCCTCCACTAATTAAACTTGGGGACCACTGCCCTCCACCAGTTAAATTTGAGGACCACTGCCACCACTTAAACTTGAGGACCACTGTCCTCCACTAATTAAACTTGGGGACCACTGCCCTCCACCAGTTAAATTTGAGGACCACTGCCACCACTTAAACTTGAGGACCACTGTCCTCCACTAATTAAACTTGGGGACCACTGCCCTCCACCAGTTAAATTTGAGGACCACTGCCACCACTTAAACTTGAGGACCACTGTCCTCCACTAATTAAACTTGGGGACCACTGCCCTCCACCAGTTAAATTTGAGGACCACTGCCACCACTTAAACTTGAGGACCACTGTCCTCCACTAATTAAACTTGGGGACCACTGCCCTCCACCAGTTAAATTTGAGGACCACTGCCACCACTTAAACTTGAGGACCACTGTCCTCCAGTTAAACTTGATAACCACAGCCCACCACTACTAAAACTTGAGGACCACTGCCACCACTTATTACATTGTGACGAAATCTTGTCCATCATGGGACTACATCGTGAACATTTTTTTTTAATTACAATTTTTAATTAATCCATCTGTTGAAAATCACGCCTAGGGGCCAGACCAACTTGGTTCATTTCAGGGTCAACTCACCGACATTTGATTGGTGGAACAAACAGCCAATCAGAAGACAGCATTGCCAAAATATTTGCCTAGACATACCAAAGTTCTTTAAATATTCTTCAACACTCGATTTTGGATAAGTTTTTTTTTTCCAAATTTCGGTATAAGTAAATTGTTTAAATTGTCGCGATAAGACATATTTTTAAAAATCTATTTAAATAACTAAAACAAAAGTCTGGTTTAATTGGTGCATTGCTACATCAGCAGTGTTTCTTTCATACATTTATTTATCAGAATCTTACTTTTACAGGCTGAAAATAATTTCAATACTAAATTAACATGTAGATTAATGTAGAAGATTAAAAACATGCACCACGTCAAGCGGAAAACGTAAGCGGAGAGAGCACTATTCAAGAACGATAACTCTGTATTTTATCATCCAGATGTATTTAAAACTGCTGCAGATGCATAGTTGCGTCCCCTTCTACCTAGAACTTTGTGGTGGTGGTACATGTAAGACGTCCGTTTTATCGCTGTGTAGCTTTTGTACCATTAAGAGGGAGGATATTAAATATTTATAGACAACCCTATAATAAACAATACAAACAAAATAACAACAAAAAAACAAAACCCACCAATATATCTCTAAATTCAGGTTGTTTCCCCCATTTTTTTTTGCCACAAACTAACGTTGGCTATTCTAGTACTTGACACAACCAAATAATGATACGGGCCGTCAATTAGCACGTCATATATCTATGGAGGGGGAGGGGTATTCGAAATTATTGGAGACTTTGGGGGGGGGGGGGGGGTAAGAAAGTACGACGACACATTTTACATTTGAAAACAAAATAATGTTGGATAGTGTATTTTAGCAGTAATTTCGCGTTTTTAAAAGATTGTTTTTGTTAATTGTAACAAAAATTTGTTAATAAACTCAATGTTGACTTCGTAGATGGTATCACCAACCCGTTCTGGCACAAACCCCAGATTTGGCCAGATAAAAAAAAAGTTAAAAAGTTTAAAAAAATTCAAGATAGTTTTTGGTAGATATATAATATATTAAACGAAAAAAAAATACCTCCCATCCTTGCAACAACGGTTATAGTATTTACAATAAGTGCAAGCTCTTATATTTAAATAATAATAAAATAATAATAATGATAATAATAATAATAATAATAATAACAATAATAACAATAATAAAAATAATAACAATAATAACAACAATAACAATAATAATAATAGTAATAATAATAATAATAATAATAACAATAATAATTTAGAAAATACAGTAATGCTTTAACTTTAAGCAGTTTTGTCTACACTTGGTTCACACAAGTATGCCAGGTATTTTCCAGCGTGTGTATGCCAGGTTTTTTCCCGTGTGTGTAGGTAGCGATACTTACAGACCATACTTGTATCACTTAAAGCCCGTACTGGTATCAAAGACGAGTTGAATGGTCCTAGCGACTAAAGAGCGTATCTAATACACAAGTGTTAAAAGTGAAAGTGGTCAAGCGTGACTGCACCTACCAATGGGGTTTTGTTCATTGAGGTGTGTCGATCGATACAGATGTGTATCGAACATTGAAATAAACAAACGCTAGTTTTATGGTGTCAAAGTGTGTATTTAAATGTGAGTTTTCGTGTTTTAAAATATTTACTTGTTATTTGAACTTTGCGCAATTACTAGAGAAGTTTTAGATTAATGACTTGTATTGTAGTTTAGCTCATTTACACAGATCTTTAAATACTAGAGAAGTTTAGACGAATGTCTTGTAAATCTGTTATAGTTTAGGTCATTTACCCAAATCTGTAATTACCAGAGAAGACTAATGTCTTGTACTATAGTTTTGGCCCTTTAAAAAAATATGTCCAAAACTGCCTTCATTTATTTGTTACTCTTATTTTTCACAGTGCTTATTTTCACACTTGTTGCGTTCATTATTGTTACATTTGTGACGATTATTCTTGTCACCATATTGAATTTTATGATTGTCACAATGTTAACATGTCACAATGTTGACTTGTCACAATGTTGACTTGTTACAATGTTAACCTGTCACAATGTTGACTTGTCACAATGTTAACTTGTCACAATTTTGACTTGTCACAATGTTAACCTGTCACAATGTTAACTTGTCACAATGTTGACTAGTCACGTTGTTGAGGTTCATTTTCGGACGTTGTTGCCGTTTAACATTGTGACAATGATGACATAAGTTATCGTCACAAAGTAGTATTCTCTGAATCCAAAATCACGTTTCTGTGATCAGGTAATATTTTTTTACTACACTACTTTTAGAGATACCAGCACATGCCAGGTACCCATTAGAGCTGAATGGGGAGTTGACTACTAAGGGGCCCATATTTGTTACAACCAGGTGCCCCAAAAAGTTGTCTCATGCTGTAACTATATATAAAGGGGGCCCTATGATTTAATAGACACGGGGGGGGGCATATTTTGGCAACCAGGGGCCCCGCCTGCGATTAATCTGTTCTTGCTAGATCAAATACCAGAATGTGAATATATTTAAGCTAAAAATAACTTCATCACAACAACACTCACTAAAATAACTGATCTTTGTGTGATATTAAAATTTACAATAATACTAAAATGATTGGCCTTTGAGTTGTATTATAATTTACTTTGAACCAAGGACGCAATAAAAGTGAATGTTTTTCAAAAAGTTGTTAAATAAATTAATTAGAAATCAACAATAATCCAGCCATATTGCAGACTGCCAGGACACATAGCATGATCCGATGAGATGGGCCTAATCAAAAGATTTCTGGCGGTTAATCCCCTTACTAAAGCCACGTTAATCCTCTTGCTGGTAAGTGCATTTTAAAATTTTTACTATTGATTTATCGCATCTAATTATGGGACGGAGTGGAGCGCTAGACTGCTATTCTCGAGTTCGAATCCGGGTTCAAGTCAGTAGAACCTCCCTGAGTCCACCCAACTCTGATGGGTACCTAACTCACGTTAGGGAGAGTAAAGGCGGCTGGGAATAGTGCTGACCACACTATCTCTTCATATGCCGAAGTTAAGGAATCATATGAACTCCACTTCATCTGCCCAATGGATCGTTAGGTCTAAAGAGGAATCTTTACTTATCTCATCTGATTGTGTTTATTGACATCTCCATTTTAAACTTAACTACATATAAAAGAAGTTAAAATAGTATCGACTGTATAATGAATATAAGACTGTTTACTGTCTTTCAATTAATGCAAGACACGGACTGTACACAATTATACACATTCTGTTTTTATTTTTAATTTAACTAAGTTTTTAAAAATTCTTCACCTGTGCTAATTAACACTTTAGCCTCGAACGATAAGGGACTAGATCTATATAAGATTATTTAAGTTAAAAATTCAGAATTTGATAATTGTTTTTAAAAACCTGAAACTTTAAAAAGAAAGATTGGTTGACAAGGTGTTGATGACATTTGTTAATTTAACAGGTGGCTAAGATTTGTAATTGGTTGAGTATGTGCATGAACGACTTAAACTTTTTAAAAGAAGTTGTCGACAAGGTGTTAATGACGTCTGTTAATTAAACAGTTGGCTGAGATCTTTAATGAAGTCTGTTAATTAAACAGTTGGCTGAGATCTTTAATGAAGTCTGTTAATTAAACAGTTGGCTGAGATCTTTAATGAAGTCTGTTAATTAAACAGGTGGCTGAGATCTTTAATGTTGATGACGTCTGTTAATTAAACAGGTGGCTGAGATCTTTAATGACGTCTGTTAATTAAACAGGTGGCTGAGATCTCTAATGTTGATGACGTCTGTTAATTAAACAGGTGGCTGAGATCTTTAATGAAGTCTGTTAATTAAACAGTTGGCTGAGATCTTTAATGAAGTCTGTTAATTAAACAGGTGGCTGAGATCTTTAATGTTAATGACGTCTGTTAATTAAACAGGTGGCTGAGATCTTTAATGTTAATGACGTCTGTTAATTAAACAGGTGGCTGAGATCTCTAATGTTGATGACGTCTGTTAATTAAACAGGTGGCTGAGATCTTTAATGACGTCTGTTAATTAAACAGGTGGCTGAGATCTTTAATGACGTCTGTTAATTAAACAGGTGGCTGAGATCTTTAATGTTAATGACGTCAGTTAATTAAACAGATGGTTGGGATGTTTAATGATGGTGACGTCTGTTAATTAAACAGGTAGCTGAGATCTTTAATGTTAATTACGTCTGTTAACAGGTGGCTGAGATCTTTAATTGGCTGAGTATGTGTATGAACGACTGGGCCCTCTATGACGACAGCGCTGCTAATGATAAGAACAAGCTGGGGTACGGAGTCTGGAAGAGGTGCGGCAATCAGGAACCGGATCCTAATTGTATGGACCTCGATGGCTGGAGGCTTAGTAGGTGTTTTTGTAAGGAGCTGGTGGGGGCTTAGTAAGTGTTTTTGTAAGGGACTGGTGGAGGCTTAGTAGGTGTTTTTGTAAGGGACTGGTAGGGGCTTAGTAAGTGATTTTGTAAGGGATTGGTGGGGGCTTAGTAAGTGATTTTGTAAGGGGTGGGGGGGGGGGGCTTAGTAAGTGTTTATGTAAGGGGTGGGGGGGCTTAGTAAGTGTTTTATAAGGGGCTGGTGGGGGCTTAGTAGGTGTTTTATAAGGGGCTGGTGGGGGCTTAGTAGGTGTTTTATAAGGGGCTGTTGGGGGCTTAGTAAGTGTTTTTGTAAGGGATTGGTGGGGGCTTAGTAGGTGTTTTATAAGGGGCTGGTGGGGGCTTAGTAGGTGTTTTTGTAAGGGGCTGGTGGGGGCTTAGTAGGTGTTTTTGTAAGGGGCTGGTGGGGGCTTAGTAGGTGTTTTATAAGGGGCTGGTGGGGGCTTAGTAGGTGTTTTATAAGGGGCTGGTGGGGGCTTAGTAGGTGTTTTATAAGGGGCTGGTGGGGGCTTAGTAGGTGTTTATGTAAGGGGTGGGGGGGATTAGTAGGTGTTTTTGTAAGGGACTGGTGGGGGCTTAGTAGGTGTTTATGTAAGGGGTGGGGGGGATTAGTAGGTGTTTTTGTAAAGGGCTGGTGGGGGCTTAGTAGGTGTTTATGTAAGGGGTGGGGGGGATTAGTAGGTGTTTTTGTAAGAGGCTGGTGGGGGCTTAGCAGAGGCGTAGCGAGGGGGGGGGGGCGGGGGGTGCGGACCGCACCGAGTGATACCATTTAGGGGGGTGACACCAAGGCAAAAAATAGCAAAATATATAGAGAAAAACATGAGGGGGTGCAAATCGAAAGTTCGAGGGGGGGGGGGATGCAAATCGAAAATTTGAAAGTTTATCACCTGGAAGTGTCGCTGCGCCTCTGGGGGGTGACACCATTAAGTACCGCAGCGGGTGACACCCGACCTCGCTATGCCACTAGGGCTTAGTAAGTGTTTTTGTAAGGGTCTAATGGGTGGGGGTGGGGGCTTAGTAAGTTTTTCGTTTTTGTAAGGGGCGGGTGGGGGCTTAGTAAGTTACTGGTTTTTGTAAGGTGTGTGTGGTTTAGCAAGTAACTGAAGTAAGGGGTGAGTGGAGGCTTCGTAAGTGTTTTGTTTTTGTAAGGGGTGGGTCGAGGCTTAGTGGAGGCTGATTTTTTTTGGTTTTGTAAAGGACGGGTGGAGCCTTAGTAAGTTATAGATATTTATCGTTAATGTTAACATCACCCCTCAGCAGTAAGACTGAGTCGTATATAAACCATCATACAAACAAACAACACATCCTTACCATTATGTGAAAGATCACTTTTAACACACAAAAAAGTTAATTAAAAAAATGTTTTTAATGCTTAAAACATCATAAGCAGTTAAAATGTGAGGTTTGTTAAAAGTTTAAAAAAAAAATCATTTTTGGAAGAACTATTTCCCCACACACAGCTTGGTACGGCACGTTTCAAGGGTTTGCCATCATCGCCTTCTTGGCTGTCAACGTCGCCTTCTTCTTCATCGTCCTCTTCATGTTCGTCTCCTCCTGTGTGGGGCGACAGGAGATTGAGAGGATCAGCGCCATCTCGTGTTTTGTTGCCAGTAAGTTCGATTCAAATTCGTTTTCATAACAGCCAGTGTCAGGATAATTTTTAAACTGATATCTTTATTCTTAGTTACATGAATAATTGACGGACATGCTGATGAAAAAAAATCACAATATTTTAACGTTGAGACAACAGGTTTGAAGAGGAATTTCTTTTAGGCATCTCTTCGAAGAATGCCCCCCCCCCCTCCTCTGGACGAAATAGAATGTATAAATAAAAAATATACTTTTAACTGTGTCTTCTTCTACCCCGGAAAATTAAATCCGCCCCCCCCCCCCCCCGAAAATTCCTAGCCCCTATCCCGTTCCCCCCCCCCCTTCCCCGCCCGAGGAGAAAAAGATAAAAAGTCTGAAGGAAACATCGGTTTGTAGTAAGAAAGTATAGCATGGAGAGGTTGGGTGGGTTGGTTAGAGCGTGTCCAAAATATTTTCGAATACAAGGGGGGTGGGTGGTTAGGGGTTATTTACAGAAAGTGCAATGACACCATTTTGCAATTAAAAAGTTAATGTTAAAAATTGAATTTTAGCAAAAAGACTCCCCCCCCCTCTTTTCCGTAAATTGCAATAAAAATTAATATAAATATTCTCAATGTTGAACAGAGTTAATATTTTAGTAAGTAGTAATCGATGTTTTTTTTTTAAATTGTAATTTTTAGGTGTGTGTGTGTGGAGGGGGGGGGGGGGTTAGTTTGCTGAGATTTTACATCATTTTAGTGGGGGGGGGGGGGGGTGACTTTCTGTTCGGTGGATGGAGGGAGATAAAAGTCGTTAAAAAAGTGTGACGTCGTTTGACGTTTATTGGTGACCCTTTTAGTTGTGTAAGCCTAATAGTTTCTTATTAATAACTTAATTTTTTTGTCGGAATTTTCTTTTTGCAGCCGTGTTCTATGTGGTGGCAATCATTATCTTTGGCGTCAAGTTTGACACCACATACGACGCTGGTTATGACAGAGAGATTTTGATGTCCGGCTTTTACCTGGCAATAGCTGTCGCCGTTCTCTGCCTCGCTGCCGGGGTTTGTGCAGTTATCGCCAGCATCGGCAAACAACAGATAAAACCTTCCGGCGACAAAGGCGGGAATGAAGAACAACAGCAACAGGAAGAGCAGACTTCTGGCAGCAGAAATCCTATTTTCGCCCATGGATTTTACCGCTAACAAAAGCCCCCCAATCTGAACCCCAATTGTGAATATTTATTTCTTTTGCTGTGATTTTATAATACTATTCAATTATTCTTTATTTAAAATGCGTTTTCTTCTATAAGTGTAAACTCTGTAGTACAATTTTTGTAAATTAATTATAAAACATAATAAATACTGTTTAAAAAAAAGATGTATTCTATAATAATTAATATGTATCATGAGTTGCGGCATAAGTAAGTAAAGTTACCCTTTCTAACATGACGGTCCATGGGGCAAGTGAAGTCGAGTTCACATATTTTTTTAGGGGATAGTGTGGTCAACACTATGCCCAGCCGCCTTTACTTTCCCTAACGTGAGTCAGGTACACATAAGAGCTGGGTGGACTCAGGGAGGCCCTGTATACTCAAACCCGGACCAAGATACAAACTCGAGAGTAACGGGTTAGAAGTCAAGCGCACTACCACCCTACCACGTCGTCCCACTCCACATAAACAGTTCAAGCCAAACCGCTCAACCCTTAATGTCAAATGGCCAAAATGAAGTAGAGTTTATCTGTTTCTTTCGGCATGTGCAGGGATTGAGTGATAAATGCGATGTCCAGCTGCCTTTACTTGCCCCGGTCGTGGTGTCCTCACCAAAGCTGACGTCACTGACTTCTAGTTTCACTTTATCAACCACGTGATCAACTACACCGTCGATGATGATTGTGATCTATTTATAGCACCGCCTGCAGGACCAAAACCCAGCTAGTGATGAAAAAAAAAATGCTAAACACCGAAAGATAAGATAAGAACAACTGAGCCACATTGATGAATAGACCAAGTGTATGTAAATACGAAAGTATGAGAGCACTTGTAAATAAAACTTTAAATACAAGTTAGAAAAAAAAAAACACCATAGATTGTGCGTCTATGGGGTGTTCATTACTAAGGTATGGAGTCAGTTCACTGAAGGCTGTTCATAATAATGTTTTGAAAATGATTTAAAAAGCTCATTCGACGAGAATATTGTTTATCCCTGTAATACAACAATTATTTAATGAAAGCAATGACTAAAATAAAAATGCTTCTGTTTAACCAAGTGACTCAGCTTTTGGTTTAAATAAATGAATAGTGTACACAGTCGCCTTTTCTTTTAGTGCTACCAGTTTAAAATATTGATGCAGATGTAAGTAAGCAGAGTTTCTTCCAGGCATTTCTTCGGAGGGGGGGGGGCTCAGTTCCCCGAAGAAAGTCTGTCCGCCCCCCCCCCCCCTCGGAAAAAAAGTCGTGAAGAAACACTGTAAGTGAAGTTCCCATTTCCAACCTGACGGTCCATGTGGCAAATGAAGTAGAGTTCACCAAGCCGTCCCCCTAAAGAAATTTTGACTTTCTTTTTTTGAAGATGGTGGGGTGGGGGGGGGGGGGTCGATGGACTTTCTTGGGGGTATGGGGGGGGGGTGGGTGGGGTGTCCCCTCCGAAAAGATGCTTCAAAGAAACTCCGGTTGCAAACAAGTGGTTACGAGGGTATTGTAGATACTCTTATCTTTTTTTTATATCCCCAAATCATGCTGGGTACACATTAGCACTAGTTGTGTTAAAAGACCAAAGAGAAAGACAGATAAAAAACGATAATCAGGCAGGAATAGTCTACAATTTTTATAACCTAAACCATCACAATCCAGAACATAATACACCATGCATATCTCAATACGTGGTCTTGTATCCCAGTTTTATAAATTTCCTACTGTAAAAGAACACATACTGAGTTGTATTTCGACCAAAAATATCGTATGTATCAATCCACTAGTAATAAAACAATACGACACAAACCCCATTTGATAATACTCTCCAAGACATATAGGCCTACCGCCCCATTCGTTAGTTATAGATCTATAATCTATGGGGTCATCCATAAATGACGTCACACTCGTAGGGGAGAGTGTGTGTGTGTGTGTGGGGGGGGGTCTGGTGACGATGTGTAATGAGAGGGAGGGGGGAGGTTCAGATGTTGCGACGTCACATTTTTGCATTATAAAAAAGCAATGTTAGAAAACGAATTTTAGACGTTATTTCGCGTTTTAGATAACAACTGTTTTAATAAATTGTAATAGTTTAGACAAGATTTTGGAAAAATATCGATGTTTAAAAAAATTCAACTGCAATTTTGAGGGGGGGGGGGGTTGTAGGTTGAGGTGTGACGTCACTTTAGTGGGGGTGTCTGGCTTTTTGTGAGGACGTGTGACGGAGGGGAGGGGGGAGGTAAAAATCGTCAAAAAAAGGGTGACGTCATTTATGGATGACCCCTATATGGAGAAAAACTGACGAGGGTATAAACATGTTGCTACCTGGGTTTCATAAGCTTTTAAACACAATGCTTTAGCACATTACCATCTTCTTCTTTACTGGCCTCTGTGTATTATCAATAAAATAAAGATTTTTTTAAATTAAAAAAATATGTTTGTAATAAATTTCGAACTTATTTATATGAGTTGTAGCCTATACAATACTAATTAGGGGGCGTGACACAACATCGAAAACATTTATTAAACAATCGGACGTTAAAAATTATGTTTTATCCAAATATTATTGTAAAATATAAGGAAAAAAATTCATAAAAAACGTATTAATAACAAGCTTTTATGTAATGATGCACTAAAAAGTAGAAATAAATTATAGACTACTATTTAAATAACTATAAAGAAAAGCGTGTGTCACTTTAGTATCTATTGGATACCTTTACTAATGTTAAGGAAGACACCCACGCTTTTCTTTATAGTTATTTAAATAGTAGTCTATAATTTATTTTCTACTTTTTAGTGCATCATTACATAAAAGCTTGTTATTAAAACGTTTTTTATGAATTTTTTTTTCAGTACTTTACATGTTTTATTTACACACAATAGAGTTACATGACTAAAAACCATTGCGCGCCTACTGAACGTGATGTTCAATAGGCGCGCAATGGTTTTTGAACGCAGCCATTACGTGATGGCGCAGCTATTGAAGGTGATGACGCGTGTGGTGTGGTTGGCTAGACATGCCTACTAATTCGGTCCAAATTTTTATTAATTCATAAAAAATTAATTAGGCATCCAATTAAGTCAAATTTAGTTTCAGATTGCATTGTCTTCATGTCTTGACCCACGTGTCAAATGTGAATCGTATCGGTCAAGTAGAACTGTCCGAATTTTCAGTCCAGCGTTTCTATCTAGACTGACGACTTACGACTGGCGACTGACGACTGGCGACAGACAGAGGAAGTGAGTTAAATAAAAGCTTGTAAAAAAAAATGACATCAAACAGAATATGCAAAATTGTTGGACGGGGGTAGGGTGGGATGAGACCCTCATTTACGACACAACTAGTGACACCTGACCTCGCGACGCCACTGCTTCTAAATTCGAATTGTTTAATTAAAGATACAACATTAAAAACTGGACCAAACTGGTTTGTTCCTGCCACAAACCACTTTAGTTCAGATCAGGCATTACAAATTTTGACACTAATGGTTCGGTTAATTTTAATTTAAAGGTTGGGGATGGGAGGCATCCATAAACGACGTCACAGTACTAGGAAAATGGGGTGTAAATGTAAACCGAAGGTTGGAGTTGGGATAAGAAAGTGTGTCATCATACTTCTGATTTACAAAAAAATATTTTTATATTAGCAGAATTCTGATTTTGCAGTATGATTTTACTACTTAAAAACAAATGTTTTGATTTGATCAGCGAATCTACAATCTACACATGTAATACAGATTCGAACGTTAAAATTGTCTGAACAAAATAGTGATTAGGTAACGGTGTTCTTAATAAGGGAAACTACTCAAGTAATATTTTGGCGAAATAATCCTAGTTTGGTTATATACCCTTATATAATGAACTTTTTATATTAAGTGGGTAGTCGGCCAGTAGTGGTGGTGCTGTGTGTGGGGTAGGGGTGGTGGAGGGAGGGAGGGTTGACTTTTGATATGATATGTGACTTTGGGAGGGGATTGAGAATCGGAAATATTCATTGTTACATTACATATTATTTGGCATACACAATGTATGTGTACATTTTACATTTTTTTAAAGGGGGGGGGGGGGATCGAGAAAAATATAAATTATACTGACTTTTTCAATTTTTGTTTAGTTTCAAAACATTTTAAAAACAAAATAATTCTAAAATCTGTAGAAAATGCGTAAAAACACTGCACACTATTTTAAAAATAACCGATCTCCATTTTTGGGACTTTTCTGAGTAATCTTACTTGGTTAGATTATAAATTATAGATTCTATAGGGTTTTTTTAAGTCCAAAATAAATGTTAAAAATTCATACTCCTAAATAAAGATAATGTTCGTATTACAAACAGCGTAAAAGCAAAAAATTTTAATTTTATGACAAAAATATTTTTCCTATATTTCGACAAATGGTAAGACCTTTTGTGCATGAATCGAATTGATCGCATTTTTAATGCTGTTGTAAATCCATTGCGTGTCATCCACGTTATTGTTGTTATTATTCTAAACTCCAAAGTGATTGAATTAGTGAAATTACTCTTTTAAACTCTTAAATTTAAAATAACTATTTATCATAATCGTTTTGGGACCCCGTTTTAAAATATAATCGGCTGAAGCTATCGCCCCCCCCCCCCCCCCGTTGTGGTAATTTAATTACTAATTCATTAGTCACTAGGCTATTCGGCTATTAGTTTAGTCTATCTATAAAATAAATAATTATTATTAATTAGGCCTATAGGGCCTAATAATAATTAGTTAATAATTAGGGCCTAGGCCTAGTATTTTTTTAGTTTTATTAATAAATTAGTTTAGGCCCTATTTAAATTTTAATATTTAGTATTTATTTAGGCTAGTAAAATTATTTGGTTAGTTTTTTAAATGTAATATTTTTTCAGACACTACGGCACTATGGCCACTAAATGTAACGTTTTTCTTCTGTTTCTCGTTCTCTCTCAGACGATCAAAAATGATGAAGAATAAGTCGTCTTCTGCAAATCTTTTATTTGACTATCTTTCTTGACCGGGAATTGTCAGTGTATTAGCGTGCATCTAAAAACTAAAAAGACTATAGTATAGTAATAGTAATAGGCCTAGCGCCAAAACAGTTTTATTAAAAAATTAATTAAATAATAGGCCTAAATATGATAGGCCTATAAATCATAAATAGGGCCTATACTTTATTACTTAGTAGTAACTTAATATTAGCTTCAGCCAATTCTTTACGCCATGGTCCTAAATTGATAGATTGCCATACATTAAATAGGCCTACTTAATAGTAAATACTAGTTAGTTAGTATTAGTAGGCCTAACTTCTTGCAGTTGTCCTATTCTTAATCCTGATTTATCAATATGGTTATAGATAAGAAATAAGAATAATATTAATAATAAGGCTCAATCAATAAGGCCATGATAATGATGATATGAATTCATTGCTTAGAATGTTTTGTTTTATTTTTAACAAACAATAATTTTTTTTTAGAGTTTGATTTAGGCCTATATAATGTATATAAAATTATATTTCTAAGTATTTTATTAAAAATCACATTTACAGGATTTAAAACCTATGTCTTCAATCTTCTAAATCTTATTGCACACAGTCCAAGCAATTATGGAGCTACAGGAAACAAATAAACTAACAAAACACAAATTAGAACCAGATAATGGAGATACGGATGACAACATGAAAAAAAGTAAACTGAGTGAAGACATTATTCAACCTGATTCATCCCTGGATGAGGCAAAAGTTGAAGCACTTGATCCTCTAAACTACACTCGGGCTGAAGAGTTCACTTCAGAGATTTTTAAAATCCAGATATATAATCTTCCCAAGTTTGGATTTAGTGTAAGTGATGTTGCATTTAAAAACAACTGTATCATTCTTTATTATAATGCAGCTTTTATGTTGTAAACATAAAAAGTCATTATCATTAAGCTAATGTTAGTAAAAAAATTAAATATTATAACATAGACTACATGTAGTTATGTTTTTCCTATAGTGTTTTAATGAATTAATAATTATCGTTTTAGGACTTGAAAAAAAGGCTGAAATCATCACTTCACTTGAATCCACATAAAATTAAACACATTGACAAGACACTTGTGACCTATGTTTGTTTTAAGTGAGTTGTTTTCACCTCAATTAAATAGAATCATGTATGAGTTATTAAAATTGGTTAAAATCTGATTCGTGGGTACACTGTACAGGTTAGTCTGTCAGAACAGCTTTTACAACAGTGTTGACTTGATGGAATACTTAAAAATGATTAAAACAAAGCTATTACATAATACAGTCTTAGGACTTTGGTAATTAACAAGAAACAAATGTATTTTGATAAAAAGCCACTTTCATTACAGGAATGCATCAGATAGAGATGAAGCATTAAAGAAAATCAATGGGCATGTTTGGAAAGGGAAAACTTTAGAAGCCAAGGTAAAATTTGAATATTTTTTCCTTAGAATTTAGTTTAATATTTCATTTCCAAAACTGGTTATGATCAGTTATCAGTACATTATTATAAAAAAATTGTTTTAGATTGCTGCCCCTGTTGCAGATCCTTATTTACAGAAGCGTTTACAGGAAAAAGGTATTTTATCCATTTGTCATTTGTTTGAGCTTACCTGTAGTTACTGTTGTACTTGGATTACTTTATACTCATTTGTATATATATATAGGCCTATATACTTTGATATACCTCATGTCTTATTACTTTTTTGAGGTTATAAAATTTGTGGAATGTATTTAACTAATTAAAGGCAAAAAAGTAAAGAAGAAAAATAAACGGATAAATTAAAATATTTGTAAAATAATTTCCATTATGTTTGACAAAAAGGTAATGGCGCTTCCAAGAACAATAATGCTTCCAACATAATTGAAGAGAATCTACCACTGTCAGCAGAAGAGGCAGAAAAAAGGTACTTAATTCTAAATAGATTATGACTTTATTTTCTAAAATTGAAACTACTTTTTCAGTGTGCACACCAGAAATCTAATGTTTTTTGTTTTTTTTTTCAGACTCCGGGCCAATGTTATTCCACTGTGGAACGTTGATTACCCACAACAGTTGCAGGTGAAAAACTTTCTAAGTCTAAGCATAAAAAAAAACAACCGGTGTTGATCAATTTGTATATTGTAATTATAGTGTAATTTGCAAGTTCCTTAACTGCCTAACCCATTGCAAATTTTTGTTGCTTAGATGAAAACTGATAAAATAAAGAATGTGTTGAGTCGAGTGCCTAAGAACAGTTTTGTAAAACATATGTTCAAAGACAGGTACTTTTTTTTATTGTTTTTACTTGTGTTATTTAATCTTTAACAACATAATATTTTTAACATATGATGGTTTTGTTTTATATCTATATTTATGACAATATATTTCTCTTTATATATATATATATGTATGTGTGTGTGTGTATTTTATAAAGAATTTATTTATTATAAAGAGAATATGACATCTTGTCTTAGGAAAATAAACAAACCATTTATAACATACTTTTTTCCGTAGGTGGAAAAATGGTGGAATGGCGTGTGAGTTGTTACAAATTGTCCCATCTGTGAGTAAACTTTTCTTAACTACCATGTTGAAAAATAATTTGTTTAAAGTTTTTTTTTTTTTTTTTTAAATATACTAAGTATAATATTTCTTCCAAGACATCTACAACTTGTTTAAACTTTTACAGCCCATTATCACAGAATACAGAAACAAAAATGAATTCACTATTGGATATGGTTCAGATGCTAAAAGTAAGGACAGTATTTCGCTAATAAAACACTTAAAGACATTCTTTTCAAAAGTATGTTTCAAGCTGCTTTAGGCAAGAAAAAGTAATAGTCATGAACATGTAAAAAAAAATTGGTGTAGATTATCTTATAAAATTTTCTGTGCTTCAGCTAGGATGGTAGGGTTCAGATATGGCATGTACAAAGATGGAACAACATCAGTGGGAGACTGCACTAATCTGGGGATAGTCATGCCTGCTGCCATACCTGTCATTAAGGTACTTTCTTTTACTGCTGTATGGGTCATCACTGCAGGATTATTAACAAAAAAAAAAGTCTCAAGTTAGACTCATAGGCTCGAGTCCATTATAGGTCAACTCTCAGTCTAGACAGCTCTAATGAGTACTTGACATGAGTGGGGTAAAGTTAAGCCATTTAATTTAAGCATAGAGCCGACCATGCTATACCTTCATAAGCCGAGAAAAAAAAAAGTTTGTCTGTTCTATGGTCTTTAGGGGTACTTTTTACTGTCAATAGTAAGTCACTCCTATTTACATTCTAATTATAAAAGTTATTGCTTTGTTAAAAGCTCCTAGCTGCTTTTCTTTAATTTCAATGATTGTTGTTTAGTTTGAAAACTTATGATCAGTATTTGTGGTTTCAGCTTTAATAATTCAATTTTAATAGCTCTTGTTTAGTTTGGGAACTAAGATCAGTATTTGTGGTTTCAGCTTCAATGACTGTTGTTTAGTTTGAGAACTTATGATCCATATTTGTGTTTTCAGAGTTTTACAGAGTTTGTGTCACAGTCAGCCTATCTGCCATTCCACCAGCAGTCAGGTACTGGGAACTGGCAGACACTGACTGTTAGAACTTTAAGGACTGGAGATGTCATGGCCATGATTGATTTCTTTCCTAGGAAGCTGGATCAGGTCTGCTGCGTGAATTGTTACAGTTAATGACCCATTTAGAGATTTAGACTTTTAAGTTTTATTCTGCAGCTGCTACCTGCTTTTAACTTATGTAAAAAATATATCTAATTGTAAAATATTAATTTCTAAAAAGTAAGTGATATCTCAAAATTAAACATTACAAAAGAATTTTTGAAATTACTAATGTACTTGTCCTCAGTCTGAAATAGCTAAAGCAAAAGAATCAGTTAAAGATTTCTTTACCACAGGACCTGGTAAAAACACGAACTTCAAGTCTCTTTACTTCAGGGTTGCTGGCAACAAGTAAGTTGGATTACATTTATTAAAAAAAAGTTTGTTTTCTGATTTTTAAACATTTTTGTATAGTGCTGTACTGTAGATATCTACTCAATAAGGGTAGAGATAAAAAATTTAAAATGTGAACTTCTTTTTTTAAAAACCTGGTTCTTTTTTGTTTTTTTTTTAGCTCAAATTCCATTCTGGAGAATTGCGTTTATTAACTCGTCTTTTCTGGGAATGTGTGTTTGCAGCTTTAAGTCGTATCTCCTCCTCAACGAAGCAATATCGAAGACTAGTTCCAAAAGCAAATTTGTTAAGCAAGTTCCGAGGATGATAGTGGGCCAAGAAAATTCCCGAATTCCTTCCTGGATTTCACGGAAAAGCCAAAAAACCTTGAAAAAAATGCAGTTTTTTGCCCATATCTCGGCAACCAGACCACTTAGCGACTTGAAACATTTACCAATCGATTCCTGCCATAATTTAGAACAATATTGCCGAAGAAAGTTTTCAAAAATATCCTTTCGTTCGGTCACAAATTTTAAAATTACATAAACACCTACAAACCGATCGTTCTCCTAGCTTGAACGCACCCCAGCATTATACGTCAGAGCTATTTTTAGATAACATAAGGAAATTGCGCTAAAATTGTCACTAGACTTTTTAATTAACTTGTTTACAAAACTAAGTAAATTTCTCATTTTTACATTTACAGGGGCCAAAAAGTTAAAGATGGCTTGGAACTTTTACGGGGAGAACCAGTAAGTTTTTCTGTTAAAAATAAGTGTTGCATTCAAGCTAATATTTGTACCACAGTTGCATAATGTTACATATTGATCTGGGGTAAGCTGTATCAACTCAACTATACCAGTTTCAAGTTAAATGTTTATTTTAGAACTGTTCAGCCACTAATGCTAGTGTATAATTCTTTTTTTTTTCTAGCACGTTTATGAAACTCTACTAGATATGAAGTTTCGCATTTCACCAGAGGCATTTTTTCAAGGTTAGTCTTTGAACATTTTGTCAGTACCTTATGTGTGGCATATCTCCTGTTCAGTGCCATGTCCTGGCTTAAAAAACAATTAGAGAGATTAGCATTGAGTCAAAAGCAGCTTAACATGCTGATTGTGATACAAAAATGTGTTAATAGAGAGAGGATGTTAGGCATAGTCTGTGAAAAAAAAGAGGCAAAGTACCATTTCGAACCTACAGGTGAGGAAAGCAGAGTTTGCCTGTTTCATCATCTTCAGCATATGAAGGTATAGTGTGGTCAGCACATGCCCAGCCACATTTATGTCTAACGGGCCTGAATCCCAACTCGAGACTGTTGGGTTAGCATAGCAGTCTAACATTCTATCATTTTGTCTCCCTTAGTTAGCACTAGTTTAACAAGACTTTTAGGTTAACAATAATGAATTTCACATTTTTGAACCTTTGCATCTTTCTATAGGATTTTAACAATTTTAAAAATCATAATTATTAAAATACTTTTTTTTCTTATTTTCTGGAATTGAAATACAGTAAACACACTAGCAACAGAAAAACTGTATGAGTTGATAGCAGAGTGGAGTTGTGTATCTTTGAAAACTACAGTACTAGACATCTGTTGTGGGACAGGGACCATTGGTCTCTCCATGGCAAAGGTTTGGACTTGTTTTCTTATTTCCTTACAATAAGCTAACTAAGGATTTTAACAATTTCTTTTAACTTTTTGAATAACACTTTTCAATTAATCAATTTAGATTTCATTTTATTAACTGGATGATTTAAAAAAATTATTTTAATGTGTTATACTGAATAAATTGTTCTTTTACTTTTGTTTGAATTCTAAAATATACCACAAGCATTTCTAATCAGTTGTCATATATTGTCTTATCTCTGTGCTTGTTATATGGTAGAGAGTGAAGTCAGTGATTGGTGTGGAGATGTGTGAACAAGCAGTAGAAGATGCTCAAGCTAATGCCACAATTAATGGTGAGACTTCCTCAAATTTAGCTCTTCTGTTTGTAATGTTTACAATATGTAATAATTGCATCCTGTACTTTGATAGCAATTAAAAAAAACCCCACTTATTTCAAGAACAATTAGAAAGGCTGCTTTAACTCGTGGTCTTCATTAGCAGACCATAATGAGGTTAACCCTATCCCTACAACCCTATTTCACTGTATTCGGCTACAAGGCGGGTCATTTTGACCCATATACTTTTTATATAAGAATCTATTATTGCATATGTATATTTTTTATAGCATAACTATTATTTCAATGATAGATGGACACTAAAATTATAGTGTATACATTTCTACACTAAATTTTAGTTTTAGGTAATTTATTATTATACTTTTTAGGCATAAATAAAACTAGACGTTACTAAATATAAAATCTTATACCTTTACTATCAATTTATTTTTCATATGCAAGAAAACTTAATCACAATTATTATCAGTTTGCACAGTAAATCTATATAGACTAGAGATAGAATCTATATATTTGACAAATAGTTGATATTTTCCCATCTAACATGTTATCGTATCTCACATAATAACTTTTGTTTGGATGACGCTATTGGGCCCAACACTCAGTGGGTGGTTTCAGAAGGCTTCTTTTTGTCTACTATTTGATCTAATGTGAATTGCAGTAGCTTGGACAGTTCTCTGTGCTCAATGCTCAACTTGGGGCAGAACCAACTTTTTTGACAATATACAAATTTTGTAAATCTGCTGCTGTCTATTTGTAATAGCTGTCACTTTGTATTTCAACTTATTGGGGACATTAGTTGGAAATTGAAAAATATGGTCATTAGCTACCACTTAGTTTACCCATTGGGGCATGTTGCTAGAGCCATACATGGATGATTTTATGCAGTCTTTCCATTTTGATGTCATCATTTTTGCATCAATATGCATGCTTGACACAGATTAGTAGCCAAAAACTTAGTTCAATGTAAAGTACAAAGTTATCAGAGATTGATACATAAGTTATCTCTATATCAATATCCATTGATTTATCAAAATATGGTTCCATGTACTTGAAAGCTGGTCAAGGAGTTGGTCCTATTTTACCCAAGTATGGTTGGACTGTCTGAGGTGACATGGTCTAACATCTATGGACCATAAAACTGACCTCATCAGATGGCTTTTTTCTACAAAAGACTGCATAGATGCAAATCAATATTGGCTTCCTGCTGTATCTTGATTATATCATAAATACTTTATTGACAGTATGGCCCTAATTTCCAAATTCAGCAGCAAAAATAAGTTCAGGTCTGATTCATCGCTTTCGAATTGGTACAGTAGCCAATGAACCCATGCAGTCATCAGTTAGTACGTCTTTGTATCTCCTTACAACTTCTCAATGTGTAGGCCCAAACCTAGCAATCCACTACAGTTTCATTTGTAACAAGAAGGTTGAGTCTAAAAAACATGCTATCAACAATGTTGAACAAAGGATTGTTGTGCTTCGGCGCTGAAAAAAATGTTTCTAATTGCTGTCTTCAGTAAGGCAGGAAGGGATACAAACTTATGAGCCCAAAAGGTCTAGCTCCAAGGGAAGTTGTTTGAAACTTCTATAGATTTATACCACTTTCCCCTGCACTAGTAGAGTTTTTCTCTATATAAAGGTATACGGGTCAATTTGACCCATGTTAGTAGGGAGAGGAATAGTGAACCTAAACCTGCTCACCCTCATGCACACGTGCAAAATTAAACATTCATTTTTATGCTGAAATCAAGCATTGTATGTGTAGGTAGCATATCTAGAAGCTCAAAACAATTGGTCCAGTGGTTGACCAGTAATTAACTAAAATGTAGCATTGTCGGGTCAATTTGACCCGCCTTGTAGGGATAGGGTTAAACATTAGCATATCAGTGACAAACTTTGGACTTGCTTAAGGCCTTAGCATGAAAATATGTGTTGATGAAGACCTTGTCATTGTTTTGTCCCTTGTGTGGCACCTTTTTCATGTTCTTTGTATGAAATTCAAACACATTTTTATTTTGTCCTCAGGAATAACAAATGCAACATTTCACTGTTCAAAAGTGGAAGATGTGATCAGTAAGATAATTTCATCATTACTCTCATCAACTGAAACAGTAGAGGATATTGTTGCTGTAGTTGATCCCCCAAGGGCAGGATTACGTGAGTTGATTTAGTTTCAAAGAACAGTCATCCAACTTGATCTTCCTGACCAAAAACATTTGTTTTATTTCCTCCCTTTACAACATGGAGTATTTAGACAAGCACTAAATCAGTCAATCTTAATTTTTTATGTTGTGTTTATAAAAAAGACTTTTTAAAAGCAACTCCAGTTCAACAGTTAAGTAAGAAATAATTAAACTTTTTACCCATTATCATCTCCTAATATACTGGGAATGTAAAATATGGAATTTTTAACGACTAAAGCATTTTGGTTTGGGTAACTGTTTCTAATGCAGAGAGCAAAGCAGTAGTTACATGTGAGCAAAAAGTGCTTTATTTTTTAATTTTAAACAACAAAAATATATATTCCAAACTGATTTTAGCAATATCTGTCATTTTTTATAACACTTTAAAAATAATAAATTGAAATGACATTTCTCTTCTTACAGATAAGGATGTCATTAAAAGTTTGAGAAAATGTAAAGAAATTCAGCGATTGGTGTATGTGTCCTGTAACCCTGAAAGTGCTTTAGATAATTTTATTGAGTAAGTTTTAAAGCTTTATTGAAGAAGTTTTAAGGCTTAGATAATTTTATTAAGTTTTAATGCGTTAGATAATTTTATTGAGTAAGTTTTAAAGCTTTAGATAATTTTATTAAGTTTTCAGATAATAGTATTGTGTAAGATGGCTTTCGATAATGTATTGAGTATGTTTTGAAGCTTATTATTTTATTGAGCAAGTTAACACTTAATATAATTTTATTAAGTTTTTATTTTAACATAAAATGTGAGAGATTAGTTTCTTATCATGAAACTATATAGGCTCATTCAGCAGGAGGGAAAGGTTCAAATTCACTCACTTAATTTCTTCTAAAATATAATGACAAATGTTTACTTGTTAATTTGTTTTCTTCTTGTGTCTGTTCTTGTCACAGAAAATGAGTCTGTAAACAACCATATTTTTTGTTTTGCAGTCTGATTCGCCCTGAAACAGGCAGGCACAAAGGGCTGCCGTATACAATGGTCAAAGCTGTCCCAGTTGACCTGTTTCCTGGCACCAACCATTGTGAGCTGATTATACTGTTCACCCACCACACAGAGGAGAGTTCCAGTCAAAATATGGCATCAACAGAAGGTTGTGAGCAACAAACAGCCTCATCATTGTGTGTACAAACTGAATCTCTTCCACCATCTAAACAAGTGGAATCTCTGCCACCATCTGAACCAGTGGAATCCACCACAGAAGAGATTTCTGATAAAAACTGCAACAGCGATGTTAAAGTTGATGAGTGTGTAGAAGAACATAATGAATTACCTCTAACAAGTGCGCCTGATAAAACTGATGATCATCCAGACTAAAACAAAATTGCAATATTTCAATAAAAGTTATCTGTCATGATATCAGGATTTTTTTTTTTATCTCTATGCAAGAATTGTTTTTACACATATTATATACTGCTACAATATTGATTTGTCTTTCAAAGTGCATTGTAAAAGAAATAAATATATGATTGAAGTAAGCTATGATAATTCATTAGTCATGATAGATAGTACAAACAAATATAACATTTAAATTTTTAATCCAATAGGGGTTTTATTTGCTCAATAATTTGTTAAATGACCTTTTTACAAGTTAGTCTTTTCTGAAAATTTCATCAGTAACAATTGTATGTTTTTACATAAAATATGAACACATAAACATTTGTATATAAAACAACAGAAGTAAAGTGCTGTGATAAAAACATCTGCAGTGTTAATTACTGCACTGGCACACTAAAAAAAATTAGCTACACAAAACATTGTGCGACACTAATTCAATGTTATTAGCCTTGTAGAATTCCTTCATTTCTGGACTACTCAGAATTTTGATTTCATAAACTCGGTCACTAGACAAACCAAATTCATCAGATCCCCATGAGAAACCACCAAAATTTGGGTCTGTTGGATGCCCAGGGTGAGTCATCAGCTCACAGGATGTGAACTCTTTATCTTGTGGAGACAACAAAGTTCTTTTTTCAGCTTCCTGAAAGGCTTCTAATATAACTTTTTGCAATCTTTCCACTGTCATGTCCTTGCCCATGGTTGATAAGCCAGCAAAACAGTCTGTTGTTCTGCATAGAATATGAAGGGGAGATAAATACTAAGTAAAAAGTTCAGATTATGAGATACTGTTTAAAATAAGTGCTCAAAATTTAAAGTAACCATACCCACCAAATTTCTTATTTATAAAATAGATAATAAGCAACAGATATGCTTTGAATTTTTTCCCAACATAAACGAAATTTTAAAAATGTAAAATTATTTCAGTGTACACCATTTTGTTAAGTGGTAAAATAATCACATAATATTAAATTTTGGTTATGTACTTTCAATTCAAAAGTAATGGCTAATACAGTCCTTATTGATTTTTCTGTACAAAACACATTTATTTAATAATAACGAAGGAAATGCTGAAACAATAGAACAAAAATTTTAAAAGGCCATACCTGATTCCATAATTGTCTAAAACAACTCTAACATTTGTAATCTGCTCAATCAACACACTAAAAAATGGCATATATTCAGGGTTCACCCAACTCTTAGATTCCATGTTGACCTCATTCGGAAATCTTGTCACTTGAATGTTGTGCCGTTTCAAAGCATCACAAAATATATCCACAACCTCTGTGTATTAAAGAAAGTTTTTTATATCACTGAATTATATGATAATATCATAGTTGCAAAACTTGTGTAAATTAAAGTACTAACCAAAGAATGTAAGAAATCAGAGACTAATGTAAATTGAATCCCCTTTTACAAAATATAAAATTTTTTTTTTTTTACAATTTATTAAAACTAAACTCTTCAACGGTGGTTGTTGCAATGGTTTGAATCATGATTATTTATAGTCACCACTTAATAGACAATTTAAGTTCCCTTTAACAAAATATAAAATTGATTTTTTTTTTTTACAATTTATTAAAACCAAACTCTTCAACAGTGGTTGTTTACAATGGTTTGAACCATCAGTCATGATTGTTTATAGTCACCACTTAATAGACAATTTAAGTTCCTCCAATATATTCAAGTAACTTTTTTTGCAAGTAAACCTTGATTGCCCATCCTAAATAAAAACTGAAGATCTTTCTGGTCAACCTAAAAATAAAATGGACCAATTTTTTTTTTATTCTTCTTTGTTCTCAACTATATAATAGAAGGTATTAAGTGTCAACATGTTATGTGCCATATGACCTGTTGACTTCAAGTTCCACCTTGCTGTTCTAGCTGGATTTGCATCCAAAAGACTTGGGCCATTCAATAACTAACTACAAAGCAGCAGTTCATTGATTTTTTAATTCACTTCTAGATGGATTGCTGTCCCATGCTAAGGAGTGCCATCTGCTCTTCCACCTGACCACACCTTCCCTACCACAACCCTTTCTTTTGTTTTACTTGAAATCAATTATATATAGTATATAATACGAAATAAGAGTCCACAATTACCATATAACTATATTGTTTCCTCATTCACATTAAAAATTCATGTAAACTAGGATTAACCTGCCAAGCTACTTAGTAGCTTTTTTATGACTAACACACATGCACACACAATGTACAAATAAAATATTACTTGGATGAAGGTGGATGTGTTGATGTCCATCTACATACACTGGAGCTGAGCCCACTAGTTCTATGTATCTGTCAATTTGGCTGTCAATCTCTTGTCTAATCTGCACGAGAAAAAGTTGGTAACAGATGTTAAATGTTTTGCTTACCTCCCTTGATTAGAATTGTTTGAATATCAATTACAAATAATTTATCTATGGTGTTCAAATATTTTTTTCAGAAAAACAAATTCAAACAACATGCAACTAAAAGAATAACTTTAAAAAAATAAAAACAATTGATTTATAATCAAGTTTATAAGCTTCAATTTAGTCATTTAAAAATAAATATAGTAAATTTTTTATTTTAAATTGTGATTTTCAATAAAGGATTTCAGGTAGTTAAAATTTAAAAAAAATACATTAACAAAGTATTGGTAAAATACATAAAAAATTAAAGTTTGTTAATATTAATTTTACTTTTGTTTCATTCTATAATAATCAGAATTTTAAAAAAAATATGCCTGCAACTGAAACTTCATTTAGAAGAAGCCAATTAAGTAGTAATTAAAACAAATAATTTTTTATTTGGGGTCTGAGCCAGATAGTGGTAGATTTCGCCTCTTGTATAATATTTCAGTAATAAGTAGGCCTACAGCAACTCTTAAACTATCAAAAATCACTGTAAGTAACACATTTCTAGTTACTTAAAAAATTAACAAAAAGCTGGATTTGTGTACCTCTTCTTTATCAATGTATCCTTCATCTAGAAGTTTAGGTGTGTTTATCATACCATGAAAGATTCCAGTAGAATCTGTCAAAGTTTTAAAATTTTCACTTGATATTGGGAGACCTTCTGTTAAATTCAGGTGAAGTCCTAAAACAAAAAGTTGATGCAAAAGGTTTAGCATCTACCACTATCCAACTAGTTAATTAAGTGGTTTGAATAAAAATAACTTTTTAGACTTCATCTTTTTTAAAGTTTAAAATATCTTGTATAAATAATCTTTAGTAATAACTGGTTTATAGTTATGAAATACAATCACTAATTCTGTTGATACAGGTATTGATATCTTTTATATCAGTATTCAAACATTTGGTTAATCTTCTATTTGATTTAGCTTACCATATCACATTATGGTTAAAGTTAGGGTGAATTTAAATGAGTAAAAATATTCTATCTGATAACTGGTGCACATTGTCTTATTCATTCCACTTAATTTACTTTCTTCCAACATTTTCAAAGAGAGCTGTGACTACACTGTTTAAATTATTTCAGGTATGTAACTTAATGTATTTAAGAAACAAAACTTTACTATCACAATACAACAGTAAATATAAATCATTTACAAAAATTCAAGCAAAAAAAAAAAAAAACTTTGAATAAAAACCTTTTTTTAATGCAAGCTTTTGAATTGTTAATATTAAGAAAATAAACACAATTGTCTTTAGCCATAAATAGTAAAAATGTTGATCACTAAAATAAATTTAAAAGACTCCTTGACCTAGCGATACTTTCACCTGTTTCTGTGGCCTTGGCATATAAAGGGATAGTGTGGTCAGTTCTTTGTCCAGCCAGCTAACTTGAGCTAGGTACTCATCTAAGAACTGAAGTGAGACTACAAATCATACTCTCTACTACCATGTCTCATTTTTTTACAATTAAAGCTATAGAAAATTATGTTTCAGTTTAATTACTTAATTTAAATCACGAATATTGTGACAACAAAAAGCTTGAATAAAAAAAAAATTATATTTAAAAATAAAAGCTTTTTTTTTTTTACAGCTGTGGTGTATTCAGTAATAACAAACAAAAGGGAGACAAAACTTTACACTGCTGTACGCACCACCCTCACCATCTCTAATCCTAAGAAATATTAGTAGTATTAGTTAAAAGATAAATGATGGCAAGCCATGCACAATGAAATGTACCTCAGAAAGATTTATCTGGCACAAAACTTTTCACATACCCAACACCATCAATAACTATCTTATCCTAAGAAACATCAGTAATAAAACAGATAGTGTTACCTCACAAGTCTAAGATAGTTACAGTTACTATGGATTAAACTATGGACCTTGGATCAAAATGCTTATAGGTACCTGTGACTGTCTTTAACCTGTGAGGTGACTAACACTATCTGCTTTATTAATAATTGCAATAACCTCACTGCAGCTACCATTTGTATTTATCTAAGAAACATTAGAAGTATTAGTTAAAGCATACATGATGACAAGCCATGCACAATGAAATGTACTTCAGAAATATTTATCTGGCACAAAACTTTACACTCTACCCAACACCATCTATCTAATCCTAAGAAACATTAGTAGTGTTAGTTAAAGCATACATGATGACAAGCCATGCACAGTGGGATGTACCTCAGAAAGGTTTATCTGGTCAGACTCAAGTTGTTTTCTCAGCTCAAATTTGCCCTTAAAACACCCAGTTGATGTAATCAATGTTTCATATTTCCCGACCCCCACTGGTGACCCCTCTGTGAGGTTTAAGTGTAGACCTATTTCAAACATACAATAACAAACTCATGTATTTGATGAATATTTTACTTGTATTAAGAGAAGTTAGTCAGCTGTTTAACATTTAAAGGAGTTTATGCCTAAAGTGGTGTTGAGAAACTGTATAACTATAAATAGAATAATAGCTGGAATATGAGATTAACATTAAGATAACAATGTGATAAATTTGCTTCGATAGATTCAAAATTCAACCAAGATCTCAAAATAACAAAACTCAGGTCTCATTCACAAAGAGTAGACACTGTCTATGGAATAGAATAGAAGCAAAATATTTCTTTTAAGTTAAAAAATATTAAACTACATCCTTAAGTGTATGAGCATTTAAAACCTGCTTTTATAATAAACAGAATAAATCATGCCTCAATAAACCTGTAAAATAATCAAGGCCTTGGCAAACTTTTTTGGCTGTGTTAAAACATGAACTCAACATCAAAGCATTACCTCACCAAACAGACAACATAACATAATTATGCTAGAGGCCCTACTTATCATTACCTCACCAAACAGACAACATCACATAATTATGCTAGAGGCCCTACTTATCATTACCTCACCAAACAGACAACATAACATAATTATGCTAGAGGCCCTACTTATCATTACCTCACCAAACAGACAACATCACATAATTATGCTAGAGGCCCTACTTATCATTACCTCACCAAACAGACAACATCACATAATTATGCTAGAGGCCCTACTTATCATTACCTCACCAAACAGACAACATCACATAATTATGCTAGAGGCTTTACTTATCATTACCTCACCAAACAGACAACATGACATAATTATGCTAGAGGCCCTACTTATCATTACTTAAAAAACATGCCTCAAGTTGGAACTTTATTACCTGTGTTTCTTTATATTCCCAGCACCTATCTACTACAACAATGCTCATACAAATAAAGCTAAGTAACTCAAGTTCCCTTTCGGGACTGGCGGGCCATTAGGGCAAATGAAGTAGAGTCCATCTGTTTCTGTGACCTAGGCATATCGAGTGATAGTGTGATCATCACTATGCCCAGCTGCCTTAACTTTCCCATGAGTCGGATACCCATCAAAGTTGGGTGGATGTGCTACGACTATCCAGGGTTCCCCACTCAAGACTTTCAGGTTAGCAGAAGAATGCTCTACAATTCAACCACACCATCCCCATACAAATAAAGCATTTTCTCCCTTTACTTCTGCCTGAGTGTGAGCCACCAACTACATCACTGCAAGGTTCTCTATCCTGGACCATTCTCTCCAGCTGGTATTATAAGCGACCCATGTTGAAAGCATCTACCTTTTGTAAAGAGGTGTTTTTGTGACAGCCTCTTTTCTGTGGTTGACTCCATTTTGGTGCCTGTCTGGTGAGGCTGGTAGGGGATTAATGAATTTAATACAGCATGTATTGATGTATCTAATTCCACTTAATCCCATCCTGATTTCTTCTTAATCCAGGAATTTAGGTTGTTTGTCAGAGGTTGGTTTTTACTGATGGTATCTGGCCAATGAACATGAAGGATTCTTCTCAGAAAGCTGTCTATAAATATCAAGATTTTCTGAGTAGTTTATAGGGTCATCTTGGCTTCACACGTTATGACTGACTATACATAGGAAATACAGATTCAGATTTATGTAGTCAATGCCAGCTCTCTGGTTGCCCATATGTAATTTGAGTTGTATGAAAGCAGATGTTGTCTTGACATCAACATTTATTCCTACCTGCTGGCTAATGACACTACACAGGTATGCAAAGGCCAGTATTTCCTCTGGAGGAGTTTCTTTTAAAGTTACCGTTTCCAAACTAGTACAGTTAATTTTCAAATATTTTAGTCTTCACATCGTTGATGCTGAGCTCTGCAGTATGTACCTGCCATCATGTTTGTTGTCACATGTATATGTTGATGGCTGTAGAAGAGGACAGCCAGGTCGTCTGCAAAGTCTCTGTCAGTTGGTTTCACAGTATAAATAAAATGCAATGTAAAAGTGACTAATAATACAAAAAAATTGAGGAGAATAATTGTTTTACAAATGACTGACCATGACAGATTGAACTGGATTGAAATATTTTAGCTCCTTCTTCAGTCCCAGTACAGTTGAGTAGAAGAGAAGCACTTTTCACAGCGCCATGGTTAAAAGCTTGCACTACACCTGCATTCCTCTCTTTGCTGAAGCCAAAGTCATCAGCTGTGATGATTAGGTAGCGCTTCATGGTTGCTAAAGGAGTCCTTCAAGCTGGCAAAATAGTTAAAATAAAATTACTGTTTTAATTAAAATTTAAATGACTTTGACATAATAAGTTTCTCTTATTAGAAATCTCTCTCTCTCTATATATATATAAATATATATATATATATATATATATATATATATATATATATATATATATATATATATATATATATATATATATATATATATATATATATATATATATATATATATATATATATATAGGCCCTATATATATATATATATATATATATAGGCTATATAAATATACATATGTTTATATGTATTAATATTAATTAGGCATATAAATAGACTGTTATTAAAGTTAGATTGTGTTGCTCTGAGCCTATTGATATGTGGCTTATTCTTCTTCTTTCTTAATTTTTAGTGTTGGAAGGGATAGAGACTTATCTGCCAGAGGGTTTAAACTTGAGACTTTTTCAAATGTATCAACCATGAACTTTTGCCGACTCGACCACGCCGCCATCACAATTAAGGATACGTGTCAACTGGTTATGCGCCATTGAGGCCATTGACTCCGATTTCAGCCTGCTTTTCTTTTTGGATTTTGCTTCCATAGCCTTTGTCCAACCAAGAACAAACTACAAAGCAGCAGCTGTTTGATTTTTGGAGTTGTCTCTCCTAGAAGAGTGGCTGTCCCCAGCTAACGAGCCTCATCTGCCTGAGGGTTCGAACTCGAGACTTTTCGGTTTAGCAACCAAGAGCTTTACCGACACGACCACACCGTCTCCTTATAACATGTGCGCCTTATAACTTTAGCAAATTATCAAACTTAAACTAAGTGGAAAAAGCAGACTTTCTCATTAAAATTTGCTACTTTCCATTTCTATTTTGATGTCACCCTCTTGGACTTTGATGGAGTCAATCAAATGGAGTGCGTACTCTCTAACACCCCCCCCCCCCATGTGACACTACTATATATATATATATATATATATATATATATATATATATATATATATATATATATATATATATATAGGCTATATATATATATATATATATATATATATATATATATATATATATATATATATATATATATATATATATATATATATATATATATATATATATATAAAACTAGTAAATAATGCTTTCTTAAGGGAGACATCATTTGTTGGTTTTGATTTTCTAAAAAAATAGTAATACTATTATAGTATAATAGTATAATAGTACATCTAGATCTACCTATTCTTGATCTACTCTAGTCTAGATCAACTACTAGATCTAGATCTAGATCTAACTCGTCACCAGGCATACAATAATTTTCTCACACTTCCTGGCAAACGAGTTTCAATGTTTTGTTGAACTCACGAGATGAAGCAACAGTGTAGTAAAGGTCGGTAATAAGCTATGCCATGGTATGGCCTTGATTTTTTTTATCTCGATCTATGACGTTTAAGTCGACTTTAGGCTTTGTAGCATAGGACTTTTAATTCTAGACCTAGAGATATAAATCGAGATTCCCCGCCGTAGTTCTATACTATAGTAGTAGTCTAGTAGTAGTTATTAAAATATTATAGAGACATTTCAATGTGACCAGTATTTTTAAATAAGCCAAGCCTAAATAAATAATGCTAGAGGCTAGAATCTAGATTTTTTAGAATTTAGATCTAGATCTAGAATCTAGATCTAGATCTAGATGGGTGTCAATAAAAGTAAGTTTAGATCTAGATCTAACTACACCTAGAATTATATATCCTAGGCTAGATCTATCAGTATCATAAATATAATAGATGTGTGTGTCTTTATTCTAAACAAGTTGAATAAATGTAGATTTCTAGATGACTTTTAAATACTAGGCCTAATACCTAATACTAGGCTAATACTAATACTAATACTAATACCATAGTAATATAATTATTAATTAGGCCTAATTAAATATATTTTAGTTTTAGACTTTAGATCTAGAGATCTAGATTCTAGATCAAGATCTAAGTTTAACTTTAACGTAAAACCTAGTGTATGGTCGCATTTGTAGATCATACAGACTAAAGGCTAAAAAGTAGAGCCTACTTCTATAATATAGACCCGTTCCCTACTTTTCCCCGCTAAACCTCAATCATGAAGATAGTGTTTCTTTCAGACTTTTTTCTCAGGGGGAGGGGGCACATTTGGGTTGGGGGGGGGGGGGGGCTTTGCCCCCTACTTGAAGAGATGCATGAAAGTAACTCTGCATGCAAACAACCTTTAAAATTAGACAAAATTGGCTTTTTATTTTCCTTGTTTACTCAAGAATCAATGGCGTCATATTATTGTGTTTACTTTCCCGGATTTAGACTATTCCCTACTATATGTTCCATGTGACGTCATGTTTCGTTTTCCGTATTACTGTGAATGTTTAAACTTTGCTTGTGTTTTCTGTATAGTTAAAGCATTCCCAACAGAGTCACAATCAGCAAAACTATTATTATAGACTATTATCCTAAATTTTAATAGATATATCATAGTCTGATATAAGTCTATATTTACTATATTAATTATTACATAATACATTACATGATGTACACATAACTATTACTAGCATTATATTAAATCTAAATTTTAGGCCTAAAATGATTTGATTATGACTGTTATCCAATACTACTAAATATAAGCTACTATTAGTTTAGGTATATCAGCCTAATACTAATATCATATACTTGTTTATAGTAGGTATAGTTTAGTATTTAATATTTAGTAGGTATTTAGTTCTTCACTATTATAAATACTAGACCACCCAGCTCTGATGGGTACCTAACTCATGCTAGGAAAAGTAAAGGTAGCTGGACAAAGTGCTGTCCACACTATCCCTTCCTATGTCAAGGTCACTGAAACAGATGAACTCTACTTAATCTGCCCTCTGGACCATCAGGTTCAAGAAGGAATGTTGGGTTGCCAAATATGTATAAATGTAAGTGGCAGTCTACTGCAATGTTATCCAACATTATTACAGGAAAAGTAATAAAGTTACTCTTTTGGTCCTGATGGTCCTTATGTTTCTTTGACCTCAGCATATAAAGTAGGGCAAATGTGATCTAATCACTTTCCATCTGCTTTTACCACCTTCTGTAACTTGAGACAAGTACCCATTAGAGCTGCCAACTCTAAGGGAACTGATCTCAAGGCTTGTGAGTTATTATTATGTGTAGGGGAAAGGGAAAAAATGTCCTATATTTGTGTTTTGTTTGTATACAGACTCTAATGTGTGAACAAAAGTTCTGTTTGAAATTACATTTTATAGGCCTATATGTTATACAGAAACACTGTAAATGTAAATTACTTACATTAAACTGAGCAAGCAAGTTTAGGATTGTATAAAATTGTCTCTAATTAGTTGACTAATCTTAACATCCTGAAATAATCTATTTATTTGTCTTTGTCAAGTGATACTAAAAAAAAAAGCTGTGTTCATTAGAGGTCTGATAAGATAATAATAGAGGTCAAATCTCTGTGATGCAGCTTGAAAAGTAAGTTTTGTTTCTTGAATAATGATTTAACATTTTTATCTCTGTTGAAATGAGTTGCATCATTTATTTCATGGAGTCTAAAGTTAAAACTACATCCTAATTAGGTTTGTTCTGTGGTGTTATAAATTTGATTTCACAGTTTTTTTAATCTCTTTCAGCTGGATAGAGATTTCTCAACATGTTCAATTTATATGTTGTTTCTGTTCAAAGCACTGGTTAGTATAAAAGTGAAAAGTAATGATTTCTCTTTAGCCCTAGAGATCCACAGGGCATACAAAGCTGAGTTCATCTGTTTCTTGACCTTGGCATTTCAAGGGATATTGTGGTCAGCAAAATTTCCAGCCACCTTTATTTTCCCTAACGTAAGTCAGGTACCCATTAGAGCTGGGTGGACTCAGGGACGTCCTTCACTCACAAGTCTGAACACTGCATATTATGATGGGGGAAAATTATATCAATGTTCAAATCATCTGTTTTATTTTTTCAGATGCTAGTTTTAAAGGTCACCATTTATCATCCTCTGATACAATAAGAACTTAATACTAGACATCTTATGACGATGGCCATAGAAAAGGATGTGTCACCTAAAAGTATAGACCCCTCAGTAGGATGGGATCCTCAAGCTGATGAGGCTGATGTCATGTACTCTGATACACAAAATAAAGTGCAGGAAAAATGTGAGAACCCTAGTGAAGATGACGCCAAGGAGTTTAAGAAAAAACTTTCCTGCCTGGAGTGGCTGACATTTAAACTGAAACTGGTTGAAGATGGGGCCACACCTCCGAATTGGAAATATATTGGATTAGTTTTCGTAGCTTTAGTAAGTGTGCTCAGTTCTTTGTTTTTATTTAGGACTAGACCTTAATCCTGTTTTCATTACAAAAAAAGTCAAGCTGACTCTAGGTTTGTTTATATAGATAATATTTATTATCCTAATTTGGTTTACTTAGTAAACATTTGTTAATCATAATGCAAAATTGTGTCATTAAACTAAGTTTGATAACAAAGTTAAAGTTTGTATGAGTTTGTTTTAGAAATTTGGAAATGCTGTCACTGTTTTATTTGGTCTTTTTTGTTTTTATCCAATCACAGTTTTCTAGTGCAAGTACCTTGACGTTTTTGTTTCCCTTTTTACCTGAGATGGTTTTGGTATGTTTAAAAAATATACTTATATGCTTATTCTTGTTAGTTGTTTATACAATTTATTGGTCAAATTAACGAAACAAACAATTAAACAGGCAAAAATAACCACTAAATTACCCCATCAAATACCCAGTGAATGATAAATATTAAATGATACTTTTAATATTCAGATATGTATAAATCCCCTTCTGACACGGTGGTCAAATTTGTACACAATACATTTGACCACCTATTTTGCTGAGTAAATACATACATTTTAATATTGATTTGCACTATTTGTCGCGTCGGAAAGGGGTATGTGTGCATTTAAGATCTCATTGTTAAGATATCATTATTGTTAACCCATTACTTTCAAAACCAATTTTCTCTAGACTTTTGGTTACAGTGAAACTGAGAAAGGAACTTATGCTGGTATTATTGCGTCTGCAGTCTTTGCTGGGCGCGTTATTGGAAGGTAAATTTACAATTTAGGTTATATTAAATTCTTTTTTTTTTAAGTTTTAAAATTATTTTAGGCTTACTTTAATAAAATAAATTCTGTTATGCTTTTGTAAAAAGTAAAAAAAAAATGAAGAAGCTGATTTAACTCTGTTACTAATATGGTCCTAACCAGTTTAAGCCATTCTTATAAGCAAGGCAGATAATAATAAAATTTAAGGAATTGCACATTTATGTTACATCATTTTGTGTAATGCTTTCTTAATGGTCAGTGGTATTTAAAGTAGTTGCAGAAAAAAAATAGTTTTAAACAAAGTTTGAGCTAATGAAAGTTATTTTAATACCTCACATAAAATAAAATAATGGGCGAATAATTATGTGCAGAATATAGGAAACATCATTATCAGGGCTGAAAGCAACAGAAATAATGTGCATGCAAGGGAGGTTATCTAGTAAATTAAATCCTTAGACCTCAAACTCCACCATTTTTATTTGAAACAAAAGTAATTGAAATTTGGGGAAGCAGTCTAAACTTGATTTGTTTAATCAGATTCTGAATAGTAATAATTTAGGAAGATGAACTAGTGGGTGAATATTGTGGCGGTTATTAAAATACTGTATCATTAGGCTCTTGTTCAAACTCAGACAGGATAATACAATATTCACTGCTGATGAGGCTGCTAGTCATTTTTAGGTTAGGGATTGGGTTATTAGTAGGATTTAGATCAATATTAGAGTTAGGGTAATGATACTTATGAATATAAGGCCTGGAGCAAATACTGCTGATGTATTAAAAAGTAACTTTCATTATGTAATTAATACTGATGTATGCTATATTTATTTCTTGCAGTGTTTTCTGGGGGTGGCTGGCTGATCGTTATGGGCGGAAAATTGTCTTGCTGATTACCATAAGCTTCAATGGTTTATTTGCTGGTCTATTTGGTTTTGCTGACAATATTGTGGTTGCTGTCATTTTTCGCTTCCTCTGTGGTGCTGTTAATGGTAAGTTTGGCTTCCTCTGTGGTGCTGTTAATGGTAAGTTTGGCTTCCTCTGTGGTGCTGTTAATGGTAAGTCTGGCTTCCTCTGTGGTGCTGTTAATGGTAAGTTTGGCTTCCTCTGTGGTGCTGTTAATGGTAAGTCTGGCTTCCTCTGTGGTGCTGTTAATGGTAAGTTTGGCTTCCTCTGTGGTGCTGTTAATGGTAAGTTTGGCTTCCTCTGTGGTGCTGTTAATGGTAAGTCTGGCTTCCTCTGTGGTGCTGTTAATGGTAAGTTTGGCTTCCTCTGTGGTGCTGTCAGTAGTAAGGTCTGGTTTTCTCTGTGATTCTCTATGTGGTGCTGTTAATGGTAAGTTTGGCTTCCTGTGTGATTGTTCCAATTTGTCTAAAATCGTAGGAGTAGTTTGACTAGTTGATTCTCTCGACTCTGTCTATAAGCAACTTACAATCATGTTATATTTGCATATGTTGGGGAATGGCGTGGCCTAGCGGTAGAGCACTAGACTGCTAACCTGAAAGTCTCAAATTCGAATTTGGGTTCAAGTCAGTAGAATGTCCCTGAGTCCACCAAGCTCTAATTTGTACCTAACTCACATTAAGGAAAGTAAAGGTGGCTGGGCATAGGGCTGACTACACTATCTTATCCCTTCACATGCTAAGTTCACAGAAACAGGTGCACTGTACTTCATTAACCCCATGGACCGTCAGGTTTGAAAAGGGAACTTGACTTAATTTTACCAGCCTCAGCTGACCATTTTGTCTGTAGGGGACTTAATTGTTGTGAACCCTACACAGGTACAGTGGGAACAGCCAAGACAATCCTGTATGACATCTGTATGATGTATGATCTGTATGACAGACCATTTTGTCTGTAGTTGACTCAATTGTTGTGACCCCCACACAGGTACCGTGGGAACAGCCAAGACAATCCTGTATGACATCTCAGACAACACAAACCAAGCTCTCAGCATGTCCATGTTGTCCATATCCTGGGGGATGGGCCTAATCATTGGCCCCACACTTGGAGGTTAGTCCTGCATTCATTTACACTTGCACTTTTGTTGTTGTACCACTTAGGACTGTTTTTAAACTGCTGTGTACTACTGGTTATATTAATTTTTTAAACTGCAGGTTTGCTGGCCTCACCTGCTAAGAAATGGCCTGATGCTTTTGATGAGCAGGGACTTTTTGGAAGATTTCCCTACCTCCTAGCCTCCCTTTTTCCTTTTGTTACCTGTGTTCTAGTCTTTATAATTATCCTGTTTAAATTTGATGAAACTTTTGTTATCAAGTCAAAAAAAAGGTAAAGTATTTTTACATTTTTATATTATTTTCTTTTCATATTTGTACTTAAAAATTTTTTTTTTTTTTTTTAATGAATGTTTAATTTATCTAAGATTTTAACAATGCAATAATTTTAAAATTATTTAATATTTAAATCATTACAGAGATTGTCAAGAAATTATTGTAGATGAAATTAAAGATGAGAATAATAGTACAACTAAAAAGGAGAGTGACCTCCCCTATTTAAACACATCATCTCATGATTTGAATTTGATGACACGGCTTGGCCAGTCCATGCAGTCTTTTCATCTAGACGCAGAGTCCTCAGCATTCCAGGCTCTAGAGTACACCAAGGTGCCAGAACTTGTATCCACTGTCAAATCACGCTCAGTACCTGATGTCAGATACAATCATCCTGGAAACTTGAAAGCAACCAAGTCATTATTTCAACTACCTATTATAGCAGTAAAGGACGAGTTTAAAGAAAAATCTGATTTTAAGTATGATGAGAGCTCGATACAGCTGAAAAAACGAGATGAAAATAAAGAATTTTTAGATTCATCCCAAAATAAAAGTAACATGGAAGAAATTCCAGGCACTGAGGTAGACAATCTGTTACTTGAGAACAAAGATGGCCGCAATGGCCAGGTGACTGTCAGTGAAGGAGGTGATGATGATAGTGTCTGCAATTGTGTGGAGTTAGCTTGCCAGCTGGCCTGCTGTAAGCCATGTCGTGGGTCAAGTATACACAGGCTACTTAGGTAATTTGTCAACTACTAGATAGTTTCCTTATGTTTTAGTCTAAAGTATAGATGGCATCCGTTGTTTTATAATGTAGTTCCTTTTGTTTTTTAAACCATATTAATAAAAAAAACGGAGTCAATTGTTTAATATTTGTATATCAAATATATGCCGTTTTAAGGGGTTATTCTTTTTTCATGAATTCTTCAGGCTGACAGACGTGTGGACTACAATCATGCTTTACTCTGTGTTTTCATTCACCACCATTGCTGTAGAAGATATCTTTCCAGTTTTTGCTTCCACAACACATGAGTATGGTTGGTTCTGGTTTTTATTTATTTATTTTGTTGTTTTTGTTCCTTGATAAAAAATGGATTAAGTTTTTTAAACCATTCTTTATTTACCTGTAGCAAAGTCTGGCAGACAACTGACATAAAAATAAACCAAGATACATATTATAAAGCTGAAATATATTTTTCTCCACTCCCTCCCTGTCATACTACTTTGTTAGTTCTTTGTTTAAAGTTGGCCAGTTACAGTAGGTTGTTGCTCGTAATTTTTAAACTCCACTAATTTCAAATAAAATTATACCACAAAAAACAGGATTTTTTTCCCTACACATTGATACCAATATTGTGTCTCTAGCTTAATTAGGAGCTAAGATATGGCCTTTTAAAAATTTGTGGGCGTGGCTAAAACAGCTTAGACCTTCGTCATTCACGTCAATGTTACATAAGCAAAAAAGTTGGCACCGATGGTTTTTTCATTGCATCATCACGGATTCGCATTTTTCGAAAAATTAAAAATTATAATTTTATTGCATTATCCGGGATTCGCATTTTTTTTTTAAACTAAAAAATTATAATCAAGCTTAAAGCCTAAGTTATACTGGACTGGATGTGATTGACTGAGTAATTTAATGCCATTCATATACTATTATTGACTTATTACTCCGTGTAAAAAAAATTAATGTAGGTTTAAAATAAACTAGAACTAGTTATTGTAAATCGATTTATTAATATTTAATACTGTTACTGCTATTATTATTTAATAGAAATGCACACCCATATTACTGCACAAGTTATTTAATCTAATAGTAATGAACTATTTTACTTGGGTAGATGAAGTAGAGTACACCTACACATACACGACATGATAGATGGAAGTAGCAACTGGTTGCCTTTACGTTACCTTCTCAGCCTCCCCCATCCCCCCCCCCCCCCCCCACGTACTGGATATTCAGTGTCTATATCAGTAGGCCATAATAAAATTATAGAACAAAATAAAAAGAAAACAGCTGTCAAAGTGTGTACCAGTGTTTATTACTACTAAATGCAATGTAAATTGTTAGAATGTGATTAACACAACTAACTGACATTTCAATGTTTGCTAAAAGAAATATAAATTATTAAAATACAGTAATCAGATTACCACATGAATTTTAATTTTGTCTAATAAAATAGAAACATTTAGGAGAATGGCAAAGAAAAAAAAAGATTTTTTGCAATAATTTAAAAATATGTTTATCAGAGCAAAGAAATAAACTACATAGTGACAACCTAAATTTAGCCCTTGTATAATCTACGACCATCACAGTACTGTAAAACAGTTACATAATCATAATTAGTGTGAAGAAACAAATCTACAGTACAAGAAATCAACCTCGTCTCATTACGATCCCTCTTAAGAAGAAAAGTAGTATTAAATATCAAGGAATAAACATTAAAATATTGATTTAAAGTATAATTACTAGTAAATCTAACCCATTCATTGAATGTATGCTGGAAAAAAATAGGTGACGAAAAATTACTTGGACCACTTTAGTCTTAAAACAATTTTCTAATTATAATACATTTTCAGATACAATTAGCACATCTAAGGAAAAGAAATACAATTTAAAAAGCGTTAGTACTCGTGTGATAAATCAGTTGGACCAACATTTATGAAGCATATTAACTACTGATTCTAGGATTATCTAGCTGATTTCAATTACCCTGAAAAATAAGTTAAGTAATTAATTAAAATGTAATTTTTTTTTTACACTACGAACACTCAACTTAATTATAAATATTGTTAGTATTAGTTTTCAAAATAAGTTTACAATTCACAGCAATCATTTTTTCAGTAACAATTTACAAAAACACTAATGTTTAAAAAATAAAGTTCATTTGTATACTAAAAATGAAAGAAGTACTCTGAAATGCTGATTAGCTATTAATCAGAAAGAAAAACAAGATTCCTACAAAGTCAACAACCAGTGATTCTGTCAGATGACTGAAATCCTCAGCATTATCCTCACCCTCTGTCCAGTAGCGTATGGTGTAAAGAGCTGGCTTTTGTTTTGTTGCTGGCACCCTTTTAATAGTCCTTCCAGTGTATTGTGATACACCCTGATCACCTTGCTCCCACTTATGAGTCAGCTAGACACCAATCAGATTTCCCATCAGACACCTCTCCAGCTGTCGCACCAAGAAAGGCTCAGTAGAAGTCAACAACGCTTCCATGACTTTAAGAAACAGAGTACATTTGATCGCCACATTGCGTTCTTGTAAATCAACTTTATCAAAGGACCAGAAATTAATTTCCCAATCAGCCTGAGTGCTTGCAGCGCTGCATGAGAACCCGAGGCTTCTTGAGATCTGCAAGCAGTTGAATGTAGATTTTTGTTATGTCCCAGCAGCCACATCATTCTCTTTAAGATGAGCCTTGAATAAAGCTGGATCTCCATGAAAGCTACCTGAAAAGAGAAGGGCAAATGGAATTAGAATTTAGCAGACCATTTCACAAAATATATATCTAGCACAACATATTGCGAAGTACATAAAATAATTATAGAAATTAGAAATAAATTCAGTCTTCATACTTACAGAATGTACTTCCACCTGAGACATTGAACATAGAAAGGGATGTACACAAGTTCCACCAACCTATTCCACTCACAAGCCTCTGTTCTCCTCAGCTGCTTTATGTCAGCCATCAAGTTTCTGATTTCATTAGCAATCCTCTTTACACCTTGTTGGTCCTGCCTATAAGCAAATAAGATGTACAAAGAAAACAAATTAACCCAAGTTGTAGGCACACAAGTCTAGAATTAAATTAATATTAACATTAATAATACAATTATCAAGTACTAAAATTGTCCTTAATAAAGAGGTCTAAGGGCATAGGGCTTTATAAAATTATATTATTACATAGGCCTAGTTATAGATGTATACACACAGGCCTATATTAATTTAAACATATAGGCCTACTTGATGAAGAATTATACATGAACTAGTCTAAATCTATTCTTAACCACTTAACAATGTCTCACTATTTTTACAAGATCTAGATCTAGCTAGGAACTAGGTATGAAATAGAATAGTTTCGGCAAAAATAATAAATAATAAAAACATTACTGTAACTGAAAATGTGTAAAAATATAACTAAAAAATTAATTAATGTAGCGTCTAGACCTAATCAAACATTAAACACAAAGATTAAATGATTGTGTTTAACTAAATGTACTGAATTAAAATAAATAGGCTAATTATTAGGCCTAGGCATACTTAATACTTTGCAGAATTAGATGAACACTTATAATTATTAATATATAATTAACTAAATCTAGATTCTATAGGAGAATCTAGATATCTAGAACTAGATTAGTATAGGCCCTATTGGCTATTAGATTAAATTAGATCTAGAATCTAGATCTAGAATTAAACTAGATCTAGATCTAGGCCTAAAGCGAGATTATGTTTAATTTTTGTTTATCTAATAGGCCCCTAATATCTATCTAGATCTAGATCTAAAATATAAATAGTAAATAGGCCTAGTGTCCAATAATATATTATATAGATCTAGATCTATAGATCTATAAATAAAACTGATACTGATACTTGATTGAAATGATTGTCTTGAATTTCAAAACGTAGTAGATCTAGATCTAGATCTAAGTAGAATCAAGATTTTCTAGTAGTTAGATCTAGACTCTAGATCTAGAGTTTTTTCAGACTCGCAAACTGTGGCAACACACTGAAAACACGCAAAAAAAAGCACAACTGAATTAATTATTTTATGTAGGGCCTACACCCTATTTTAACACTCTAAAACTTACAAAGATATTTACGACTTAAGTTTTTATAACATACTGTGCGAATATTTAATAATTATTACATTATAAAGAAGTCACTACAAAATGGCGCGAAAAATCGATCTTTGCTGACACGATGTGTTCTCCCTTATACTTAAGGTCAAGATGACATTTTAATTATGGAATAGACAGAGTTAACATTAAAGTAATTAAACAAGAGGTTAAATTATAAAAACAGGTGATAATTTAAAATTTAATTAATTAATAATTATTACCTTGTAATGACGCTGAGTTCCTTGAGTAAGAAAATAAAATCAAACACAAAGAAATTCTACGGGCGGCCAGTCTACATGTCTCGATGCCTTTTCAAAAGTACACACCGTGTAAAAGTGGCCAGCTGCTTCCATGTTGACCTGCATTTAATAGCTTACACGGACAATGAGTTCAACCGGAAGTCAGCCAAATCGCTCCGACGTGGTCGCCATGAATTCCCTAGCAATGGCGGTTGTTAGGCAAGCCGCGCAACAACCTAGTTACAGGTTAACTCAGCTGATTATCCTTAATTTGGAGTAGTTTCCCTTGTTTTTTTTTTTTGTTTTTATTTTTTTTAAGAAATTAAACCTAAGTTTTGCATTATGATCTAAGGTTAGGAACTCAAGAGAAACTGTAACAAATCAATCTAAATATTTTTTACTCAAGTTAACTTAAGGTTGCTAAGAGTTTACAGGTTCTCTATTTATTAATTTAATAACACAACAAAGAAGTTGTCAGACCTATAAGCTTACAATGCAAGTGTGACCAGCTACTCTCTCAGCTGTTGCTATTGTCCTTAGGACTACAGTGGCTTCCCTTTTCTCTCTCACACAGGGGGCCTAGGCTTTAACACAGATGAGATTGGATTGGCCATAGGTGCCATGGTTCTCCCTCTTCTAGTCCTACAGATCAAGTTGTATCCCTGGCTGGTTTCAAAGATGGGAATACGCAAGGTTAGTGTTAGGATGTACCATAAGTATTTTTTAAATATAAAACTGTCCGGTTCTGTTGTATAGATCTTGTTTTATGGTGTATTTTGTATGGATTAGTTTGTTTGTCGTACATTTATTAGTGTTTGTTTTCTGGTAAACTTCTCTCCTGATAAGTTTTAATTAAATATGTGTTTGATGGAAATGTGTCTGTTTATATATCTTTATTCTCTATAAAATTTCTAATTCTCTTAATTTGGCAGACTTTTTAAGAAAAATAAAACCATAAGTTGTTGTCTTGTTTTATGCTAGTGTGTTTCAATAACTTGTCGAATTCTACAGGTGTTTCTGTTTTCCGCCATGGTGTCCTTAATTACTTGTCAAATTCTTCCAACTGTCAGACTGCTGCACAATCAGTAAGTTTATTCCTCGATTAAAATTTTTACCATGAAATTTGCTTTATAATTTTATGTTGGAGGTGTTATTTTTTTTTCATATACTTTATTTTTCTTTAATTTAAAAACATTTTTTTTACATCTCCTAAAGAGCTAAAAACTCCGTTAAATTGTAATAAAGTGTAAGATTTTTCTTTAAACTCTATAGTTGTTTTGAATCTTTCTCTCCCAACAGCAAAGTGTGGTTGTGGATATGTCTGATAGGCTTTCAGATACCATTTAAGATAGCAACCAATTGTTGTTTTGCTGGCTCATCCCTCCTCATCAACAACTCCGTCACCCAGGACTTGGCTGGGCAGGTGAACGGACTGGCCATGATGACTACAGCCATGGGGAGGTAAGCATGTTTCTTACCACCAGATTCGTCTCTATAACTCTTTCTTTTAGGGGTTGTAAAAATTTATATTTAAAAAAAAAAATTCTGTCAAAGTTTTGTCAAATAAATATATAAAAAACATCTTGTAGTTGAAATTGTTTTTTGTTATTACTTTTTTAAATTAGTAGGTTAAAAGAATAATATAAAAATTCTATTTAATTTATCTTATGTTGATTTGAACTTGTTATTGACAAACATTTTTTTATATAACTAGAACATTTGCTCCTATTGTTGCGGGGAGCATCTTTTCCTGGTCTGTGACTTACGGTTTGGAAATTGGCGCCCCTTTTGACACAAGTTTCCCATTCTTTGTTATTGGCCTTCTATTTTTTGTCACTGTATTTGAATGCCTGTATCTCAACCCCAAGCTAGATCAACAGAAAAAACGGAACACCTGAGAAAAATAGATTGTATGATGTGTAAGAAGAGTAATTCTTATGAGTAATGTGACAAATATAAACACTATGGCATTATGTCAATTATTTTTGTAAACGACTGTGAAAGTCACTTTTTTACTATGTTAGTAAAATGACATATGTATTCCATGTCACAAACAGCAGAGGTAAAAAATACACAGTCTATGGTGGAATATTTTTGTTACGATGCTGTCAATGTTTTTTTTTGCCCTTGGTTATTTTTGGTGGGTGTTTTTTTTTTCAATCATCGGACAGATGAGTTGATATGGAAATTCTTTTTTTCCGCAACAGATACACCTTCTTTTATTGTTAGTGAAAATGTTAGAACTCAAGCAAATTAGAAAAGCTGAGGAAATTGTAATTAAAAAAAATATACTGTGCCTACTTAAATCACATTGATATCACATATTCATAGAATGTGCACGCTGTGCATTTATTAATTTTCAGTTTTAAAATTTTTTACTTTGACATTAGACTTTATACAATATTATATACAATGCCTTATACAAGAATAAATGAGTAATAAAGGTCTTTTCACCTTGTGTAAGTTATCAGACTGAATATTATATTGAAGTTTATACCACATAAGTGATTTACAAGTTTTTGAAATTAAAAAAAAATAATTTTTATCAGTATTTTATTTTTACATAAATGTCAGTTTAAAAAGATGTTCACAGCTTGTTCAAGATTTGTGTTCACTGTTTAGTGTTCGTTTAGTTACTGTCTCCAAAATGTTGTCAATTTACATTCACTGTTTTGTTATTATTTTTTGGACATAGAATTGTATAATGTGATAAAAATTTATTCAAACCAATCACAAGTTTTTAAAAATAATGCTATTCAGTAATTTTGCATTATAAGCCTTTTAAAAAGTTATTTTGTTTATAAGCGTTACTTAATTCATTTTGATTTTTTAAAAATTATTTGATCTGTGAATGATTTTTTTTATTGCTTTCTTTAGAAAGGCATTTCATATTTTATCATAGAGAAGGCATTAAATAAATTAAAAATTTTCACCCTTTATGTCAAAATTTAAAACAATAATATAAATACCACAAAATATACTTAAGCATTTGTACTTAAACATTTTTAAAATATGCTGTTCTGTTCTTTTTTAACAAGCCACAATAGATATATGTTTTTACCAAAAATAAGGTGTCTAAAAAGTAACCAGAATTCCTCAGTATGAAATAGAAAGCTGTTTAAAATTGAGTTTATCTGTTTAATTTATTTTTGTTATCTGGCATTAACTGTCATGATGGAGGACGTGTAGATAATTGTTTGATTGTTGGAAAATCATTTTGAATGTGATCAGCAATTTTTTTAAAAACTTCATAATAATTTTATATATGTCTTACACACATTTAGTGGAACTCTTTTGTAATTGTACATAGATAAAAACACTTATTCCAGTCAACCACTTTTATTATATATTTGTTCATTAATTATACTTCATATATTATATTTACAATTGTGTATTTTGTATTTTTGTCATCTTCTGATTTTTTAAAAATGTAATAGTATTATAATTTTGTTCCTTTCATTTAACATATTAACTATATAAAAGTTAAACGTAGTCCAATTTTTATTATTCATATAAGTCTTCTTGTATATTTTTGTGGACTGTGATAGAGTGTGAGGTCTCCTTTAAAAAAACTTTTCACATATTGTTCTACTGAAACAGTTGATACCAAACCTTTCATCTGTGCAACAGTCAACTATTAGATTTGTCCCCACTGGTAGTTATTCGAATGTTTTTTACTTAATTTATATGAAGTTGAAAATCCCAAGATACAAAGTTAAAATGCACTTCTGAAGCCTATGTATTATAGATGCAAATATTGTTATGGTCCTTTTTTGATACAATTTATAGTTTTTTTAGTGCATTTATAAGTAATTAAGTTTTCATATACACTTTTCAAAACAAAATAAAAGCTCAGTACCATCTTTAAAAAAAAATATGTCAAAGTTCTGTAGTCATGACAACTGACAGTTGTGTCACCGTGATTACCGTTGGTTATCCATAAGGACAGACTGTTGCTTATCATAACAACCATGTTTGTTAAATTAGACAAAATTGTGGGTTCTGGCACATCCATGCCAAAAAAATGTTGACCTGTATGCTACTTATCCTCATTCAATCAAAATTTATATTCTGCTACATCACATTGATTTCTCAGGTAATTTTATCTGGCAACTTCCTGATCTCATGTTACTATTGCAAAGTGGGCAGATTTCTTTTTTGTTTTTTTTTAAATTTTTACTTCAGACTTTTTGAATGATCAGTTTAAAAAATTAAAATAGAAATGAGAAAAATATATAACGTTAGAATAATGTAGACTTGGGCCACTATTTGAAATTTATTTTAGATAAAGTAAGGTATTGACTCCATTAGCATTATAGTATTTATTGTTGTGTAAAGTATCATTAAACTTTCAATCCAGCCCAGCTGCACAAAATATATTTTGAAAAGCATAAAATGAGTCTCTTATGTTTTTTAACACACATGTTTCTCAAAAGTCTTTGTTTCAGTTTCTGTGTTATATGGGACAAATGGAAAAAAAACAAGCAACTAAACTTGTATTAAAATTTTATTGCCCAACATTATAATACTCCCATATGCAACAACAAAGAGCAAAAAATATTTAAACCACTAATACATTATCTGCAAACTGTGCTGTTGTAAAAAAAAAAATTGGCTTATGACACATAACAAATATGTCAGAAGAAGAATTCTAACTGCATAATGGGTGAGTGTGCGCATAGGACAAAATGTACAGTTCTGCGTTTTAAAAAAAAAAGGTCTACTTAGCTGTAATAGTTAACAATTATGTCATGACAATTGAAAATAACATACCATCTGAAACATTGAACTGTAAAAAATAATTACAAAAGTTATTTTAATTTATTTAAAAACTCAATTTAGTTTCCCTAAATTTGTTTTTAACCATACTTCTGAAGGCTGCCATTAATTAAATGTATGTCTATATAAGAAGAAAAAAAGAAGAAAGAAATGGCTTGTGAAGTTTGAAAATTAATCATAAAAATAAAACAACCACAAAGTGATCTACACAATCCAATTGTAATTGATCAAAAGCCCTGAGACAAATTTTTAAAACAAAATCAAGTACAAGAAGAGCTGACAAACTAATTGTACTGTAAACTTTGGTTAATTTGGGACTAATTTAATACTCTTTTTAAAGTTTGTCTTTTTTAATTTTCAGATAACTTAGACATAATACCATTTACAAATTATGCCATTTGTTCATATAAATTAAAAATTTGAATAATTCAACATTACAAAAATGTCTGCATGTAACTTTTTAATGATATGGATGTTGTGTAAATAAAACAGCACTTCGATTTTAAAAATATTTGTTTACAAAGGATTTTAAAGGGAGATAACATTTAAATTAATTTAAACAACTGGTTAAAAGAATAAGCTTACAGCTAAAAAAGTCAACTTTTAATTCTTAAATGCACCTAAGTGTAAATTTAAAGTAAAAAATACAAAGAAACAAATACAAAAAAGAAGACTACTAGAATAATTAATGTCTCACATAATTGCTGTAAATTACAATTATTACTAATTTTGACAGACATGATTGAAATTTTAATGTTTCTGAAGATTGTATTATACTTCAAATTACTTAGACTATATTCTGATGGTTTATAGCAATAGCTACTGTCCCCTTACATTTTGGCAGTTTTTATATGTGATGATATACAACAAAAAGAATTAAATGTGTTTAAAATGTTTTTGATTTAATTAATATTAACTGCATGTAAAAAAAAAATATTCAGATGTTCCTATTGAAGGAATATATATATATATATATATATATATATATATATATATATATATATATATATATATATATATATATATATATATATATATATATATATATATATATATATGTTGGCACTATCCGAAAGCTATACACTCTTTTAAATATTTACTTCAATTTTCATTTGAACATAATTAAATTAAAATATACACAACTATTGTCATACAAGTCAAGTCAAATAGAGACCATAGTACGTGTGATTCGAACCGAATGAAATAGTTTGATCTGAAAATATTGCAACAATACTAATGATATGACAAGATAGCAGAACTTAGAGATCACAACATTATTGTTTTTAATACCGCATTTACACTTGCGACATGTATACTATACACTTCTAGAAAAAAAACTTCGCAACAAGTGAGTAGGCTCCCCTATTATCTTAGGCCCTATAGCAAAGTTTTTTTTTTCTAGACATGTATAGTATACATGTCGCAAGTGTAAACGCGGTATAACAAAAAATTTGTTTCATTAAAATGCTTGAAGTTGTAAAATTTTTCAACAAAAATCATAACATAAAATAATCACAAACCATTTAAATCTTGTCAAAATGTAAAAACTGTATTTTCTGTAGCATAACAAATTTTCTATCAATGACTACAGGCATAAACTTTAAAAGCAAGAAAGGTATAGGCCTATTCCAGTAAACAATCTCAGACTTCCTCACTCACTACACAAGTCCTATAGAGGAGTTTACAAGTTTCAAATCTTCCAGTCTTATCAAATGATTTTAGGTTTAAAATTTGATTACTTCATTAGGGCTAATTTGCTTCTATTGCAGAATGTCTGCATTGCAACTCATTTTTTCTAAAAAATTCATTTAATTGCTTTAATTATATATAAAGTAAACAGTAAAGAAACGCTTGTGTGGCAAATGAAGTAGAGTTCACCTGTTTGTGTGACATCGGAATAGGAAGGGATAATGTGGTCAGCATATGACATCTACAGGATGTCCCTGAGTCCACCCAGTTCTGATGGGTACCTGTCACACATTAGGGAAAGTACAGGTACCGACCACACCATTACTTCATATACAGATGTCAAGCAACAGATGAAATCAACTTCATCTGCCCTGTGGATTGTTGCATCTGAAAGGGGAAATTTACATAATGTTCTATATAGTAATATTTAAATATAATGTTTATAAGAAAAATTTTACCTTATTAAGTGTTTTTTTTTTATAGATGTAATGAGCTTTAATTTAAGTGTGGATTGTTGCATCTGAAAGGGGAAATTTACATAATGTTCTATATAGTAATATTTAAATATAATGTTTATAAGAAAAATTTTACCTTATTAAGTGTTTTTTTTTATAGATGTAATGAGCTTTAATTTAAACATTGAAACATTTAGTGTTAAACCAATGCTATTTTTTTTTCTAAGTTCTATTTATATTTAAACAAATTATAAAATTAATTTAGTTGGCAAAAAAAATATACATCAGTCAAAGTTACTTAAAAAAAGTTGCAGTGTATAAATATCTTGAAATAATTAAATATAATGGTGAAAACTATTAATAGCATGTACCAATATATAGTGGACAAGCATTTATCAATGTGATAGTCAAACACAAAATCTGTACATTGTTGGCCATTTAAATACAGAGAAAATTATAACTGATATATTCTTATTTCAGATAAAACTAGACTGGCTTTGTTCAGTTTGAAATGATGCCAGGTGTGGTTGATTAAAAGGAAAATACCAACAAGTTCAGGGATACATTAAAAAATATAATCAAACTATTAATGAAACAGGTCAAATATTAAATAACCAGTCAACATTGTTCCTGATAGATAAAAATTGCATTAGGTAACAAAATAGTTGACTCCATGAACAGGATGTGGGGTGGACTGGTACGGCTCAATAAAGTGAGCTGAAAATAGAACACTTTAACAGAAAAACAAAACCCGGCTCTTAATGATAAATGTTAAAAAACTAAAAACAATCATTAAAATTCACAAGCCACATATTCCAGTAAATACATTTAAAAAATGTAGCTGGTATTTTTGCTAGGATTTAATGTTTAAACATTCTATATTGATTACAGTAGAACAGTCCTTAATCGGAAATGAATCAAATTAATCAGCAAAGTCTTGTAGTTGTTAAATGCAACAATGGCAGCTGGGAGTTCTATACAAGGCACTTGTTGTTGTTGACCATCTGTGAAGGACTTGAGTTCAAAACCAAGCACACAAAATAAAGGATAATAAAAAAATGTTGAATATCACAGACAGAAGGGTTGATGATGGCAGACGTCTTATACATGCATAATGTCAGCCTGTTCCAGGTCTGATGCTGTTGTCATTTTGATGGTGTGCGTGCTGTTGGCAGCAATGACAGTGTTGGCTATTGTCCTCATCACTTCATTCAGCTCATTCACCTCACTCTGGACACTCCTGTATAAAACAAAATTTGAGTCAGAAATTACAGAAGATATGGAACGCACTAACATGAACTAGACAGTACAGTCATGGTGGAATTCTAAAATGTTATCAAGTTTCACCGGCGTCACATTGACAACTTTCACTGATGTCAAAAAGACCCTGTTGTGTTGGCATCATGACACAATACCAAGAGCAACCCTATCTGGCTGAACCCAAACATGTTAGTCAATCAACCCTATCTGACTTAACCCAATCATGTGACTCAATCAACCCTATGAATGAACCCAATGATGTTACCTCCATGACTCAATCAACCCTATGGCTGAAACTAATGATGTTACCTCCAAGACTGGCTGGAGTTGTGTACAGCAGCTGTGTGCCTGTCCATCTGTTTCTGTAGACCGGTGATCTCAGCTCGGAGTGATGACAAACATGATGACAGCTGGTCCAGTGGTCTGAGGTGGAGGGATTGAGAGGGTTAGGGCATTCATTAACTGCCAAAAAACATTTAGAGGTTGTGAGTGGTTGCCTTCCCTTTGAGTATAATGGTCAGAATGGCATGCTTGCTAGTCCAAAGGTGTCCTTTGTGTGTGTTGGTCAGAATGTCTTAATTGCTGTCCAATGTTATATTGTGTGTGTGTGTGTTGGTCAGAATGTCTTACTTGCTGTCCAATGTTATATTGTGTGTGTGTGTTGGTCAGAATGTCTTACTTGCTGTCCAATGTTATATTGTGTGTGTGTGTTGGTCAGAATGACTTACTTGCTGTCCAAAGTTGTATATTTTGTGTGTTGGTCAGAATGTCTTACTTGCTGTCCAATGTTATATTGTGTGTGTGTGTGTTGGTCAGAATGACTTACTTGCTGTCCAAAGTTGTATATTGTGTGTGTGTGTGTTGGTCAGAATGACTTACTTGCTGTCCAAAGTTGTATATTTTGTGTGTTGGTCAGAATGACTTACTTGCTGTCCAAAGTTGTAACCTTTGTGTATGTGTTGGTCAGAATGACTTACTTGCTGTCCAAAGTTGTAACCTTTGTGTATGTGTATGTGTTGGTCAGAATGACTTACTTGCTGTCCAAAGTTGTGACCTTTGTGTGTGTGTGTGTGTTGGTCAGAATGACTTACTTGCTGTCCAAAGGTGTGACCTTTGTGTCCTGGATCAGCTGTTCTATGCTGGCAAGGTCAAAGGGCAATGGGGGAATGACAATTCTTTTCTCCAGATTAGCTTGGACACCAATGTCGTTTGTGTCTAGCTCATTCAGTCTCTTGGTCAGCTGAAAAAAATGTGAGCGGCAGTTAGTTTAGGCATACCCTAAATGGTGGCGACTTATGTTTCAATACTAAGTAAAGTATAACACCAGGTACAGGTCAGAAAAACATGAGTTACCTTGTGATGCTGGACAGAGGCTTTGAGGGCACCCCGGAGTTCGTTGACCTGCGACCTCTGGTGTGTTTTATCCTGTCTCAGCAGGGTGAGTTCAGCTTGCAGGTCCTCAATCTCCAACTGTTTAGCCTGAGTGAGAAAATCATTGTCAAAGTTAGGACAAACATGACATTTGTGGTGAGTCAGCATGGTCGGGCCTTTAAAGCTTATGATTGCTAATGGAAAAGTCCAGAGTTCAAACCCCCGAGCAGATGAGGCTTGATAGCTGGGGACAGCAACCCATTTAGGAGAAATTACTCCAAAATTAAACAACTACTGCTTCGTAGTTTGTTTTTGGATGGACAAAGGCTATGGAGGTAAATTCAAACAAGCAGTCTGAAATTTGATTCAACAGCCTACATGGTGCATAACAGATTGAAATGTAATAATTGTGTTGGAGGAAATCCCTTCCAACATTACAATTAAGAGTGAAGAAGAAAGATAACATTTGTGGATTGTTCACTACTTTAACATTAGATAAAAAAGAATGAGAATAGAATTAACAGAACAGAGACAACAGATTCTATGCCCAAGTCTAACACCCACCTATAATTCTAATAATATATCAAAAGTTGGAGTCAATAAAAATTATCAACTGAGGCCCACCTGTAATGATTGCTTCATGGCTTCAATTTCACCTTGCGCTCTCTCATCGGCCATTTTGATTTGTTCTTGTGCTGCCTCTACCTCTCTGGTTTTCTGTGCACACTGCCACTCCAAACTCTGCAGGAAAACATATCTAACTCAGGCCTTGTATAAATCTAATTTAGATAAACAACTGCTGTTGTGTGACAAAAACTTTTAAATGCTTAAAGGGTAAGTGTTATGAACACACTAACATGCATTAACGGGCAATCCAGTGTGTCACATAACATAAAAGATAAAACCACAAATAGGCTACAAAACACAAGACTAAATAAAACAAAAGCTACTGCTAACAGGATAACTTTAAAATTGCTGAATGGCTTGGAGAATCCAGTCTACGTATCTGTCTAAATCATCATGGAACTGTTCACATACATCTAGCATGGTTAAAAATATTCAGAACTTTTTTCTGCTAGTCAAAACATAATTCAAAAAGCTAAATAAACTGACCTAGGTAAACATAGGTTTCAACATTTAAAACAGAAATCAAAAAGCTAACCCCAACTGACCTGTGTACACAAAAAGCTAACCCCAACTGACCTGGGTACACAAAAAGCTAACCCCAACTGACCTGGGTACACATAAAGCTAACCCCAACTGACCTGTGTACACAAAAAGCTAACCCCAACTGACCTGGGTACACAAAAAGCTAACCCCAACTTACCTGGGTACACATAAAGCTAACCCCAACTGACCTGGGTACACAAAAAGCTAACCCCAACTGACCTGTATCTGCTCCACCAGAAGTGGTTGTCTCGCCAGGTTGTCATTCAGGTCACGCTTGACTCGCTCCAGTTCGGCTTCCAGAACTTTGACCTGGGCCGAGTGATCCCTGGCCTCAGACAGATGGCCCTGGGCCTGCTGGTTGGCCGCTTCTAGATCAGCCACAGCTTGTAAGGCCGACTGTTGGCTAGCGGCCAGATCCTGGCGCAGCTGTTCCAGTTCCAGCTTAACGCTGTCGTTGTGTTTCTTCAGGCGCTTGTTCTCCATGATTTTGGTTCCCATCTGAAGACACAGTGTATGCAATGTCAAATAATTTTACTTGTAGCAAAACATAAATAAGTAAAGTACTCTTTCAAACATAATAGCAGGTGAAGCAGAGTTCACCGGTTTTAATTGACCAGCCACAATGTGAGTCAGGTACCCATAAAAGTTGAGTGGACTCAAGGATGTCCTGCATCCCAACTCCAGATACTGATAGAGATCCGAACTCCACATCTTCAGGCTAGCAGTCCAACATCCTACCACTAGATCACGAATTTAGTTTCTATCTATTGACACAGTTTATGCAATGTGAAAAGATTTTTCATAATTCAGAAAATTTCAAACATTTTTTTGGAATTTACAAATTTACTTTCTATCTAATGACATAGTCACCCTAGGTAATCTAAAAATAACAACAACTTATTAAATAAATAAATGTCTCCAATAAAATTTGAATATTTACACCCACCTGTTTTCTCAGGTCTCTTTGAACTTCAACCTCTTTGTCCAAAGCCACCTCCAGTCCAGAGATTCTGTCCAAAAACTTCTGGTCCCTATTTTGTAACTCCAGAGATGATTCCTCAACAGATCTCTTGAGCTCTTCTAGAGCTGACTCCCTGCGTGCTAGAGCAGCCTCCAGCTGATGACTGTGTTCTTTAAGCTCCACATTTTTTTGGCTCAGGCCTAGAAAGTCAGGTAAAAAAGTAAGATTCCCTTTTCAGATCTAATAATCCATAGTGCACATGAAGTAAAGTTTCCTGATCTAAGCATATGAAGGGATGCTGTGGTCATCACTATGCCCAGCTGCCTTTACTTTTCCTAACAAGAGTCAGGTACCCTTCTGAATTGGGTGGACTCAGGGACATCCTACAATCATAAGCCCAACCCGAGATCCAAATTTGAGACATTCAGGCTAGCATTAAAACATTCTACCATTTGACCACACCTTCCCATCCCAAGACCTATATGAATAGGGTTTTTGTTATTTAAAGAGATGTATCTAATTTTATTTAATTAAAACATGTAAGTCAATATAAAAATATCAACACAACATTTTACAAACAAGATGGAGAATAATTTGTAAGTGCTGTAAATGGAAAATATTATATAGAATAACATGGGACATAATATGCAAGGGAGATAACAAAAATAGTAATCTAGACCTTGTTCAAAATGTACAAACCAAACTTACCCATGACCCTGCCCCTCTCCTTCTCCAACTCAAGTTCTAAAGCCTGTTTCAGTGACTCCAGCTCTTCAAAAGATGCCTGTCTAGACTGAAGAGCTTCAAGAGCCTCAGTTTGAAACTTGAGTTTGAATTGTAGAGCCTCAATTTCCTCAGCTTTACTAGACTGGAGCAAGACAAGCTTCTGCTCCAAGTCCAACTTGTCTCTTCTTTCAGCCTTGAGCTCATTAGAGAGGCTCTGAAATTTACAGGTTGGTAATTAATGATCTGCAAATGTAGGGATATTTTAAAGAATACAAATGCTGGTAAATAAGACACAGATTAGAGAGAACCATAACTAGTAGAAAAGCACGATAATGGCGTTCACAGGAGAATTAAAAAAAAAAAAACAGAAAGAAAAAAAACTTAAAGGAGATTTTTTTTTTTTTACAGCAAATAAAAACATACAGGTAGCAAAATGAAAAGGCCTGAAACTAGTATGTGTGCACAGGAAAAGTAAGCTCTGCTTTGTGAAATAAAGAAATAAAGAAAAAGAAATGGAGTTTGGAAGTAAAGAGAGTTATTCCACTGCCCCTAGTTGCAAAATTGTGGTAAACATACAAACATGAGTGACCAGTGTTTGGTGGTAACCATAGTGACCACCATGATTAGTAGCCCAACTAACCTGAATTTCCTCAGTAAAGCTGTCCCTCTCCTCCAGCTGCGTTAGTTCCTCAGACCTGCGAGCAATACCTAGCTCTGTCTCCAGCTGTTGTTTGTCTGCTGTTAGCTGTAGAGGTTGAGCAAATCTTTAAACAGCTGATGCACACAGTCAAAACTTATCTAATCATATATAGAACAGCAAATCTAATGCTATTTTGCCTTTTAAAAATTTCGAATTTGATAGAAATTAAAGGTAAAAAAAATTTTAACCCGGAAATTAAATTATTTTTTCTAAATAAATTTATTAGCTCTATGGTTATGAACATTTTAAAATTAATAGTTTATTGTAAACACAACCAAAGATGTTTATAAAGGTCCTATATTCTGAAAAGGAACCCAAAGAAAACAGGATGATGAAGATACTTACGACCAGCGATGTACTTTATTGGTGAAAACAAGAAAAAAGCCAACCTCTTTTAGTTTAGAATCCAAAATATCCAAATTTTCATTGTACGTTTTCTGCCTGTCCACAAGTTCTTTCTTCAGTCTGGCTATTTCAGCATTGAATTTCTCTCTCTCTTTCTCCACTTCATTAGCCTCTTCCACCTCCGTGTCCTCAAGTGCCTGAATGCGCACCCTCAAAACTTCCATCTCATTTTCATAGATTTTAACCTTATCTAGGGGAACACTGTCTTTAGCCACCTCTAGCTTCAGCTCTAAGTCACTGATGACAGCAGTCAGCTGGTTCTGAAAATTGACATCAATTATTTGTATCTCATGCTCCTAACCAATATATATAATTAACATGATGCATGACTAATGTATTATATCAAATATAATTTATGTGATGGATGACTCCTATGTACACGCTTTATATAAAATATAATTTATGTGATGTATGACTCCAATGTAACACATGAACTATATCAAATATAATTTGTGATGTATGATTAATGTACACATTTATTTTATCAAATATAATTATGTTATGTATGACTTGTATCTAAGCATGTATTATATCAAATATAATTAAAGTGATGTATGACCCCAATGTTAGCATTTATTATATCAAACAACTCACAATTCTCTCCACTTGCTCTGTTATGACATTTTCTTTTTGTCCAAGCTCATATTCCAATGACTGCACCTAGAATGAATTTACAAATTGAACTATTTTTCACAAGAAATTTTATAGTTTAAAAAAAAAAACTTTTCATAGCGGTATTATTTTGTGGTTAATAGAAAATTGCACAGTACAGTAATGCTTTTTTTTCAAGCAAATTAAGTACTTTATCAGTGTCGAAGCTAAAAAAAACTAGAATTATTATCAGGATTACATGATTTACAGGATATGAATAAATTGATTCACCTAAATAATGCCAAATTAATTGAATTAGGAAAAAAAAAATTTTGAACCATGAAAAAATATTCAAGCTCAATACTTATTCATGACTGATGACTCATTTAGCTCCAACAAATATCTTAAATATTCTACAAGTTCACAAAAAATGTATTGTTAGAAGGCCAGTTAAAAACCTGGTATATTACAATCAAGGTGGCTTAGTGAGTTACCTTTAATCTCAGCTCATTGACTTTCTCTTCTAAACTGGACTTGACGGCCTCTAAGTTTTGTTGGGTAGCAGACTGGCCATCAAAGTTGCGTGTCATGGCATCAACACTTAAGGACTTGATCTCAAGTTCATGCTGAGAGCGATCAAGCTCTTCCTGGAAAATAATGTAAGGATCACCCAGTTGTTTCCGCTCTAGAAAAACTATTGAACTGAAGATTCTTAACATAAAAATCATTACACTGGTGCTTGAAATTAAAGATTATGACAATAATGTAAGGCAAAAATTGTATCATCTTTTTAGATGTTGTAGTTATAAAACTAGGGATAGCTGGGCCTAATGGTTGAGTGCTAGACTACTAACCCCAAAGTCTTCGAGTTTGAATTCAGGTTCAAGTTAGCAGAATGTCCCTGAGTCCACTCAGCTCTAATGGGTACTTAACACGTTAGGAAAAGTAAAGGCAGCTGGGCATGGTGCTGACCACACTATCCAAGATCTCAGAAACAGTTGAACTCTAATTCACTAATTTACTTACTCGTAGTAATAAAACTGTCAAAATTACCTTCAAACTACTAGTTTATCATTATTTACTTGTTACAAAAACAGAACTTTTTAAAAAATAATGTACAATATCTTCTCCCTATTTAACTCCCCAAAAAATATTTGAATACCTGGAGTTTTTCCTTTTCAGTCTTCAGCTGTTGCAGCTCTGACAGTCTAAAATTCAACTCTTGTTTCATCTGTTTAAAGCTGTGTTCCACCTAAACAGTGAACAAGCTTTTAGAATAGTTTTTACAAAACCTATCCAAATGACACTTTACCATCAAAAATTTCTTTTTACATTTAACCATAATTAACACACTAACAATTTTTTTTACAAAAAAATAAAAAGAAAAAAAAATAAAGAAAAATCTTACCTTTCCCATGTCAGCTTTGAGGATCTCAAGGGCTTTGTCTACAGAAGATTTCTCTTGAAGGGCTGACCTGAGTGCTATTTCTGTGGATGCTTTTTCTTCTTTCAAGCCCAAAATTTCATTGTCTTTCCTGATCAGGTCCGACATGACAGCCTGAAGCTGCGATTCCATCTGGAGATTAAGGTTATGACAAAACTTAATCAATAATATACTTAATTACAGAAAATTAATAAATAAACTTAAATACAGAAACTAAATACACTTAATTATAGAAACATAATTTAAGACACAGTTAAATAAATAATATACAGTAAATAATATAGAAATATAATGAATAATACAACAAATTATGTAAAAATTATGTAAAAAATACTGAATAACATGTTAAATACATAATGACTATCAACAAACTGCAGTTAGAAGGCCATGAATTTTAGTGAATATTTTAATCTCAGTTTTGTTAACACATGCCAAGAAGATTATGTGGTATATGAACAACTTTTGGCAAGAATAACATAAAACCTGCCTGTATCAACTTCTCTTCCATCTCCTCCATTGTTGCTTCCTTTTCTCCTAAAATCTTCTCAGAGAAGGCTAGCCGCTTCATGACATCCATGTGTCCAGTTTCCATGGTCAGTAGCTCGTCATGACGTTTTTTAGCCTCTGAGTGGGCTCTGTCCAGTTGTGCCTCTAGTTCATGGGTGGCTTGTTGCAGCATGGCTAGTCGAGACTTCTCTTCCTCTGCTGTTGTTACCTTGAATTACAGTCAACAGGTTATTAACAGGTAATAGAATAAGGAATAGAGTACAGCAGTAAAATGGAATGAGATGGTTGAGTGGTAGAACACATGATTGCTAACAACCGTCTTGAGTTTTGTTTGCAGATGTTTATGTGTCCACCTAGCTCTGATAATTATATATTAAGTTTGGGAAGGTGATCTGGCTACAAAATCAAACTTGACTTAATCAAACTTTATAGGAATCTCTCATATGCTCAAGATATGCTTAAGTAGGCAGACCATAACTAGATGAAGAATCAAGCATTTCTCTCACCCATGTTACCAGCCAGGCTTTGGCTTCCTTACCCAGTACATCACACCACTTTAGTTTGGACATGGGAGGAGAGGTGGGTGTGGGGGAGGGGGTGCAGTTCAGTCAAGGTACCAGGTTCTGAACTCAAGACTTTCGGGTTGTTGAGCACATTTTACTGCTAAATCACACGATCCCCAACAACAAAGAAACAAGCAATTGGACAAGTTAATCAAAACTACCTGGTAATTAAACGTGTCCTCATAAAGTTTGCGCTCGCGTTGTATCTCCAGAAAGGCTGCCTCCCTCTCCATCATGTCAGACTGGATGCCCTCCAGATGTCTGGCCAGCAGTGCCTTATCCTTGAGCGCCCTCTGTTGTGTCTCCACTAACTGCTGCCTCAGACGAGCCGATTCTGTTTTTAATCTTTCCACTATTGTACCGTGGGAAACTGCTTGACCCTGAAGAAATATTTTAAAACAAAAACTTTTTTATAAACGTGGTCACTTCTAGGAGAGATAAAATAAATATATCAAAGAAATATAAATAAAGTGTATTGTAATTAAAAAAAAAATATCTGGAATTTCATTCTGAATAAACAGAACGCTTGACACCTTTTTAATCCATTAGACAGGGGGTGGCATGGTGGATGGCAGAGTGCATGACAGCTAACCTACAAGTCTTAGGTTTGGATTTCAGACATGAGTTCATAGAACATCACTATGTCTGCCCTTCTCTGATGGGTACATGGCTGAGTAGCTCACATTAAAGAAAATAAAAGCACCTGGGCATAGTGCTATATCCCTTCATATGCCGGGGTCAGAGAAAAAGGTAAACACTAGTTTATCTGCCCTGTGTATTACTAGGTTCAAAAGGGAAGCTTTTTTTATTTTAATCCATTAAATGAGACAACAGGGATTAGTACAGTTTATATATGAGGAAAAAAAAAGCACCTGAAGGATGGTTAGCTCCCTTTGTAGCTTAGAACGAACATCGTGAGCAACCTGCAGCTGCTCCTGGTACCACTCCTTAGCTTTGACCAGCGACATCAGATCATTCTTACATGTACGTGCCTCGCTGTCAGCTTCCATTTTGGCCTGGATGCTGGTTTGTACCTCCACGTACAACTCAGCTAAAAATAAAGACAGAAGCAGTATCAAATATCAGGAAGAGTAAGTTGTTACTGTAATCAGTATTAGTTATAAAATACTTTCATTAGAAGCAGAATATCTAGGTGATGAATTTTTACCACATTATGGAAAAGTTTTGTTTTTTTTAAGTTAAAAATAAACTAAACCATAATTTTTTTTTTTGTGAATTCTATTTTCTTTTCAAATTAAGTGTTTACTTAGCTATAAAGTAATTTAAACATAAAAAATATTTGTTACCAATTTTGTTTTTCAATGCTTGTACATTCATGTCTTTGGCCCTGATATCATCTCTCATTTCTTGAGATCTGACCTACAAGCAACAAACATTAAAATGATTATTTTTAAATATGAGGATAAACCATGAGGCATTAATTACACAATTTTTCACTACTCAAGTATATACACATCTCAGCATAACAAATACTTCAATATTCTAGTTGCGCAACTCTTCCTCTTATATTTGCAAACCTCACCATTCACCCAGAATTCATCCTAAGACACAAGACTAACCTGTAATTTAGTGGCAGTATCATGAGCCACATGCAGCTCATCCTGAAGAGCCCTAACTTCTTCAGCTTTCTCTGAAAGCATTCTGTTCGCATCCAAGATCGTCTGCTCCAAGAGCTTTCTCGATTCTCTCAGGTTCCCAACCTCCTTCTTTAGAGCCGCGTCTTGACCAGTGGTCACCCCAGATGCCTGCAGCTTGTCCAGCTTGGCCTTCAATCTGGCCATTTCAGCCTGGAGCTCTGCTCTTTCCTGATGAACGCAGCAGCACATATCTTATTAAAGCTAGAGAAGCTTCCAGATACCAAACTTGTGTGAGAGCTAGCATTAACATTCTACTTCATTTTTAAACAACTTTAAAAAAAAAAAAATTCTGTTTGAGTTAAATAAAATTAAGTCATTTAAATGTTTGAAATTGTTAATGTGACTAGAGTTAAATAAAATTAAGTCATTTAAATGTTTGAAATTGTTAATGTGACTATTGTGACTAAGCAAAAATTCAATCTTAATAAACACCAGATTAAAAAAATAATCTTGTTTGCTTACTTCTCAAACCAATAACTGAAAATGCCAGTTTACCTTTAACATGGACTGAGACTCCTCTGCTAGTATTTCCAACTGACCCTGAAGCTTGGCCTTCTCTTTTAAGACATCATCAAACTGTTTTTTGCTTAAAGAATTGGCCAGTAGGGAGTCCCCGGACGAGAGGGCTGAATGGTAGACTGAAGAGTTCTGGTCTGACATGACCAGGGTCGTGTTCTGGACAGGTGACGATGTCTGCTGAGACCCGACCTTGGGGTCGGGCGTGGAGAAGAAAGAGAAGCTGCTGCCAGAAGAACTGTCATAAGATGAGAGAGGGGAAACAACAAATGTTGAGGACGAGGAAGCTGAATCTGGGGATCGTATAGGAGTCAGCTCCCCTAGGTTGCCCTGGAAGCTTTCTTTGTTTTTTGATTCAGTTTTTCTCTCTTTCAGTTTTGTCTTTTTATTTACATCAGACACAGTGCGAGATTCTTGTTTCTGTTGAGTTGATCTTTGCGGTAAAAGTGGCAGTGTGGCGTAGGCATCTAAATTAATGGGTTTAATTGGGGGCAGCGAGCGAAGGAATTCTTCGGATTCCAGTTGGTAGTTGGTGGATATCCCAGCAGCTATGAGGGGTGTTTGTAAATATTTCTCCATCTCCAGTTCACTGGAGTAGCTCGCTTCACTGACAGTGTCAGAGGAATCAATTCTGGAACTTGTGGCGGACTCCTGTGTTTGAAATGCTTTGCCGTTTGTTGAGTTATTCCTAGACACATGATTGGTGGTGAAACCCATAGCATTTGATAGTTCAGAATTTTTAAAATAAGCACCGTTACTGTTGCTATGTTTGGCCACATGCTGCGCAGTAGGCATTTTACCATCTCTGTACGCAGCTTGTCCACTTGTTTCATGAGGGATCGGCTCAGGGCTTTTTGCACCTGCAGAAAACCAAGGCCCGCTCTGGGTCTTCTCTGTAGTGATCTGAGTTGGAATGATGCGCTTGAGTTCCCGTGGACAATCTCCTATGTGAACCTCTTGCAGCATGTTGGCAATATGGGGAGGTTCTGGTTTAACTGGGCCGGTGCTAGTACTTTCATCCTAGTTTTAAAAAACAAATAGACAATTTTTTTAAAAATATGTAGGCCAACACAATTTCCTAACAAATAGAAAAACTCTTAAAATGAAAATTTAAAAAATTATTGTATATACCCTTGATTGAACAGGTGTACTTGTTGAAAACATTGGTGTGTGGAGAGGGCTTGAATCTCCAGCCTTCATCTTCCTCTCCGCTTGAGCCACGATCTGTGCAACAACATCAGGTGACACCGGAGTAAGCGATTTGTTTCCTAGATGATGAAAAACATATTTTAATTAACCTTATAGAGGTTAAAAAAAAAGTATTCATTATTAATAATGAAAAATGTATGAAATACATTTAATACTAATTAAATAAACATAAAGGGGCTGAGTAGACTGCTAACTCAAAACTCTCAAGGTTGGATCCCAGGATTGAGCCTGTAGGACATCCTTGAGCTCTGGTGCCTACATGACTCACGTTAAGGAAACGAAGGCGGCTGGGCATAGGACTGACCACACTATCCCCTTGTGTACTGAGGTAATGGAAACAGATGAACTACGTCATCTGCACCATGTATATTGGGCACCAACAGGAAAAGATGCTGAATTTAACACAAAATACATAACACGAAAACAGATGAACTACGTCATCTGCCCCATGTGTATTGGGCACCAACAGGAAAAGATGATGAATTTAACACAAAACAGGTAAAATTAACAAAGATAGCACACACCTATGACAGACCACTGAAGCCTAAGAGCTTCAGCAACTGTTTCAAAGCTATTGTCTTCTGCCTCCTCTCCCTCTGACTGTTCTTCAGGATGGACATACAGGGGTGGACTGTCAGATTCCTGAGACATTTTACTTGGTGGGGGAATAGGTGTCGATGGAGATGTAACAGTACGAGCTATAAAACGTGATGCGCGCTTCCCTTCCCTGGTGATGGCGGTAGTGTTATGAGAAATCTGGAACAGTTGCATAACATGAAATTTTAAAAAAGAAACTTGTTAGGAAATACATAATTGATCATGATAATTAATTGTGAATACATTGAGGAAATTATATTTTAAAAAAAAAAGGAACCTGAGCTAGAACTTTCAGCTGTTGTCTAGTCACTGATGGAGAGTCGGTGTGAAGGTTTTTTGTTTCCCCCAGGGAGTGGTCAGGGTGGACAAGGTAGGAGCGGTGGGGTGGGCTACCTTCTAGACTGCTGCACCAGACTGGCTGATGCTGGACACTGTTCCGTCCAGTTGGAACCCCACAGTTTGTTGTCTGGATGCTGCTAGTTGTTGGAGAGGTGTAATCTGGAAATAAAAGTGATTTAATGTTCATTTATTGAAAAAGACTTGCAATGAGGTTTAAAGACACAAACTTTAACTTTAAAATATGTTCAATTGGAATTTTTTTTAAAAAGAGCAACTGATAAATAGCAAATTAAGACAGTAATATGATGTTAACTGAAAAATCACCAAATTAAAAAAATCCTGAATAAAAATACCAAGTCAAGAAGTGTGGAGAGGGTGGAAAAAATACCAAGACAAGAGGTGTGGAGAGGATGAAAAAAAAGGAACTATAACTGTAAATAATACTAAATAATCCAAATATGGAATTAAATTGTTATAAAATTATAAATGTTCTGGCAATTACTAACTAATGATACATCTTAACCTCATTGTGGTTAAATTAATTTGGCTGTAAGGTATGAAAAAAAGAAAAGAAATTTTTTGTTTGTTAAAAATAATTATATTTCCTTTATTTTAAAAGTGAAATGAATTTATTACGGAAAATAAATTTTTTAAAAGCACAGTGAAGTTGGAGTAAATAAAAGCAAACCTTTCCAAGTGTACTGAACAGTATTTACGTTGTAGTTGTTTAGAGGCAGGGATTGTGCAGAGTGATCAAAACTTGTCTCATAGTTGACCACATTGCTGAAGGAGTCAAAACTGGATGAATCACTGAGACTTTCATCTGAGGTCACCTGATGAAATGTCAGATCAAACGGCTCCATATGATGTGCCTCACCTCACATTCTTATTATGCTCAGCCGCATATCTGTCAAGTTTGAAATGTACAAAAATTTATGAAAGTTGTTTCTAAAAATTGAATAGAATAACCTTTAAGCTCAAGACTCGAAATACTTTCAAGATTTTTCTATAACTAGCATACATGCTTTTGTTGGTGTATGAGTGGACTTATTTCTAGTGAAAAGAACCAGTAATAGGCTATTTATTTTTTTGCTTACACCTGTTACAAGTAAGCACATCCATAATCTACTCTAAATCTAAATAAAAGTGTTGTGCTGTATTTATTGTCCTTAATACTTGTAATTAAAACCAACTATGATTAAAAATAGGGGTAACACACCTAATAACCACAGAAGAGTTTTAATCATGTCAGTAAAAATGATGTTACTGTTATCCTATCACTTGTTACAATTAGATGTGATATTAAATTTTATAATGTTCTTGATTCTTCTCTTGTTCATTTAATTTTTTATCTACAATTAATCAGGTTGGAAGTTTCCATTACTCAGCAGATTAAATACTTGGACTTAGTCTTCCCTAGTGGGGTTAAGAGTGAGCTGTCAAGAATTTAATGAAGAGGATTTCAACATGTAACCTGGGAAACTTATTAATTGTTAATAATTTTAACTTAGGCCAACACATTTATTTGCATTTGTGTTGGGAGTTATCTACTTTGCCAATTAAAAAGACTAAACAGATTTGTGGTTTGCCATGGCATAAGTTGTGTTGTTATGGAGAGGTGTGTCGTGTCATGGCAGTGAGTGACAATAAATATTAAATTAAGTAGGCCCTAATCTAGTTAAAAAATTAACTAAAAACTTCAAAATTAGTGCCTAGTGGATTAAATATGGATGTCTATTATTCAGTGGTCATGTTTAAATTGAAAATTAAAATTGCGTAAATTTTAGATTTAGTGAGAAAATCTAATAGTCTAATCATTAAATATGAGTAATATCAATGCAGCTGGTAGATCTAGCAAATAATGAATTTTTTAAAATGGTGCATTTTAATGCAAGCACCTTTGGCCTAATTAAATGATAAATAAATAAATTCATGTGACAATGGTTTGCCAACAAGTCAATTCAGTAACAGATTTCAAGTAGTTCAAGTAGTAGTAGCCTAGAAGTAGTAGAAGCCTAGATCTAGATCTAATTCAATTCTAGAGCTAGATCTTTATGAATGACTTTCACTTTATGACTTATGACTAGGCCTAACCAAAAAAAAAAAATCATTTAAAATAATGGGCCTCAGCAACTAGTCTAGTTAAATAAAGGTCCCAGCTGTGAGGGTAGGATGGAGGACGACACGATAAATGTTTAATGAAATTAATACATCAAAATTTTGGCAGTAGTTGAGCAGTGATTTATTGCCGGTCAGATTAAAATTAAAAAAAAAAAAGAAACAAGGCGACAAATTGAACGTCTGAAGTCTAAACTATGCTGAACAGTAGTTTTATTTTAAATTTTCTTCAAGCAAATTGAACTAAGTTCTGTTTAATTTGCAGTGTTGAATCACCTTAGGGGGTGTTAAACTTTATCCTAAATCAAAGATTGGTAATGGTAAAAGCAATTTTACGGAAAGGCGTCAACCATTACTATTGTTGACAATGGATAGATAGTAACGTCTCGCGAGAAGGAACGTGGCATTAACCAGAGTGACGTACCTTTGAGTAAATGGTGCGCTTGGTTTTTGAATAAAGATGCCATGACTTTTATAGTCCAATTAGTAAAACTTAGGCCATATTTTGCATTTACTTTGGTAAAGGGTTCATCCATAAATGACGTCACGCTTTTTGGACGATTTTTACCTCCCCTTCATCACAAAAAGCCAGACCCCCCCCCCGTTCAAAATTGAAGCTGATTTTTTTTTAAAACATCGTTATTTTTCCAAAATCTTGTCTGAACTCTGTCAAAGTAGAGTATTTTAATCAATTCCTATTACAATTTATTAAAACAACTTTCTAAAACGCGAAATAACGTCTAAAATTCGTTTTCTAACATTGCTTTTTTATAATGCAAAAGTGTGACGTCATACCATCTGACCCCCCCCCCCCTCCACCACACACCATCACAAAATTACGGACCCCCCCTCCCCCCATACGAGCGTGACCTCATTTATAGACGACCCCTAAACAAGTCAGCAAAGCTGAAACATTAGTTTAAAATTGTATTTTGATTAAAGCAGGATTTAAAATTAGTAATAAGTAATGAACAAACTTGTTTCAAACAAAAGAAGAGACCATGGGAGATAACCAATTAAAGAGACAATAAAAAGGAACAAGCAGAATACTTTAAGATAGGTGTATACCCTACACTTAAAATATCCCTCAAATTGTCAAGTTATTAACTGTCAATGTTCAACTAATTTCTTTATATTGAACAGTATGTTTATAATCTTTATTTAGTTCACAATATCTCTTTTCTTTGTTTATGGGGTGTGGCAAAGATTTGTACCCAATTTTAATCCGCTTCAAATGCATTGATTTTGTTTGAACTTTCCAGATACGTCCTTCAATGATAATTCAAGGATGGTTAATTAGATAAACAATTATTCATAAAAATTTGATATAACATTTAGTTATACCATAGGAGATAAAAATCTCAAGCTACTTATTTACACCAGTGAACTGTGTTGTCATGGATGACTGATTTCCACTTGCTTTGAAAAGAGGCAGATTACTGTCTTTTAGGACTCACAAGCTATTGATTGAGTTTTATTTAAAGCAAATATGTTTTGTTGTTTAATGTGCTCATTCAAGAATGAATTACTAAGAAGGAGAAAATAAATTAATACAAAAAGTTTTATAATAATTAAATAAGCTTTCAAAATGCACTTACAATAAAATCATAAATAAAACTTGCTTTCTCTTTTAAAACTATGGGTCCCTAGTGAAATCTCCTATACATTTTTAGACAACTAATGCTTTTAATAGAAAAAGCAAGTTTTATTAATTTTTTAAATTTTAGTGCATTTAAAAACTTATAATGAGGTTTTTCTTTTCTTTTATTATCTAACTTATGTCTGTCTGTTAATCCTGTGACAATAAAGACATATCATCAGTGGCTAACCTGATGATACAAATAAATCTTGTCTGTACTGATAAAACAAGATCACATTAACTGGTACAATTAAACAATTTTAAAATATATCTTGGAAAAACAAAAATATGTGTAGGGCCCACATACTAAAACAACCTTACAATGTCCTAAAATGAATGGAAAAAAATTAAAATGAACAGAAGCCTATCAATATGAATTAACAATGAGAGACAGACATGAATTTTATCTGGATATTTCAGTAATAGTGACCACAGCTATGTTATTTTCTGTTTTACAGTTGTAATGTAGTAAACACACAAGCTCATTTTGATACAACTTGTATATATTTTTATTTCTTGTATATCATCAGACTTACACATGGCTGACATAAAGGTAAAGACAAAACCCGTTTGAAATAAATGTTCTCTTTTTCAGATTTCATAATACAAGCAAGTTATTACTTTTTTTTAAACTATTGGGCTACTGTAATCACATTTCACATAGTTGAGTTATTTATTAAAATTCTATAGGCCTAGTAAAAATGAATGTCAAGCACTTTATTCAAGGCATAAGCAATGCATCTCTCAATCTTTTATCAGGAAAAACAGTAGGGCCTACTATCAGCAATAGACCAGTTTTAATCAGTATCAGCAGAATTAAAATATATGACTAAGCAGACTGACATTCAATAAAATAGTGAAGTAGATGTATCAATACTAATAATAAATAGTGTACTATATAACCTCTATTAATGTATTCAAATGGAATAAGGGCACATTTTATAGTTTAAAAAATGCAAGCAGTGGATAATCACTTAAATTAGTTGAGTATGTGCAGGGGTAATAACAAACATTCTAATATACAGGAAGAAGGTCATGTGGAATCTGACAGGTCAAGGCTGTTCTTACACTTGGAAGCACACCACTTTCTCCCAGTATGTGCAGAAATTAAAATAAGGATTACCATTACTCCAAGTGGTAAAAGTGAATACATCATGATCATGTCCCATTTATAAAGGAAGTGAATATATTGACCAGGATTTAGGAAGTGAAGTTTTTAAAAATCACTAAAAAACTACATAGCAGTTGATAGCAGTAACAATTTAATCTTTGGTAGCATTTGTCAAGAGATTGGAAAGAGCTCTAGTGGCTTGCTCTTTATACCCATTTATACACAGATTGTTATAAATAGACAATGTTTCTTGACTAGTTATATTAGACATCAATGTTTCTCGTAGGCAGTCAATGGCTAAGGAATCAAGCTTATAAAAACAGGCCAAGGGAAAAATGACATCACAAGTATAATGATGTAAACAAGAATGGGACAGAATGGAACTGGTGTAAGTGATTAGCTCAGTCAATAGGAATCTGTCTGCAACATTGAGTACCTCAGCACACTTGTCTATCAGCTCAAGTACAATGTTCATTTTCTCATCACCATCAGCTACCCCAGGGGAGCTAACAGCGGGATGGTCAAGGTTGTCCTCGATTGTTAAACTGTCCAGAGAATCCTGAGACTGAATAAGGTCATTTATCCCAACATGTTCAGATTTCACTGGATTTTGATCTGTTTCCATTTCAGAATAATCTTCAGAAAACTGTTCATCATGGCATATAGATGTTCCTTCTGTACTTGTTTGAATTTTGTTTTCTTTCAGCATAGTTTTACAACTGTTGCTATCAACACAATCTTTACCAGAAGAAATCTCAGCATTACTCAGAACTCTAGATTGAGCCTCAGCCAATTTCACATATGACATGGAGTCTATGACAGAACAGCCTGAGCTACACCCATGTAAATAGTGAACCACAAACTCAAACCCACTGAAATGGACATCAAATATCTCAATGTCTGTTTTACTAGACTCTAAATATGACCCTCCCATCATGGCAGCAAACACATTGGATTTTCTCATAATAATATCTCTGTTGACACCAAGCCTGTGTACAATTTTGTCTTCATGAACTAGAAAATAAACATTATAATTGTCTACGAAATTCCCATAACAGCAAGCACAACTACTCAGAAGTCCATTTTTTTCATAGTTTTTTACATTCTCCACTGTATTCCCATGCACTGACAATGTTGCTAGCTGTGGGTCAATGGGTGCATCTGGACAGACAGGAAGTTGATAGATTTTTTTGGTTTCTTTTTGTGGATTCTCTAAAAGGAGATTCAAACTGATGGCTGTAACGATGGCCTGCCTTGCTTCTGGTGCATCAGGAACAAACAAGTATGGCACAATTTTCCCCCACAGTTTAAATTTTCTGATGAACTGATGGCGAGTATGTCGATGCCCACTGAAATTAAGAAATAATTCAAAATAAAAAGTATGTAAAATGGCATAATAAATAATAATTTCGTAGATAACATAATTTGTTCTACTTCTAGTGAAATTATTTTGATATAAATTTTAGTAAAGTATGTAAGTGTGGCTTAGAGGTTAAGTGTTACACTGCTAACCGAAAAGTCTATAGGTCAAATCAGGGTTCAAGTCAGTAGAACGTCCCTGAGTCCACCCAGCTCTGATGGGTACCTAAGTCACTAGGGAGAGTAAAGGCAACTAGGTATAGCGCTGACCACACTATCCCTTCATATGCTGAGATCACAAAAACAAGAGAACTCTACTTCAGATTTGAAAGAAAAAACTTTATAAATGGGATTTTTTAAAAAGTAGTTAATGCTAAAGAACTTACCAGCCAACAGGCAAGTATAGTAGACTCACTAGACAAGCCAGCTGGTCCTGTGTGGATCCTCGGTTTAGCACAAGACTTATTTCACCATTTCCATAACTTGACATGGCCACAGACCCCAAGGTGCGCAGCAGTCTCAGACCTAATGCCACCCTTGGCACTGTGCGAGAACAACCGGGTTCATACGCTAGCTCACCAGTAGTCTGGCTGTCTGAAGACGCACAAGAATGCTGTCTAAAATTAGCGTGTTTGGAAGACATGAGGCTGTAAGCATCAGCACCAAACTCCAGCTCCATCAGCCTGCCCAGCTCTGATGTCTGGGAACTCTCAGAGTCCTGTGACATTGGCAGCAAACTGTGGAGGTTCATCTTGTTACTTGATCCTGGCTGGTTCTTACATTCACCAGAAAACACACAGACAGGGAAGGTACCATCCTGTTCTAGCACCAGAGTTCTGACAATCAAAGCTGGAACTTGGATAAGAATAAGCTTGTCAAAGCTCAGTGGATTGCTGCACAGACGATCAAGGACTCTCCAGCAACGTAGGAAAGGATTGGAAGCTTGAGACAAATAGCTCAGGAGGCAGCCAATGACACTGGCATCAGCCAATAAACTAGTTGGGTTGGACTTCAATGATATCCGTGAAAGGAGGATTAGAATATTGGACTCACTCGTTCGAAGAATTTTTTTAATTCTTGAGTCAGAGTTTTCCTCATTGGGCAGCCTTCTTACTGTAGATGCTGTCATCACATTTTTTGAAGATGGTTTCTGTGTTGTTAATGACGAAGATTTTAACTTTAGTTCTCCTAATTTTAAAGAGTTTTCTTTTTCATTTTTTGATGTCTCGTTATTCTTTGGGCCCTTGTCAGGATATGGTGACCTGCGTGGTGAAACAGGACTCTCTTTACACCCTTCAGGAGTAAAATTTCTACAGCTTTCCTCTGAAGGTCTAGAAGATGTAAATGAAAGATGTATTTGAGATTTAGGTCTTTTCATAGGAGATTTCCCTTTCCCTTCACACATAAACGCATCTGTGTGAAAATGGGCGTCAGATTTCAAGTCCATTTTAGATTCAATTTTTTCACAACCTGTTAGGCCGGAATCTCGCAAACCACTTTCAGATTTATCAACCCCAGTGGATAAACAACTAGCAGATACTTGCGTACAATTAGGATTGTCCAGCTGCTCCAATTTACTTATCTCAACACCTTGTTTCATCACATTAACCTCATCGCTAACAAACTCTCCAGAGTTTAATTTTCTGCGCTTTTTGTAACTTGGTTTGGAATGAGAATACATCTCTGAATGTTCAGCACTAAAGCTTTGGATTAAGTCTAATGTCTCTGAGCTGTTTCCCTCTATTCTAGCATTTGGCAAACCAGAAGTTTCAGAAAGATCAGTTAGGACTGTTTTTGATGGACCTGGATGACTTTTAGCCTTACTTAATTCAGAGGAATCTGTGATGTGTTCATCCTCACTATTGTCATCATCATCATCTTCTGAGGCTGAATACACCAGGCTTTCTGGTGTCTGCTTGTCATTCTTAGACGAGCCATCAGCACCCTCTACACTAGAAGCAATGCCGGAGAGTTCCTGGCTGACTGCTTGACTAAGCACGGACATCTGGGAGTTAAACAATGGACTCGGAGCCTCATCGTCAAACTGCTGAGGTGAGCTGGGGTTATGGTTACTGAGTGGACTGAACTGTGAGACAGGGGACATGCAGTAAGCTGATGGGTGATGAACTGGACTGAAGCTGGAGTTGTTGCTATGTCTTTCAGAGCTGGGCGACGACCAAGCCGGGCTGCCCTGGCTGTGTACTGACCTTGAAGAAGGTGAGGAAGGAGAGGGTGAGAGGCTATGGCCTGGAGAAGTCTGGGATGGGGAGTAATAAGAAGAAGCGCTCAAAGGGCTGTAAGGTGACTGGACTGAACTGCATGGGGACATCCTTGCTGTTTCCTGGTCTGCTGTGAAATCCTTGCATGTCACCCCAGATGTGTAGTCCTCCAGCTTCCAAGAGGTCTCTGCCTGGTATGTTGGGCTGTTGATGCTGAAAGTGTGTCTGGAAGCTGAAGCTGCTACTGCAGGGAGTTCAGGCAGGTCAGTGCTGTCTTCAACTACCATACCCTGTCTGTCTGTGGCCTTGCTGCTGTCAATAATAAGTGGGTCTTCATTTTCAATACCAGATTGTTCATTCCCTTCATCAATAGCACTTAAAATTTCTTCTTTGGAATGTTTTTGTTCGTTATCACAAAGGTCAGGTGATAGGCACAGGGTACTAGAACCACTGACACCTCGATCACTTCTCCCACTCTTCACAATACTGTCTTGATGTTTCTGCCCATCATTGACAAGAGCAAGTTGTCCAATCTCAGCCCTTAAATGGGTCTGGGTTGTGTCCAGACTACAGCATCTCTTAAGGTGCTCTACCAACACACTGACCAAACCACACTCCAGTAACTTTCCAAAACAGTCTTCATTATACACAAAATTCACTAAAGAGCTTATGATTCTATCGTAAAGCACTGAAAATCTGCCATTCGTCAACTGTCCATTATCCCCTCTTAAAGCAGTTATAAACAAGCTCAATCCACCTGCATCACAGATTTTGTGTCTGTTGACTGCCTCCTTGGTGCACAAACACAGGGCGTTTAATGTGGAAACCTTGTTGATAAAATGTCTCTCACTGGCCATGTGTTTGACCAGGAGAGGGATGACTCCAGCTGATCCCAGGGGCGGCCTCATGAGTTCCTGCTCACACAGTTGTAACACAAGAGAGAATGAGAAGTGGGCAATGTCACTGTCTTCATCCTCAGCAAACTGGACCAGTTCTGGTAGCACATTTGCAGCAAGAATCTGCCCGCTAAAATTTGGACAACATCTGAAATAAATTGACAAATTAAATTACATTATCACTTTGAAAAAAATATTTCATTGATATAAAATAAGTGAAAAAACTATATAACAGAATTATATAGTTGTTTGTTACTTTATTAATTCAAAATGATCATTATGAAAAAAAAACAATTATTCCTAGAGATGTAGTTAACAGTATTTAAGTTGAATTCAATTTAGGTTTATAAAAAACTAATTCATATTTTAAAACGTACCTTTTTGCACAGAATTCTGTAAGGATGCGTAAACTCTTAACTGCCAGCTTCCTGCTGTCAAGCTTCAATAAAGCAGCCAATGCCTGAACAGCTTGGGTGTCTTCTATTAATTTGTCAAGTCCCTTTTGTGTCTGTCCAAATTGTCTGAAAATAGATACTTAAAAGTTAAATAAATGTTAGCTCATATATTGAATGTAGAGATATTTGCTTTATATAGCATTTACAGGCTATTTTGACACTTAACTTAATACTTTTTACTATTTCTATCATTAAAATTTGATAAATATTTTTCTTTAACCTTACTTTGTGCAAAGATAGCGCATTACTATTAAACATACTCATGAGACGCATAAATATTACTAGGAATATTGAGGTTGTATCCTGCCAAACTCTACTACAATAAGATTAAAAGATAAATCTTAACCAAGTGTTAAACACAATTAACGAACCGAAGAGCCCTGCAAAATGTAACACGACACTCCTCATCGTCAGTCTCCAACAAGCGTTTGGCAACAAAAATAGGAACATCCAGAGCAACAATTCTATCAGTGTTCTTCCCATCATGGGCCAGATTAGCTAGTGCTCTCACTCCTCTGTTTTGAATACTTTCTTGTTCACAAGCCAGGGTCACACGGGCTGGAAGTTGAAAACATTAGACATGGTTTACTTGGCTTTTTATGTAATAATATCTTTTAGATGAATAAAAAAAACAGCCTGAAAGCTGATGTAACACACTTACATACTAATATTTCTAAGTAGTCTAAATGTATATAGAGGGGAACGAATTAGGTGTAAAAGACACCTACTTTGGATATCTTTCTGAGTTTTGAATGATCTATGTAAAATTGATGGCTATTTTGATAAATAATCTTTTTAAGAAGCCTTTGAAAAATGCTTACCAACCACTCCTATTCCATCACAACTTACGACCTAAAATGGAAAAAAAATTATACATTTATCATAGATCATTTATAAAGACAGCATTGACTTCTCTAAACTGGTTTCCTAGCAAATGTCAACCATTGTTGGGATACCAGTGATAAATTTACAATAACACTGGATTGAATACGTTTTTTAATTAATGATATCATTGCCAAGAAAAAGTGTATTCTATTCTTCTCCGCCTTTCCCCATCTTATGAAGATGAATCAAACCAGGTAATAAAATAACTAATCTATGTCTTTCAATAAATCAGTCAAATAAAGGAAAATGTGACATTTTTTAAACATAAGATACATGCCTTTTCTCTGACGTCTTCCTCCATGCACAGATTGGCTAAGATGCTCATAACTATGTCAATTGTCTTATTATGGCTCAGTTTCCTTCCTTCATCTTCCAAAAGTCTGATTAACAACCTTATCAAACCTAGCTCCAATAGCTTATCCAGTGCAGCTCTCGACTTGATAAGAGTAGTGCGCAGCATAATAAGTGCCCCATACAGACTGGAGCCATGACCGCTCTTCAACTGCTTCATCACATTATGGACTTCATTTTCAAAACCTACTGTGAGTGTTGAACTCATTTTATTTTATTTAAAAATTCAGTCAGTTATTGTTCTGTATAGCACCATTGCTGGAAATAGATTGGGGAAAAAAATTTGAAAAAGTGTGAGCTAATTAATATAATATGTAGTGTTTGCCATTGGAATACTATAGTTTGACTTTTTTAAAAAGCAAAAAAATATTAGAATTAGTATTTATTTGACAGCTTTTGAAACAATATATTTGTAAACATAACTATTCTTGCACGGATTTCCTTAGGATGTAGATCTAGTCATTAATCTTTTACGGTAATTAATAGTTTTTTTTACAAAATTATAATTAGAAAATAGACACCAATATAAAGGCTGGCTACCATTAAAAAGACTTAAATTAACAAAGCACTTAGCATAAGAAAAGTGTAACTAAGTGGCAGATAAGATATGACAAACAGCTCGACAAATGAAGGGGCAATATATTTTAAGTGATCGTAAATACATAATTATGTTTTTTTTAACTTTTGTAAACATTCCATGACTTGTATTTCTGGATCTTAATGTTTTAAGCAACTAAGCAATATTTGGGGGAAAAGTTGTTTTTTTCTTGTTATAATTTAAATTTAAACAAACAAGCCTTAACTAATCATGTTGATATGACATCTACATTCAATTAAAGAACATGATACAATTAAATGTGGTTCATGCTGAATGTTTACAATAGTAGACCCGGGTCGAATTAGTGACGGCTATTTGGGGCAGCTAATTTAGTTTTTAAACAATTTGAAACTAAGGGGAGGTAACAAGTTCTGTTTGATCTTTTCAGTGTCGTCTGGAAACTGTTATCATGGACTGCTGCTTTCATGGGGGAGCGTGATTTATATTTAAACTAAAATTTTAATAGGCCATATTGACCCTTTTAATAAAGAATCTAGCTCTAATTTTAGAAATGTAAGGCTGCAAGAGTGTGCATAGTAAGGTGTCACCACTGTATAGATCTAGAATTTAGCTTAGCTATGTATGATGAAATATTTTATATAGACCTATGTGAATGGGTGTAGACTAGATGATAAATCTAAACTATTCTAAACTATCTATGCTATGTCAGCACCAATAAAAATATTAAAAATCCATTACTATTACTAATTAGTATTACATTTGCCAGCAACTAGATCTAGATGATTAGGCCTAGATCTAGATTATTCTAGATTCTACTCTCTTTCAGTTTCACTTTTCACCCAGACTTGATTGGCAACATACTAGACGAGATTCTAGATAGATCTAGAACAGGGGTTCCCAACCCTGTGCCCGCCGCCACTGAACGATTCGTATGTGCCCGCCTCTCACTTCGATAGAGACAGAATTTTTTCATAAACATTATTTTAAAATATGATTTATTTTTATTCATTTGTTACTGTTTAATTTTTTTTTTTTGACTGCCTAGGTTTATTAACTGCCAGACTGCACTATTTACAATAGCCTGGAACGGCTAGAGCCATTTGAATCATTTTTTGGTTCGACATATTTGTGCGAATCATTGTTTTCAAACCTAAACTTAATAAAAATCAAGATATAGATCTTGACTCACCGATGAGCATCTTTATGATTGTCTGCTAACAGGATTATCGTCATACGCTCCTAACTATGAAGCTCTGGCCAATGAAATGCAATGCCAAAGATCACATTGACTTTATTATATTTTTTTAATTAAATGTTTTCTTTGTATTTACTATTTAGGCCTATGTGTTTTGTTTACTATTTATTAATACATTATGACTAGGCCTATAAGAAAATAAATTATGGGAAAATGACAAGTTATGGAAGGAGTTTGTCGATTTAAAATAGGTGGTGCCCGCCACCCTACAGATATTTTAGAATGTGCTCTAGAGTAAAAAAAGGTTGGGAACCCCTGATCTAGAAGATATAATGATATATACTATTATATAGGCCTACTAATTAATTACTATAGGCCTACTTAACTAACTAGAATCTAGTTACTATCTAGTTATCTACTCTAGTAATCTAGACTCAAGTTAGACCTCTAGATCTAGATTTCTAGTTATCAGATTAAGAATATTCAAGAATTTTTTTTAATCAAGAATCAGGATTGACTTGACTTTAAGACTTAGGCCCTGCCTTAGGCCTTAGGCTAACAAATTTTAAATAAAATTTGGGATATTTTACTTCTGAGAAGCGGGGGTAATCGGCTCGGTAAATGGAGGCGAGCGAGTTGACGAGATTCCGTCCCCAATGTTGTTGACATGGAATAAAAACGTGCTTTTTAGATTTAGACCGTAAAAAAAAATAAAAAATAAAAACTTAAGCCTAAAATTAATTTAGAAATTTTATATTTTTAGAATAAATGCTATAAAAGTTGCAAATCCAGGGAACTTGAAAATAATTTGTTGAGTTTAAGGCTACATTTCTATTTATTTTCATCAAGCCTAAGTTATAACCGGATGTTTCACTTTCGTAAGACAAATATTGATTGGCTGTACAGTAACTTAGTGATCGATAACTATTTGTTTACAAAACTTTGCAGATCAAGTTTTTAAATAATAATGCAAATTTAAAACCCCATGACCTAGTTTTCTATTTTTAGCTTACAATGTGTACAATAAAATCAATGGCGGCCTATCCAATAGCAGGATGCCATTGTTTATGTCGCCATTACACGTGAAAACCAAATTGTTTTTGCTTTTTTTTAAATTTTTATTTAGTTACCGAAAATATTATAAACATCAAATACATCCAATCTTTAGTAAAGTCCGAAAAAAACCAGATAGACAGGATTTTATAACCATATTAATTGTAACTACGCTGTGCATGATTTTTAAATGAATTTATTTATACACCTCTCAAATACCTTTGAGAGTTTTCTCGCTCGTGTCCATTACCGTAATACTATGGTTAGTTAAATTTTTTGGTTAAGCAAGGATATTGATTGTGGAAATACCTATGCCCCCTTGCCATTACGCAAAGTCTAGATTCTAGGAGTAGTATCTAGATCTAGATCTAGCTAGATCTAGAGCGTCTTCCCCAGTCTCAGTAGTCAGCAATCTAAAAGTCAATCAACTTAAAAACGGCCAGGCCCACGGAAGTCTGCTATTGTCAATAAAGTTGTCACAGTGGCTTCCCTTTTTTAAAACTGGTTAGGCCCTATCAGTATCAAAAGTTAAAATACCTAGGCTCCAACGATTGTGTATGTCGCGAAGAAGCATATTACGTCGAACTTATTTATTTAGGCTTTCCCTTTTTTATAACATGTAAATAAAATAAAAAAAAAAAAAAAAAAAAAACGACAGACAGTCTAAATGTAATCTAGTATTGGTGCCTCCGGATTTGCGATTTTATGCTGCGAAAACGGCCTGTCCGCACAGTCTGCTCTAAAATTTAACCACTTGCCCATCGTTAAACTGTTGCTTACGTGTTCATTTTGCATGGAGCAAGCAGGCCTACATTAATTTGAACATTGTCTGGTTAGATGTGACATTTTTACAAGTGGCACAACAGGTGAACATTATAATGCTACGACCGCAAAGCCTGTCAAACAAGTGTGTCTCCCCCCCCCCCCCCCCCCCATCCTCCCCTAAAAAGAGAAGAAACCCACGAAAAAAAAACAACACCACAATAATCCTTAAAGATGTAAAATTGTGTTATGCTTCCTTTCATCCTGTAACTCTTCTAAAAAACTTAAATAATTGTTTAACTATGAAAAATCACTTGTTTTCCTTTTCCCCGTCACTCTTTTTTTGGCGTGTGATGTTCAGTATTTCTTTGGTTGTTCCCCTTTACACCCTAAATCTAGCTACGGACAGACTTGGTCAAACGTTAAATAAGATTTTTGTTTGTTACCTTAAAAACACGTTGAAATCGAGAAGAAAAACGATGAGATTAGCCATTTTCTTTGTAGGTTTTAAATTTTTGTTGTTGCTTCTTATTGGATAACAAGTAGATTTTAGCTCCCTAAGCAAATTTGTTTGATATTTTATAGAGTAACAGACGGTTATGATGTTGTGTAGCATCGTCACTTTGTAGGCTATATGTGTGTGAATCAGATGCCACCCCCAACTAGTTACGCCAGTACACCCATCACCAATGGCGGACAGCTAGATTCCCATATTATAGGACGGTGAATTTCTTCTTCTATATCATTTATATTGTGCTAGCCCTTAAACAAAAAATGAAGCTATCTAGTCTAACATTAATGGGTGGCTAGGTCTAAAGAGGATTCTTTACTTTACTTTTTATGTACATTTTATGTTTTTTTTTTAAACTTCCGATTACCAAGAGTATAGACTACTGAAACGTCAATGCCAAAGCTAGTCTACCCCCCCCCCCCCCAATCAGTGTTTCTTCCAGACTTTTTACTCCGGGGGGGCACTTGAAATCTTCGGGGGGGGGGGGGGGGGGCGGTAAACTTTCTTCGGGGGGGCGGACACTGTTAAAAGTATTTATTTTCTATATAAATTATATAAATTTCATTTCGTTCGGGGGGGGGGGGGGGCGGTAAAATTTTTTCGGGGGGGGCTTTGCCCCCCCCCCCCCCCCCCCCCCGAAGAGATGTCTGGAAGAAACTCTGCCCCCAATTTTCAAAAGTATCCGGAGAAAAATGCGTGCTGCACATGGTTTTTACTATTGCTATGTGTGTACGTTTATCGATAAAGAAAGTTAACGGCTTTTTAAATACCACTTTTTAGAAACCGCGCCGGATTCCAATATCTTAAGTCAAATGTTTCAGTCACCTTTCTTGTATCTAGTACTGTAGGATAGTAGAAAGCTTTAGACCTTTACATATTTTAACATTTGAAACAGGTTGTGTAAGATGTTCCCCTTATTTTTAGGCACAATAGTTTCACATCATCAAGAAAAAGAACACGGAGGTTATTTTTAAAAAATCTTATAATTTATTTATATTAGTTCAAAAACATTTATTATACGCCTTATAAGTTAAGAGCATGGTCTAAAAGTTTCATCTACATTAACTGAAATTAGATAAAAAAGGTGTCCAGTACAATGAATTTTATTTATTACTTAAATGAATATCCCAGTTTTACTACTAACCCAGTGGATTGGCTGAAAAATGTTATAAATGTTTAAAAATTCATTGTTTTGAAAAAAAAATATAAATATACGCCATGACTGAAATATTTTCTTTGTTTAAAGATAGGCTAGTTATCATACTATCAGATCTATCTAAGTAGATGTATAAGTATTATTAGAATTCTTTGAATTATATATTTAACGTTCTATACTCTTTTGTCTTTTGTGGTACTATGATATAACTTCATATTTTTAACCCATTTTAACCCTCCCCCACCCACCATTACAATATCATACAACTCTAATCATTTCCCCAAAGCGAAATGTTTATAAAATGTTTAAAACAATTTTTGTTGTGACTTTTGGCAAACTTTCTTGTAGCTTACTTTTTACAAACTTCTAATGCAGCCATTTCTTATAGATACATTCTCCTCCTATGACAATGCGCTAATATCTAATATTTAATCGAGTTAGACAATATATTAATTTATAAAATTTTATTAAAAGATTCAATTAAATGATTACTAAATGCAACAATAAAAGAGAAGATAGCAAGTTTAAATACTAGCGATTTCTTCACCAAAGATCCGACGATGAAAACACGACCACCCAACCTCCTTTAATTAGGGTGTCATTGTTTCTAAGCAAGCTGTTTCTAGGCTAGTAGAAAAGTGCACAGAGCTCCGATTCCCAAGAAAACAGACTCTGTAGAAGAACGTAAACATTTGTTGTTTTAACTGACAACGCGATATTCCGATCATTGGTTTAAGATATTATCTCTGAACTGTTTTAAAGAATTGATTTTGTAAGTGACACTCCAGGGGTCAAATTTTTTACTAGAAAAAGTGACGGGGACGGGGAAACTAAAAATAATTTCTCAATAACTGTTATTAACTAAGTATGGTAGTGCCAAATGAATGTGTAGTGTTAAATTGCAATCTTGCAGATGCCATGCTAATATGATTTTTTTTTTCGAATTAAAAGTTTTTTTTTTTTAATCATTACCTTGTAGAGCATATAAATAAAAGATTAGAAAAATAAAATAAAATAAAATACACAAAGCATGTACCTGAATGTAATAGGCGGCCTTCGTTGACTGAAAATTCCCATTGTTTACCTTTAAAAAATACCTGGAACTTTTCAATCGGATCCCATACACCTGTAGACGGGGTTTTAAACATGATGTAGCTCCAAAGCCATGCTAATTATTCATTTGTATCCTATTCACATTTTATCTCTGCCAAACAGACACACGCAGAGACAGACAGACGTGGGAGTGGGGGAGGGGGAATCGACAGGGAGGTATACTGGTCTCAAATTATACAATTAAGTTCAAATTGGTTTCGATTTAATTTAAATTACATATAAAAATATTTTTAAAAAATCTGTTAAAAGTATAGCTACTTGTTATATTTCTTGGATCAAATACTTTGCCGAAATCATCTGGATTTGGGTAGTGGTTGCCGATAAGATTTCCAGTCCGGTAGTAAGCATTTCCAATTATTGGGTAAAATTTAAATTTCATGGGAAACGTTCCTGAGCAGAAGCAGGGGTAGTAGTCATAGTTTACACAATCTAGTGGGTCGTCAAACCAGAATATATCACAAAGCTGTAATTAAAGGTATATTAAAACGTCAGTAGTAGTTAATGCATTCTGACTTTTAAAAAGAAATAATGACGGACAATACGGTAGGTAGAGTTTTCGTGATCTCGGCATATGAATGGTATAGTCAGTTCTAAGCCTAGCAGCCTTTACTTTCCTTAACGTGAGCGGGGTAGGCCTAACAATTCAAGCTGAGTGGACTCATGGACGACCCAGGCACTCGAGCTCTGGATCAGATTACGAGATTTGCGGGTAAACTTCAGTGATGAACAAGCTGATGTATTGTGCAAATATCATATAACACGAAGAGATAGTGGGCGTGGTTTTTAATTTTTTCTTCAATGAGGTAGTATACCGTGTGCTAAGGTAATTGAAAGAAACTCTATTTCTTCTGCCTCATGTGTGTTGGAGACGATCGGGAAATTTCACATATAAGTAAAACATCTAATTCTATGCCTTCTGTCTAATTTTGAATAACTTCCGTTGACCAGAAGTAGTAATTTAGTCTACGAGATTCTATTATATTTTAAAAAGTTGTAGAAAAAAGAAATGCACACTAAGTGAACGCCAAATAAAATGTGCACTATAGTGCGGAATATTATTAGTATTTAATAAAATCACATGCGTATTTTTGAGAAATAGGAAATAGCGTAATTCACTACTTCCGGTCGACGGAAATTACTCATAATTTAATATAAGGCAGAGAATTATATTTTTTTAATTACATGTGAAATTTCATTTATCTATCTGAAAAAGTACTCAAGTTATAGGCTTTTGAAAAATTCAAAGTAGAAAAAGTTCCACTTCCGGTTATCGGAAATCGCTCAAAAGTTGAAAGAGATCTACGATTTTGATATAATACTTATACATGACATTTCATCAACCTAGCTGTAACGGTACTCAAGTTATCTTGTTAACAGACACACACACAGACACACTTACACAAAGAGACATACGGACAAGATTGCAAAACTATGTTTTTCCGACTCAGGGAGCACTAAAACGTCGAGATTTGCAAAAATCTCGTTTTTTTTAATGAACGATTACAAGACTTTCTCTATACTTCTTATATACGAGAAAGTAAAAAATGGATTAAAAATATTGTTGCCGAGTTGCCATCGCCTGTAGTGTTATATAAGAATATTCGAGAAAGTTTAGGGGAAATCACTCCCGGCTTATTTATTGTGTATCGGTTCATTGCCTAACGTCTTTTGTTAGTTTTATCCTGTTTTGTCTGAGTGAAACGCCTTGGTTTTATAATTTTATATGATTTTCATCTAGTCATTTCAGTATCAGGTGAATATTTTCTGGTGATTGAAATATATCGCCAGAATAGCTCTTTAAACCCTACCTATTGAAGTTAACAAAGTAATGATCCGAAATACAGTTCCAAAATTATAATATCATTTTATTCACGTAATGAGCTTTTAAAAATGTAAAAATATTTTAACGAAACTAACCGGTACCCAATTATACGTGTCATCAGAGCAGCCCTTCATTCCTTGACAATAAAAAAGACTTAACGTCGATGCGTATTCCACCACGGCATAAGTTAAATTCTCTCTATAGATGTCAACGTGCCCTAAAATTCTCCCGGTGTAGCGGCAACTATAATTGACACAATCTTTCTCAAACCCTTCGATTTCCATAGGAAATCTTGGTATGCAGTTTAGTGTATCTGTAGAACAAATATTTTTCATGATTATGACTTAGCAATAATTAAAATAACTAGATCTGTTTTCTTTATATTAGCTGTAAGTTAAACTTTTAAAATTTTGATATTTTAAGACGTAATCTGCATTTAAAAAAAACTGATACTTTTAAAATATCACATATCTTGGCTTTTCCGTTAAAAATGTATATATTTCTTTGTGTATGGTACAACAGTTCGTAGCTTGGGGGAGGGTAGTGAGAACAATGCCACTCCCATGTAAGCATTTTTTACAGTGATGCCTTTTTCGGAAATTTTTAAAAGAAATTAATTGAAACAAGAAAGAATATCAAGAGATGAATAACTAGGAGAATAAAGCTGAAATGGATGCGCCCATCTTGTGGTCGGCGTATGAAAAAAGCTGTTGATTATCGCATGTTTTACTCTTGTTGTCGCCGTTTGTATCTCATCTTCGGTTATCTTTGTGGTTTTTACTAAACGGTTGGATTACTAAATTGTTAAGTAAGTAAAGCCGCCAGTCTATATCATGGCTAACACATTTTACTGTATATGCTATTTGATGTGGGATAGAGGTGATGAGTATACCAGGATGTCACTAGCTTAGTGTTAGTATTTGAGATAGAGCACAACCATTTTGATATCGAAACTACAAATTCTTTTTAAAATTGTAAGAATAGCATTATATTTCTATCAAACACACATTTATGAGTGTATATATGTATGTGTATGTGTATGAAGTATTGTCCTACTAAATTTGTTATAACAATTAATCGGTTTGTTAAAATTATCTGTGTTTTACATCAACATACTAAAACATTTAGAACCGTTTGACTACCTGGTAAGTAAACCATACAAATGAGAAGTGTTGAAAGAACCAGAACTTTATCCATTTGTGCCTTAATTAGATTTCCGAAAGGAACATTAAACAATCCATTGACTACAAACAGAGGCAAATAGAAACTAGAAATAGACCAACATTTGTGTATGTCTAACTAATTTTTTCAAGAAGTATCGTCAACAAAATGTACGTTTAGTTAATGTTTAAATTGGGCCGGAAATACCAAAACTTAAAATGCGCACCTCCTAAGTTAACTATTGTGTTTGCATTTTTACTTTCTCGTATACGAAGTATAGAGGAAAATGTTTAATCATGCTAAAAAAATCGTTTTACACCTCCCTTAGTCGGAAAAAACATAGTTTTACAATTTGGTCCGTCTGTGTGTGTATGTGTATGTGTGTATATATGTGTATGTGTTTCTGTGAACACGATAACTTGGGTACCGTTACAGCTAGGTTGATGAAATTTCATATATAAGTATTATTTCAAACTTGTAGTTCTTTGTCATCTTTTCAGCGATTTCCGATAAACGGAAAATGGGACTTATTCTACTTTCAATTTTCCAAAAGCCTATAACTTGAGTACTGTTTCAGATAGATACATGAAATTTCACATAGCAGTAAAAGATCTAATTCTCAGCCTTCTTTCAAATTTGAGTAATATCCGTTAACTAAAAGTAGTAAATTTTGCTATTTCAAAACGCATGTGAGTTTATAAAGTACTAATAATAGTCCGCACTTTTATACACATATTTCTTGCTATTAACTTGGTGCGCAATTCTTTTTTTCTACGTGATTCTATTCTATTTTAAAAAGTTTAAGTAATTAAAAATTAATTACAAATCATGTCTTTATCTCCTGTAGTGTTATATAAGCATATTCGAGAAAGTTTAGGGGAAATCACTCCCGATTTATTATATTTACAATGGAGCTGCATGAGTAAAAAAAACTTGCGCACATAATAACCATGATGACGCGCGTATAATAGTGCGGAATAGTTGGATAAGACAGCCTACTAATTTGGACAAAATTTTAATTCGTTCAAAAAATTAATTAGGCATCCAATGATGTCAAGTTTAATGCCAGATTGCATTGTCTTCACGGGCCAACTTTGAACCTAATCTGTTAGTTAGAAGAACCCGAAATTTCGCTCGGGCGTTTCGATCTAGACAGACTGTCGACAGACAGAGGAAGCAAGTTAAATAAAAGCTTGTAAAAGCAAAATTCTCTCTAGATTCTCTCTAGATTCACTAACTTTTAAATATGTAAAAACAAAATTTGACCCTACTATTAGTCTATTTTTGTAACAATGTAACCACGACAGCCTGGAGACTCAAACTTGTTGTGGTCTTATATCTGTCTTCTGTGTAGCAGTTAAACCACGACCGTCTAGCAGATAAGCTCATTAAAGGACTATAACATTTTAAAGTGGATGTGACAATCTACGTGCAGAAAAAAAAATTAAAGCCTTTCAATACGAACTACGCGAATTGTGCAATTAAACCTTTTTGTACGCAATATCCCAAGGGTTGAAAAAAATTAAAATTAAACAATTTTTTTTGTAATGAAAAGAAAGAAAACCAAGTCAAGACTCCAGATTATGAATAACTCGCATATGTTTCCCTTGAATTATTTTACTGTCAGATTGTAAATTTTTGTCAGACCGCCGAGTTTGAATTGTTTTTGATTAAAAGGTTAATTCAGCAGCAAAATAATTTAATATATTTGTTACTAGATATACTTTAATGTACTTTATTTCCGTTTGAACACGATTACTTGAGTACTATTTCAGTTAGGTAGATGGAATTTTATATTAAGTATAAGAACTTATACTTGGATGATGTTCAATTTCTGAGTGACCTGCAATAACTGGAAGAAATAGTCTGCTCTGTTTATGGGTTCTAAAATACCGATGAAATGAATACGCATAAGTTAAATGGACTAAATTTACCACATATTATAAGTTCGTAATCGCTTGGTTCTGTTACATTTTTCTTGATTTCTGGAAGTAGTACTTTACACTAGTACTTTAAACAGACATCGTATTGTTAATTTTTTTAATAGCTTAGGTGCGCTATTCTTTTTTCTACGCAATATTATTCTACAATCCGTATGTGCATAATACCAATATATCGAAAGGTTAGTGCTTTATAGTGAGGTATTACGCTCTAATTCCGATTTCTTAAAGACCTTCAGAATTTGATAGTTTTATATAATTCTCTTACTATAGCTCTTTTCAAAACAACAAGCGGAATTGTCACAAACTTCTATATTTCTATAGCCCGATTGCACTGCCTTACTGTTATATAAGAAAATACAAATACGCGAGTATCATTATATATTATTTTAAATACGTATTTGATTATATCACGTAAAATGCTTAAGATAAAATAAGTACAACATACATAAATATTTATCACTTTTGCAGTGATTTCGTATTATTTTTCTTTACGCCCAACCAAGTCTAGAAACAAATGAACTCTACTTCACTTGCCCCATAGACCGTCAGGTTTGAAAGGGAAACTTTACTTTACGTCTACTCCCACACACCATCTCCATTTTACTTACAAGCGATCCACCCACACCTTGATACATCTTGGAGCCGCTCGTCCCGATCATGTTATAACTACCAGACCCTATGTAAAACACCCCAACACCCAACGCTCTCCCTAACGCATTGACACATTTAGGAACCGCTGACCTAGTATATCACGACCTGTGAATCCCCCCCCCTCTTTTCCCACCACCCACTGCTCTAACCCAGTGGCGTAGCGAGGTCGGCTGTCACCCGGTGCGGCACTTAATGGTGTCACCCCCCCCCCCAGATGCGTAGCGACCCTTCCCGGGGACAAACTTTCAAATTTTCGATTTGCACTCCCCCCTTCAAACTTTCGATTTGCACCCCCCCGTCAAGTTTTTCTCTATATATTTTGCTATTTTTTGCCCCTAAATGGTGTCATCCGGTGCGGTCCGCACCCCCCGCCCCCCCCCCCCCTCGCTATGCCTCTGCTCTAACCCACCCTGTGTCGCGTTCTTTGCAATTCCGGTTACACCAAGCTCCCTCGATAAAAGGCTATTTCGCTCCACCCCCTCAACGTCACACGCAATAAAACAAAGTATAAATTGTCACACGAGCACACCCCTGCCCGAGCGAACAAAGCTGATTCACCAGACACCTTTGACGAGGTGATTTCCGTTTCAACAATTTATTAACCAACCCAGAAGAGCCCATTGTTTTCATGGGAAAGGACACCAGGTCGGGGAAAGCGCGAGTAAAGGATTATAAACCAAGTCTCTCTCCCTCCCCCCTCCTGGACATCGAAGACTCAGGCAACTCCCCTCCACCTTTATCACGTGACTGACGGAGTCAGAAGTTATCTCCCCTACACCTGTACTCTGTGCCTTTCAGACAACCTGTTGCGTTGGGTGACGGCCTGAGAGTTAAACCTACGCAAGCGACAAGGCCTAACTGGTGAGTAACATAAGTAACAATTGCTCCGAATGTCTGCTAACATCGCTAGAAATTAGAAAGAGAAAGTTGTATTTTTTTTTGGGAAGTCAAATTGTTTAGTTTTTTTTTAAAGCCATCAAATGCGATAATTATATTTTAATATACCCAGATCTGAACGGCTTGCTATTTAAAAAAAAAACAATATTTGACTAGAGTAACTACTAAATTTTATTTTATGGAAAGAAAAATAATTCTGAATGAAATTAAAATTACAACTAGATTAAATTATTTGACAAAGTTACCAGATTGTTATTCTGCCAATTTTATTTTACTGTAAAAATTTAAAAGGGTTTACCTGTCTTATTTCTTCGTCTTTAGTTGTAATGTTATCTAATTAGGCTGGTTGGATAATTATGTGCACTTAATGACATTACTTTCGTCTAACGGCATCCAACCTCACCCTGCCAACCACCAGCATCCACGCCCTGCCAACCACCACCAACCTTACCCTACCAACCACCTCCAACTGCTACCTGCAAACCACCAACCTCACCCAGCAACCCACCACCAACCACCCGGCCAAACACAACCAACCTTACCCTGCCTACCACAACAAACTAACCCATGCAAACCATCGCCAACCTCACCCTGCCAACCACCAGCAACCTCACACTGCCAACCACTACCAACTCTACGTTCCAGCCACCACCAACTCTCACTGCCAACCATCGCCAAATGTAGTTGCCAACCATCACCAACCTCAACCTGCCAAACACCCACCATAAAATATCTATACAAAACACCACAAACCTCACACTGCCAATCACCAACCTCTCTCTGCCAACCACAACCAACCTCACACTGACAACCACCGAGCCGTCAATGTGCCAACCACCAAACCTGATCCTTCCAACCACCACCAACCTCTACCTTCCAACCACCACCTACTTCACCCTGCCAACCACCAACTACTCTCCCTACCAACCATAACCTTCCTCATCGTGACAAACACTACCAAACTCACCCTGCCAACCACCAGCAACCTTATACTGACAACCACCACCAACCTCACTCTGCCAAACTCCACCAACCTCATACTGCCAACCACCAAGCTCATTAAGCTCACCCTGCCAACCACAACCAATTGACCCCTTCCAACCACCACCAACCAACCTCACTTTGCCAACCACAACAAGCCTTATCCTATCATCCACCATAGCTAAAACTGCCTACCACCACCAACATCACACTGACAACCACCGCCAACCTCACCTAACACACCATCATCCTAACAAACCAAAGCAACTTTACCCTGCCAACCATCACCAACTCTCCTTGCCAACCACCACCAATCTCACCCTACCAACCACCACAACCTCACCCTGCCAATAACCACAAACATCACCCTGCCAACCACCACCAACCTCACCCTACCAACCACCACTAACCCAGCGCTGCCAACCACCGCCAACTTCACCCTGACAACCACCAGCAATATCACACTGCCAACCACCACAACCTCACCCTCATCCTGATAACGACCACTAACCTCACCCTGCCAACCACCAACCTCACCCTCCCAACAACCACCAAGTTCACCCTTCAAACCACCACCAATCTCACCCTGCCAACCACCGCAAACTCTACATGCCAATAGCCACCAACCTCACCCTGCCAACCACTAACTTCACTCTGCTAACCACCGCTAACTGTGGCTGCCAACCACTAGCAACCTAGCAAACTCCAAATGCCAACCATCAGCAACCTCACACAGACAACCATCACCGACTATCCTTGCCAACCACCACCAACCTCACCCTGCCAACCACCACCAACATTACCACCAAGCTCACACTGCCAACTACTACCAAATGCCCACTGCTAACTACCACAACCACCACACCCTCTTCCTGACAACAACCAGCAACCTCACCCTGCCAACTTCCACCAACCTCACACTGCCAACCACTAACAACCTCACCCTGCCAACCACCACCAACCTCTCCCTGCCAACCACTACAACTTGCCTCTGCCAACCATCAGCAAACTCACATTGCCAACCTTCACTTACTCTCCTTGCCAACCACCGCCAACTTCACCATGCCAACCACAACAACCACACCATGACAAACAGCAGCACTCTCACACTTCCAACCGCCAAGCTCACCATTCCAAAAACCACCAACCTCACCCTGCCAACCACCACAACCACACCATGACAACCATCAACACACCTCACCCTGCCAACCACGACCAACCTCACACTGACAAACACCGAGCCATCAACGTTCCAACCACAAAACCCTGATCCTGCCAACCACCACCAACCTCACCCTGCCAACCACCACAAAGATGACCCTCCACCAAACGCTAACTGTGGCTTTGTACCACTAACAGCTGCCTCTGCCAACCATCAGCAGCCTTATACTGACAACCATCAGCAACCTCACACATGTCACACATCACCGCCTATCCTTGCCAACCACCACCCTACCAACCACCACACCCTCATCCTGACAACCACAAGCAACCTTACCTCGCCAACCACCACCAACCTCACATTGCCAACCGCCAGCAACATCACCCTGTCAACCTCCACCATTTCCTTATCACCCACCATCAAGCTCACACTGCCAAACACCACCAACTGCCCCCAGCTAACTACCACAACCTCACCCTGCCAACAACCACCAACCTCACCCTGCCAACCACCACCAATCACACCATGACAACCATCAGCACCCTCACACTGCCAACCACCACCAACCTCACCCTACCAACCACCACCAACCTCACTCTGCCAACCACTACCAACCTCACCCTGCCAACCACCAACCTCACCCTACCAAAAACAACCAACCTCACTCTGCCAACCGCCACCAACCTCACCCTGCCAACCACCAACCTCACACTGCCAACCACCACCAACCTCACCCTCTCAACCACCGCTAATTTTGTCTGCCAGCCACTACCAACTGTCTCTTCCAACGATCAGCAACCTGACACTGCCAACCATCACCAACTCTCCTTTCCAACCACAACCAACCGCATTCTGCCAACCACCACCTCAGCTGCCTCTGCCAACCACCGCCAACCTCACCGTGCCAACCATTACACCTTCATCCAGACAACCACCAGCAACCTGACCCAGCCAACCACCAACAATTCTACATACCAAACACCACCAAGCTCACCCTGCCAACAACCGCTAATTGTGGCTGCCAACCACTACCAACTGCCTCTGCCAACCATAAGCAACTTCACACTGCCAACTGTCACCAACTCTCCTTTCCAACCACCACCAACCTTACCCTACCAACCACCACCAACCTCACACTGCCAACCACCCCCTTCGCCCCCCTGCCAACCACCACCATCTGCCCCCTGCTAACCACCACCAACGGCCCCCTGCCTACCACCAACAACCTCACACTGCCAACCACCACCATCCTCAACCTGCCAACTACCACCAACTGTCCCCTGCAAACAAAAACAGCAACCTCTAACACCCTCTAACACCACCACTCCCTTAAATCCAACCTCCAATCACTTACTCCAAAACTTAAAAAAAAAACCCTAACTACCAACTTCCCCTCACAGCCTCGACTAACCATCCCCTCCTTCCCAACAAACACCGCCCACACACCACCTACCCACAATCTGTCTCTCAACTACTATTAACCCCACTTTCCATCAACCCACCAAACCTTCCCTCCCCTGTTACTACTAAGCACTCGCTCAAAACAACACCAACTCTCTCTTAACCACAAACAACTTCTTCCTCGCAACCATCACAAAGAACTCCATCAATAACACCATCAACAGCTTTTCTAGAACCACTGCGTACCACAACTGACCACTCCCTTTTAACGACAACCTGTCATTACCTGTCAATCACCAACCACTCACCAACCACTCACTGAAGACCATCAACTACTTAGTCGAAGCAATAGCAACCATCTTCTCCCAACGAGTTTCAACCACTTTCTCATAACGAACACTAATAACCAACCACTTTCTCATAAAAACACCAACCACCGTCTCTCAATGAACACCAACAATTTCCTCCAGACGGACACCAACCACTTCTCATAACAATACAACTCTTCCAATCATACGAACAATTATCACAATACAATGTTAATACAATAGGTCTAGCGGTAGAGCGCTAGATTTAACACACAAGTCTTTAGTTCGAATCCGCGTTCAAGTCAGCAAATTGTCCATGACATGAGTCCATCTACTAACTCTGATGGGTATTTAACTCAAGTTTGGGAAAATAATGGCGATTGGACAAATTGCTTACCACACTATCCCTTTATATGCCGAGGTCACAGGAACTTTACTTTTACTACTACTACAATTCACTTGCTCCCAACAACCACTAACAACCCTTTCCTCCTCACCATTATATAAAACTCTCCACTATGTCCTCCCTTACAACAAAATCCACGAAGTCCACGTATACAACCTTCTTCACAAGCTCCTCCCATAGATTACATTTCACTAGCTCCTACCATACAATATTCTCCGCTAAGTTTTCCCAACAGAATCCACAAATTCTACATAATATACAATCCTCTTCACAAGCTCCTCCCTTAGATTACATTTCACTAGCTCCAATATGATACTCCCCAACAGCTCCCCCGTAACAATTCTTTAATAGGTCCTCATATACAACTACAATCTTCATTCGGTTCTCCCATACAACACTATTCACTAGCTCCTCCCATACAACACTATTCACTAGCTCCTCCCATACAACACTATTCACTAGCTCCTCCCATACAACACTATTCACTAGCTCCTCCCATACCACACTATTCACTAGCTCCTCCCATACAACATTATTCACTAGTTCCTCCCATACCACACTATTCACTAGCTCCTCCCATACAACACTATTCACTAGCTCCTCCCATACAACACTATTCACTAGCTCCTCCCATACAACACTATTCACTAGCCCCTCCCATACAACACTATTCACTAGCTCCTCCCATACAACACTATTCACTAGCTCCTCCCATACAACACTATTCACTAGCCCCTCCCATACAACACTATTCACTAGCTCCTCCCATACAACACTATTCACTAGCTCCTCCCATACAACACTATTCACTAGCCCCTCCCATATGTAAGCCCTGCTAGGGGTGGATACCTAAAAATCTACTCTACCAGGCTTATCTAACTACTGTCCGGTCAGTGCAAGTCAGGCTAAAACAAAAAAACTTAACAATTTAATAAAATTTATTTCATGGAACCAATCAAAATGTAAAAGAATAGATAAAAACTACTGACACAAAACAGACAAAACAAAACCAAACAAAACAATTCAAATATAACAAATCATTACGTTCGACCATTTGCTGATGTTGCTCCGACTTATGATGTCTAGGATGGTCCAGGCCCTGACACACAGAAACCTCCCTTCATCCATTCTCGACATCCAAAAGTCCACACCAAACAAAACACTACGTAAAACCACTACGTACAATACGTTACGTACAATACATAACGTAGAAACAATACGTACACAACAAACTTTTTACACCAAACAAAACAATTCATATATAACAAAACAATTCATATATAACAAAACACCCAGCCAAGTCGCACAAGCAACCTCACTCCACGCGTGAGGTGCGCCACGCAGAAACCTGACCCGACCTACATCTCGCCGCGGGTCAAAAAAAAGGAAGAAATCACTCCGAGCGGTCAATTTATACTGACCGCTTCGAGCGGAAGGGGGACCCCGTGCTGTTCCCCATTGGACCACCATGCACTCCCAGATTCGCAACAAATAAAATAATACAAAAAAATCCATTCACCCGCTCACATTCACCCCTTTTAAAAATCTTACAGTCCCTGTAAGACAAAAAATGCATAAAACAATCTTAAAATAAAACATGCACCCATCTCTTACGATTGTAGGAAAAAAAGTCACAGGAAAAAAAAACACAGGAAAAAAAAACACAGAAAAAAAGTCACAGGAAAAAAAGTCACAGGAAAAAAAGTCACAGGAAAAAAAGTCACAAATATATATTTGCATGATATTTGTTAATACTTTTATGTATTAAATATTTAGAGAGTGCAAATTAACTTAGGATTAATTAAATGTAATGTAATGTGTGTAGGCTGTATACGCATAGGAATTTTTATAATTCATCTAAAAATATTTATTATGAAGTATGTATGTGAGCGGGTGAATGGATTATTTTGTATTATTTTATTTGTTGCGAATCTGTGAGTGCCTGGTGGTCCAATGGGGAGCGGCCACGGAGTCCCCTTCCGGCCGAGCGGTCAGTATAAACTGACCGCTAGGAGTGATTTTCTCCCTTTTTTTTGACCCGCGGCGAGATGTAGGTCGGGTCAGGTTTCTGCGTGGCGCACCGCACGCGTGGAGGTATTTGTTTTTTTTATACTTTTATCTTTATGTGATTTGTATGAATGCGACTGTCGATGTTTCTCGTTTTCTTTCATTTTCGTCTAAAACGAGATAGTGAGCATCGGCATGTCTGGTATGCACGTGGTGTGTTATTTTGAATTAAAATGTATTTTTAATGTTTTCTAAACCCGTGGCGTGTGTTTCGGACCACGTGGTTTAGGCCAGTGTGTTTAGGAGTGTTTCCTAAACTAGTGTGAATGCGTGTGTGCATTTACTTGATTGTTTTATGATGTGTTGTTATTGACTAGAATTGGCTTAGTCAATAGTCATTTGTTTTAGACAGTAATGAGATTAGGATATTTTAGTTGCCTCGAGTTAATAGGTTGTTTAAAATTAATGTGTGTGCTGTTTCGTGCAACGTCATGTTGACTATCGCTTGCTTTGTGTCTGCCTTCATTGGGGCCTTAGCGGAGTGTGTTAACTTTAATGTTATCAATATGGATATTGTTTATGTAGACCAATGGCTTCGGGCTGCTCCTTGTGTAGGAAAGATTGGTTCTACAATGAATTTGTTTACACGTTATTTTTAAGTTGCTAGTTCTTCTTTAGACAGTGGTTAGTTGTTTTTGAGAATTGCTTTTAGAATTGTATAGTAAGGATTAGTTTTACTCGAGGCTTTAGCTAGATAGTAGTAGTAGGTAGCATTTTGAACTTGTGTATATATTTATGTATATATCTGCCATTACCATGCATTTTTCTTATGTTTTCCTTTTCTTTTTCTCTTCCCCCCCCCCCCCCTTCCAGTGAGGTTGCTTGGGCAACTTGGCTGGGTGTTTTGCTATATATGAATTGTTTTGTTTGGTGTAAAAAGTTTGTTGTGTACGTATTGTGTTCTACGTAATGTATTGTACGTAGTGGTTTTACGAAGTGTTTTGTTTGGTGTGGACTTTTGGATGTCGAGAATGGATGAAGGGAGGTTTCTGTGTGTCAGGGCCTGGACCATCCTAGACATCATAAGTCGGCGCAACACCAGCAAATGGTCAAACGTAATGTTTTGTTTGATGTAAAAAGTTTGTTTCGTTTGGTTCTGTTTTGTGTCAGTTTTATCTATTCTTTTTTATAACTTTTGGTTCCATGCAATAAATTTTATTAACTGTAAAGGTTTTTGTTTTATTTTAGTAGCTTATTATTTAGACTAAGGTTAAGGTTATTAACCAGTCTGGGTTTAGCCGGGCTTGCACTGACCGGACAGTAGTAGTAGATAAGCCTAGGGAAGGGTAGGGTAGATTTTAAGGTATCCCCCCCCCCCTAGCAGGGCTTACAAATTGGTAGCACGAGTGGGGTCAGTGCTTTAGTCTAGTTAAATTTTTGTTTTTCTAGGGCTAGTGTAGCTTAGATAAATTTTTTTGTTTTTGATAGGCCCTTTATGGAACCATATGTGTTTAGTTTTTGTTTAGTGTAGGAATTGTTTGTTGTTTAAACACCCAGTCAGGTTGACGGAGAGACGTGCCTCGACGAGCCTTCAGTGTGCGTGGCTGGACAAGGCACGGTGTGTGGCACTGGACCTGGCGTGTGATGAAGATGGCGGCCTCGTGTGGTCTAGACTGGACAACACACACGGGCGTGGCGCGGATCTGGTGTGTACGGCAGACCGGTGAACAACGAGAGGCCTATGACGTCAATCCCTTGACCCACAAAGAGGGCTACTGGACACCCGCCCCACAGGTGTGTCGAAGCGGAGGCACGATCATTGGGGGCGGGTAACAGTCGGAGAGCCAGTGGGGCAAGGCGGTTGCGTCACCACCTGGCCCAACCAAGCGGACGCTCGCCACCAACGAGAGGCCAATGACGTGAATTCCTTGACCCACAAAGAGGGCTACTGGACACCCGCCCCACAGGTGTGTCGAAGCGGAGGCACGATCGTTGGGGGCGGGTAACAGTCGGAGAGCCAGTGGGTCAAGGCGGTTGCATCATCTCTGGACCAAACAAGCGGACGTTTT